GATTTTCGACAGCAACATTATTCGCTAAGGAACAGCAATTTCGTTTCTTTGCCAAGTGGCTCTTGACCTCAAGTTTCCCGGCAAAAAAAGTTATTGTGGAGCTTAAGCACCAACGAAGGGGACGGCTACGAAAACAGAAACTTTTGTTAGGGGGAAAATGTAGATTTTATTGGGTTTTCAATTTATATCATGGCACGTGGTATACAAAATTATATAGAGGATATTACACGGTGGCGCGAAGATATGAAGTTTATTTTCAAGTGGCAAAACAATATTTTACAAACGAGCGCAGCGAGTGAGTGAAATATTGTTTACATAGACAAAAAGACATCGATAAAATAAATGACCGAAATTACGTCATCGATAAACTCACTTGTGAGATTATGGAAAATAAACCACTCGGGTCCCGGATGTAGTTTTTATGAATTTTCTGAGTGGTATATTTTCCAGTAACACACTCGTGTCTATATAATAAAGGATTTCAACTGTTTTGAATAAGTTTTTTTTAAGTCTGTGCAAACAGGAATCTTTATTCTCTTACTCATGTATATAATTATTGGAACAATGTGCCTTAGAAAATTTCTGTACGCATATTATATGTACCCTCGAAATTGACTTTTCTAGAAATAGATATAAAGCTTAGTCACTGAATAACTAGACCTTTCGCCTGTTCAAATACCAACCGTTCGTAGTTTTTAGTTTTGACACTTTTGGGAATTCTGAGCAAAGGAAACTAGAATTCTTTTACACAGCTTTCTTAATTTGTAGGTTTCCTAAATTCACCTGCTTGAATGACATTTAATCCTAAATTCACTTGCTTGACTGACATTTAATTTTGGGTTATTTAGTTGAACTGATTTTATTCAGCCTTCTTTCCATTTGTTTTGTGAAGTTGATCGGTTAGTGTAAATAGAGCACTGTTATTCCTGTTTTTTGATTTACATTGCGGATTTATTTGACTGTATGATTTACGTCCACGAGCTGAAGATTAAACTGTTGAAGTCCAGGTTTGAGTCCTGTCCTGTTTCCAGATCCTAGTAAGTACCTTGGAATAGTGACGAGTTCCTTTCCCGCTAGCCAAGCGAGTTGCAGAGTTAGTTTTCCCCATGCAGGTTGTTCTTACGCCGAAGTCGCTTGAATTCTCTTAACGCTTATTTCGCCGAATTGTGCTTGGAAGGGCAAAACCTATCGTCACGCTTTATCGTGCTTATCACATCTCGTTCAGTTTGTCAAACGTTGGCAAATTTCTAGAGCTGAATTCTTAATGAAAAATTTCAGGTAAGGAAAAAGAACGTCGTTGTTTTGTGTTTACGTCCTCCGTAAAACGTGGAATTCGGTGTTTTCGCGTCGTAGTCGTGGAGTGACGGCAAAGAAATCTACAAAAAAAAATGTTGCACGTGCAACGTTGCTGTTTCGCTAATCTAAACCCACTGCTTTTTCGGCCTTTCTCTTTGCCGTCGCCGTCGTCGTTTCGTAAGCTCCTTGTTATGCAAGAGCGCAGGCCAAATTCACCCTTGGATCCCGTAATCATGTAAAAGTTAACCAAAGAGAACGCCGAAAGGCCATTATGTTATTCGAGCACCTGTCTCGGACCGCGATTCACATGGATATGAATTGAATTCTGAGGTTAGGGTTTCTAGAGCCGGCTATGGAAAGAGGACATCTTGAGACGCCACAAGTGGCAAATGACGTCTGAAGAACGAGCGCAGAAATACCATACTGATGACGCTTCACTACCCAGATCTGGGTTGCGCTTCTGATTGGTTGAAGCAAACTTCCGTCATGAAACGACCAATGAGAAGCACTTCCCTTTTCTGGGTTGTGCTACATTATCTGTATAGAATTTCTGCGCTCGTTCCTCAGACGCCATTTCGGGGGGGGGGGGTTGGGGTGTTTGGGGAAACAAGCGATGGCGTGGCGAAATGCGGCTAGCGGTATGGAGATGCTCACTTTACAGTTTAGCATACTATATTACAAAACAATAAGTTATAGGGATTAATTACACAACAGTGCTTTAATTGTTTTTCTCATAAATAAATATATACGAGCTTGAAAAAGGATAGAGAAGTATGGGGAGTAATGGCTTACGAAAGCTAAATCACATGGAATTCAAGATAATTCTCATTTCATTTCATTATACGCAATTGATTTAATGATATACCTAAAATCAGTCTCGTGTATGTTCCTTATACGTAAAATGTGGCACTTTCTTGGTGTGCCAATCTCATCTGCCATCGAAAGGTCCTCGCCTCGAGGAGTTGAAGGTCATTCTGAAAGGGTATGATGATCTTCAGATGTTTGGATTTTCATGTAGATAAAAGCGTCATTCATCATCGAACAGTGTAATGAAAAGTCATAGTCGGGTGGGTCGTTCATGAAACGAAAAATGTCAGGGGACCAATAAAGCTCCCTGTGGTACGCCAGACGTGACGAGTGACCAGCTTGGTTACGAACCATTAACGACATAATATTGACGATGATCGGCGAGGAAGGAAAGTTTTAATTCAAATTTTTAAAGTTACTGCAGATTCCAAAGTAATAAGCGTTGTGTCGAAGACCTTGGTGAAGTTCACCAAAACCATGTTAACTTTTCCTCTCTCGATTTATAGCACCTCTGACCACTTGCGTACAAGTGAAATTAACTGAGTTTCGTAGAAGAGACCCCTTCAGAGCCCATGTTGAAACAAGGATTATATGGCTACTATACCTAGCTATAGGTGACCACACAGCTCTTTGCGTGGTTTGGAGATTGGTCAAACCTCTTATGACCTGACAGAGGTGTTTTCTTTTTCGACAGATAAGCTTAAAATCCTTTATAAATAAAGAATTCAAGGCCTGTCATCTCCTAAAAATTGATTTATGCCCAGCATTCGGAAGGCCATTGTAACTACAACCTATTGGCAAACATTAATCTTTTAAAATTAATCGAGTGTTGGGAGTAATATATAGTATGAGCGGCAACGGATATTAGGAACGTAAATGAACGATGTACATTAATCAAACTACAAATATATTTGCTCATGAAAAGGAAGCTGCTTGCTTTCTTGTTTGTTTAAAACAGGATGAACGTCAAAGTTATAGATATAAAACAAGACACCCACAATTCAGTACAACCCAGAGATGTTTAGTCGATTCTTAGTTCAATTTTTGTTTGATATCGGCCGAGCTAAGTGGAAGAGCAATTGAATTCATCGGTGAACAAGGGTTTGTTTGGCAAGGACGATATAAAAAGTCGGCCACACGTGCGCTGTGATACAGGTTTACAATGGAAAGCAATTTTGAGAAAGAAGTTTGCCTCACTACTGGAGTCTCCTTGATGCTTCTTTCATTCCTCATTGCAGTTCCAAATGGCATCATTTTGTATGCCCTTTACCGAAACCCTCTCCGCTGCTTCCGAAAAACGTTTTCCGTGTTTTTGGGGTTTATTTCTGGAGTGGATTTCTTCATCGGCACTGTAATATGTATTGGAGGAACAACAATCAGATATCTGTGCGCTTTCGGAGACTACGGCCTTCCTAAAGAAGGGGATATTTTTCTGATAGTCGAATACGCAGCAATCAACAGTTCGATTCTCCTAGTGACCGCGATGTCCGTCGATCGTTTTACAGCGGTTGTTTTTCCTCACTTTTATCTCCGTAAAACCAGCCCGCGGAAGCCCGTTTATTTTAACTTGGCAGTGATCATCTTCTCAATAGTTTTTGCCCTACTCCAGCTTCACCCTGGCATTTCAGTTGAAGTTTACAGAAACGTAGACCAATATTTGAACGCCATTTTTCCACTTTCTACCAGCACTTTATGTTATTTGGGAATATTTTTTGTTTTGAGGAAGCGATCATCTCGGATTGGTCTTCAAAGACAAAGGGCATTCGCAATGCCCAGCAACTTAACACTTCAAGATATGCGACGAGTAAGAAGAGCACAAATGGCGAGAAAGTTCGCAACAACTTCATTTCTAATTCTAGCATGTCTGGTTGTTTCCCTTGCTCCATATTTTGCAGCAATTATTATTGCATCTCACTGCGCGAGTTGTGGTGAACAGAACTGGTTTTCACTGCTCCTAGAATCAAGTATCGTGTTTCTTTTTCTTAATTCAGCTGCGAATCCGTTTTTGACCACATTTCGCATTAGAGAATTGAAGAAGTCAGTTAAAATAGTCCTTCATCTAACACAAGAAGGAAACGAAATAAGTTTGGACGATTCTCGGCAGCAACATTATTTACTGAGGAACAGTAATTTCGTTTCTTTGTGAGTGGCTCAAACACCTTCACCAGACAAATTCACCCTTGGATACCGGTTATCATGTAAAAGCCAGAGAGAAAGCCGAAAGGCAAAACCAATAATTATTTTACTCAAGCACCTGTCTCGGGCCGCGTTACATATGAATGTGAATTGAATTTAGAATTATAAAAATTGAGAGCTGGATAACCAGAGCAATATATGCAATTTTAAGCTGTTTAATTGTAACTAATATTTGAGTAAGATTGGCCATCAAAAACTGCAGAATGTCGACTTAAAAGGGTCTAAAAAAATATTCCAAAGTATACACTTAATCTTGTTCAATTTAGGTGGCCAAGTTTGCTTTGATCCATCCATCTATTATCAATATTTACATTAATTTAGACAATGTCAGGCGTACCGTATTTATTCGATTAAACGCTTCCTCGAATAAAAGCCGCACTTAATTAAAATAATGCGGCGGTTATTCGAGGATAATGAGGAAAAACTCGGTACAACTTGGTAATCTACACCATTCAGACAATTACGATTCTAGCTCAGCAAAATAACAGAGACATTGGAACCTTTAAAGTACATAATACTTAAAAAACGATTTACAGTAACTGTTGTCAGTGATTTAAGAAAAGTAATTTCCAAACAAACGCCGCCCTTATATAAACGCCGCATCAGAAACGCTGAAAATTTAGTAGACGCCGCGGCGTTTAACCGAATAAAAACGGTATGCCCGTGAGGTAAAAATAGTGAAAAAAATTATTCTCTTTGTGGCGCCGGGACCCGAAGTAATCTCCTCAACAGGGAAACAAAGAAGGGCGAATTGCCGAGACTTACTTCCTGCCATCCTTTGACCTAAAACGTATTTCAAAATCATCGATTAGTGATAGGGTTCGAGTTTTCTTAGCTTAACCGTCAAGCATTGTATTCCAAGTAGGATAAAGGTCAGCAAAAAATAATACGGCTTCATACTTTTTGTCTTCTCACTTTCGAGTATAGTGAATGAAAATGAGAGGTAGATCGATGAAAGACTATTGGTTGTAAAGAGATAAAGATGTCCACAAAACTCCATTATGACGTAACTGTAAATGGCGCCGACAACGCAGACGTTTCCTGAAAAGGTCACCCCTGATTGGTAAAGCAAAATAAGGTACCATGGGAATCCGAAGATTAGGAATGGCGCGCAATCAGTCGCACGCTAGAGATTTGGTACGAGACAAGACCAAAGAAAGGATAGAGGCCATGGGAACGAGGACAGTAAAACCATTTTAGGTAACAGTTCTAAAAAGAAGATGAAAAAACAAAGAATAAGGAAGGGAATAAGAAAAGAAACTATTATAAAAATCTCCATTTAATATCTTTGCTTGGCCTATTTCTCAAATAACATTACGTTACTTTTTACTGAAAATAAGCTAACTGCACAATCAGCTTACCAATTTCCCTGGCAAAAACCAAAGAACAATTATAAATAATTTATATGAAAATTGTATTTGTTTAACTTATTGAGGGAATTGAACCCCATTTGTAGTATTCTGCAAAAGAGGTTTTCTTGAAACTTCCAGTAAAAACATACAAATTTTTCGTAGTTGCACTTCTCACATTCTTCGCGGTATCGTGAAAAGATTATTCACATCTTTCGCAAGAGACAGTAATTCATATTGGTCAGTCACAATGTGAAGCACCCTTGATTAATGGTGATACTTTCCGTCAACGTAAATCTTTTGTATTTCAAGTCTTGGTCAATGGTGCGGCATTTTTACATTAAAATTTCTTGTTATAATCAAGGCTCTCAACTGTAGCACAAAAGACCACTTGATCCCAGTCCTCGCGTTAGTCAACCGCTCCTAAAGTATTCCACATGACCGCCGCTGAAGAAAATGCATACACGAACAACCCTAACCTACTATCAATGGCCAAGTATAATTAAAAATGTAGACATTTTCGAAGTTGTCTCACTTCATTACTGACTGACGTCATAAAATAGGAAGAGTCTAGTCAATACATCACTTATGATTCCACCAATTCTTATGGCTCTGCTGTAGCTAAGTATAAAATTGGACCCTTCATTTTAACAACTATATTTTAAGTAAATTTGACGTAAGAAGACTCTGCCCTCGAACAATTGGCCTCTTTAGGACTCTGCCGCCGAAGCAGCTTATCGTGAGTCACGTGACATACTCGTGTGAGGCACAAAAGAGTGGGCCTGCAACTACTTGGTGTATTCACGTGAAGTCACGCGCGATATTGCGTCATATCGAACGTCACATCACGTGTCCTTCCTAATATAGCCATTTACAGAGCCGTTCATGGATCTTTTCTTGACTTCAAATACTGTGGATTCATCATCGCTGTCATCATCCGTATCGCTTAGAATCAAACTAGTGCTCAAGTATTTTCCTGCAAAGAATTCAATTACATTGCGTTTAAACGTTGGTTCAATATTAGTTTTCTAGATAGCACAGAATATCTCTGTTAACAGAAGAAATGTTCCAACCAATTCTAAGAGCACGGTTTTGGTTGCGTTTTGGTTTGTTACGCTCTCTGCACTTATGAAACATTTGGTCAGTTTGTATTGACTGGAAACATCGAAAAAAATACTTAACACGCAAAAAGACAAGCCAACGTAATGCACATAAACAAAACCTTTCCGCGCATCTAAGTTGAAGAATAAAACGAGTCACATTTGGTTATTTCTCCTCTTCCCCAAATTTTGTGCGACAAGTTCCAAGAAGCGCTACCTTACATCACCCTCTCACGCCCAGGAATGTTAAACGGCTGATCAAGGATGGCTATGGTATAGCTAATGGAGTTCGGTTAGTTCCCCCAATAAATATGCGTTACTGGCCAAGCGAGAAGTCAAGATGACTGGATATTGGCCATGTTCTTTTCTGTGTTTTTATGGACCAAGACGAAGTCGGAGTTAATTAAAATGCAAAAAGAACGCGGCCAATATTCAGCCACCTTCACCGAAAAAGGCATTAAATACCAGGCCAAAAAGAGAGGCTAACGTGGGAAATACGGGCATTGGCCGGCTCGGGTGGCAGGATTCCTTTTATTTGCCCGCTAGCTGATTCATACATTACAGTAAACCCATTAAACAGAACACAGTATTGCCACTGAAATTGACGTATGCACAAAGACTACCTTTGGGAAGCATTTCCATACTCTCCAGTTTGTCATCATCCTCATCAATAACAGCGTACCGATGATGACGTCTCTTTCCACGTACGCGTCTCCTAAAAAAACGTTATAAGTTGTCAATCGTCATAACGGTCGCCGAAAGTCGAGTAAAAGGCTGCAGTTTTTGTAGATAACACAGCACAAAATCCGCCTTATTAAAGACGGAAGTCGTGAAGCATGGTCCACTTTTTGTGGAAACGTATGGAAACGGGAGATGAGTTGGTGCTTCGTGATTAAATCCAATGCTTCCTTACCTCAGGCAGTGGAAAGCAAACAAAGAAGTTAAAATCAAAAGAATTAATGTGGCTAAAGCAAGAGCACATTATGGAAAGATGAGTGGTAAACAACGCGCAGAAAAGAGAGGAACAACACAAGTTAAGGAAGTGATAAATAAGAACACAACAATGAGATAAATCAAAAGAACTATGGAGAAACACTGAAGAATACCATACTGACAAAAAAGTGTCAAAAATAAAGAAAAAGAAAAAGAAATGCACTGTAATTTTTGGGGAGTTATTATAACTCCAAAAATGGAGTAAAAATTTTAGGTACAGGATAACCCCTTTTTTGGGGTTATTTTAACTCCTAATTTAACTCCGAATTTGGGGTGAAATGGGGTTACTTGTAACAAATTTAACTCTGTCGTCAATTTAAAAGGGTCACGTAACGTGGAATTAGTTGAAAATTAGAATCAATTTAAAAGACAAACGGGGAATTAGTTAAAATGCGGGGAAGTAAAAAATTACACTTGCCCAAAGGGGTATAAAGATACACCGACTTTTTTGTCTTCATACCAAATAATTGAAATATCATACCAAATACCATATCATACCAAATAATTGAAGCATACTCCCTGGTAAACAATGGAAACGGAAAAGTTGCAAGAGAATATAAAAATTCGATCGTGTATAGGGTAAGAGCTACTTGTAAGTTGCCGTTAGAGGAAAGCCTGGAAAGCAAACCAGGAAAATAGCACGTCCAGAAATGAGACAAAATATTTATTTCATAGGTAAGAAACTACTAGGAACTTCTACTCAGAATTAGACAGAAGGATAATCATGGGTTAAAAAATAGTACTATAATAATAATAATAATATAAAGCTGGAATTTGGATTAAGCAATTTGAAACTGAAAACGGAAAGGAGAGATTGGACATGCAACTCATTAGACATACAATACCTATGGTCAGTAGAAGAGGTGTCTTCTGTCGAAGGAGCGTTAACAGAGACTACTAACTTCTTACGACGAAGTCTACAGACAGAAAGAACGGAAGAGCACAGAAAAGAAAAGTCGAGAATGGAAGGAAAACATGGGAGTATACCCTTAAAGAAGGATTTGGGACTGAGATAGAGTTAAAGCTATACATTCAGCGCTTTAGGATTCTTAACGGACAGTTGAGTGGGAGAGAGCAAAATGAATGTAGTTCGATTAATAGTGCAGAAGATCAATAACATACACAGTGACCACAGTAAGACCACAGACCACCTAAGACTCGCACGACCTAAGGTACGCACGCTTGGGTTGGGTGATTGTGGGACGCAGTCGTATAGTGGCTGTGATATGTCTTCAACACACACACATCCTTACATGAATTTATAAGGCTGAGAACTTTTTGTCGCTTGCAGGCAGTAGAAATGATGCGCATGCATTCGCAGATGATGTTCTTATACTAGCTATTATGAAGTATCTTCAGAATAGCCGGAGAAGAAAGTTTCTTTACCAGTGTTACCTTTACTGTTAGATACTTAAACGTTTGGGAAAGCAAAACTCTTTTTCAAAATCAGGGTACGAATCACAATTTACTAACAACTTTTTGTTGAGCAAACAGTTTCTTTGTTTGATGAATTGAAATCTGTGTTGAAAGAGATCAAGAAAACCCTAAATCAGAAGTCGTCTTGAAATAGAAAAGAAACAAAAGCTGATTGCAATAGTTTGTTTTTATCATATATTAGCTCTAAATACATTGAATTATTAATATTTACTCTTTTTTATTTCCGACTCTATAAAGTCGTCTAACTGTAAGTACTCTCCCAGGGCTGTCGCCAAGATTTCAAGCTTCAGGGTGAATGCAACTAGTAGGCGGGGCATTGAACAGCTGGGAAGTTCAGATTTTGGTTTTACTTCCGTTTTGTTCCCTGTGATGATAAGCTAGACTTTCTAAAAGTCCTGGTAGGTTATGCCATTTTAAAGGACTTTCATACCTGTTTGGCGTGAAATTCACCGGTCGAAAATTCTACCGGTGACATCATGACAATTGACCAATAGGACAGTGAGTGATATTTCACGCCGCTCCCAACACAGCATATGTCAATCACTTTTTTCTCGCGTGAATTTATAATATGATTCAAAACAAGACGGCCTCAAGACTTCGTCGCTCGCTTGTTCGCTGCGCGACCTCGTGCATTGAAGCTTGCTTCGCTCACTTTTAAGAACTGATGAGAGGCATGGAACATAGTCAAGTGGCCGAGAGGAATTCCCGGCCTCCGACCCTTAGTGACAGCCCTGTATTCGGTAAACCCACAGTCGCTACAGAGTTTTGATGTAACACGTCAGTGCTGTATTTAGTAGAAAAATACAAATAATTTAGTCTACTGCTCTTACCTTCCCATACAGAAACATATGGCCCACACTAACCCGCCAATAGCCATGATGATACCAAAGATAATTACAGTTACATAGAGAATACTCCAATCTGCAAACAAGACAATCACTTCAATTAAAGATCAAGTTATGGCGGGATGACGTGATAACCTAACTTTTAAAAACGAAATCCTGTGATACTACCACTCAAATGAAACCCCTGACAGAATTTTTGTACAAAACTTATTATCACATAGAAATTTTGGAAAAAAATCGTTTCGCTTACATACTGAAAACAAGCGTAAAGCAAAGAGTCTTTAGTGGTTCTGTTGTCGATTGAATATACTAAATTTATTGAAGATTGTTTTTTCTGAGCCTACAGATAGCAACAGGAAAATTGAGACTGGAGAAAATTGCCTCGACGTGCCCTTAACCCTTAAGTTCCAATAGTGACCAAGATCAATTTTCTCCTAACAATATCCATGTCTTACCAAGAGAAATAGTTATGAGAGTTAATAAAATGATCACCTAAGAGAAAATGCTTTGATCTTCTACCAAATTCTCTCAACTTATTCCTTAAGGAAATGTATAAAGACTAGTTTAGAGAATTTGTAGGTGGATATTGGGGCTTAAGGGGTTAAAGCGGTTAAAAAACACACGTTTCAAGAGCTGATATAGTAAGTCAATACAATAAAAACAAACGAACCAAAATGGACAAAATATAGACAAGTACAAACAGATTGCTTAAACTGTAGTCAAGTAGCTCTCAGAAACCTCCACTTGTCTCCCTATGACAACATGCCTGCTGTTATTTTGAGGATTCAAAACATTGTTGGTTCATTCATTTGTTGTTTTGTTAGCTAATTAAGCGACTAGCCAGGTGAAAACAGCTGACATTTTGTAATGCCACCACTGGTTTCCCCACCAAATGACGTTTGAGGAATGAACGCAGCAGTACTATACTAATGACGTATCACTACCCAGATCTGAGTAATGCTTCTGATTGGTCGTGCCGATTGGGAAATTTACTTAAACTAATCAGACGTCCAGATCTGGGAAGCAAAGGTCATCAGTATGGAATTTCTGAAACAAATGATGGCGCCACTAAAATGTAGGCTGTTTCTCAGGCTAGTTTAACAACTCACTCTTCGTTGTTTCCTTTTTATATACGCATTTAATTCCCTGATGTCCGGGAGGACATAGAAGATTGAGCGCTTACCACAGTTGCTCTCCTTTGTTCCGAAGTGAACCTTGAGAAAGTCCTGCATCCAGAAGCTTTCGCAGACGCACATTTTAGTGTGACGATCACAGTAGCCGTGCCCTGAACAGTTATTCCTGCAAACTAAAAGCAAAAAAAGCAATTTATAACACGCGGATAAACACATGAAGCACTGTTAAGGTACAAATACTAGTCTGCATAACAGGCGTTATTTTTTCACCTTTCTCGGGCGAACGAATGCAAGCGCGAAGCGAGCGAGTAGCGTCAGACACGCGCGACGCTCGGAAAAAATAATGCCTTCCCCCGTCGCGCCTGTCTGGTGCTCTTCGCTCACTTCCGCTTGCCTTCGTTCGCCTAAAAAACGTGAAAAAATAACACCTGTTATGCAGGCTATACAAATACTTACTGTAGGGTTCAACCTTTAACAGTCCAAATTCAAAGAAGCCTTCTTCATTTCCGATCTTTTCCTTCAGTAGTCCAGCTACTTCATAGCCATCTCTAGCTTTTGATACTTTGTCCTTTACGTAAAACACCACCATCAGGCTGTTGAAAAAAAAAAGATAATTCAATCAGGATTCCAATAGGCGACAAAATTATTTGAAACACTTTGCTCTGTTGATGGGCTTTTCTGATGTTTTGCCGACCTCAAAAGGGGAAAATTGAACTTTTCCTCCCCCACCCCCTCCAATCAATGTTGTTCCGTTTTTCGAGCTACCTGAAAGAAACAAAAAAACACCCAGCTTTGAATGGAAGGGAGGGACAAGGGTGTGGATTATTTTGTTCTCCGAAGGTGGTCTATTTTAGGAGAACAGTTTTGTCGCCGATTGTACCCCTTCTAAATAGGCGATCTTGCAGCTGTCGGAAGACCTCACGGGATTGCTTTGCAACCGGTTTGGAAAACAATAAACAAACAAAGTTAACAATGGTACCTAGCGCAAAAACAAAAGAGCTGCGACCCATAGGGGTCCAGTTAAATTAGAGGTTCTGAAGAACTGCAAGGCTACTGTTCTAAACCTACTCCAGCTGGGTCGCCTGTGCTTCAATGCTAGTAATCTAGTATACCTGTCTAGTATACCTAGTATAATCTAGTATACCTGTGGCCTACACCAGCTTCTTTGAGATGTTCAACTATGATGTCTTCGTCCTGAACATCAAGAATAACTGCCAGCTTACGAATCAACTGCTCCTGTTCAAAAGACAAAATACTTAAATTAGTAAAGTTTCAAGACTGGACAACTACAAACAACTACATCGCTCCATTATTGTAAAAATTAGTTTCGATTAGTGATTTCATTGGGAAAACCAGCATTTGGTATTTTGGATATGCGGTCGTTCAAGAGAGGTTGGAATCAATGTATACTTGTTATATGAACACAGCGACTCTAAGTTCCATGATGTATTCGTTAAGTTACCTTATTTTCCTCAGTGAATTTCGTAATATCCACATCAAGGTACAGTTCCACAAGGTGAACACTGTTTTCATCTGCAAACGCAAGGTATTGGAGAACAAAATCAACAAAAATTACCTTGCTTAACCACTTTAACCATATCCCTTCTGCTCCTTCTCTGGGATGAGTAAAGCAAACAGGAAAAGAAAGTCTGTATTTTAATTTTGAGGATTAAGGGTACTCAACTACGAAGGTAGAAGCGTTATTATGTTTCACAAACAGCTTCCAGAGAATGAGTTTAGGATGTAAAACTATCTAAAAGAAACTAAAAAGGAAATCTCGTCTTTTACCTACAGTTGCATGCGAAACTTGACACACTTAGTAGGGTTGATAATGACCATGGTGTTGGTGGTGGTGATGGTGGTAGGGGTGGGGTGGCAGAAGTACAATGGTAGTAGTGGTGTAGAAAGTAATCATGTCAGGGGTGGAGTGGTGGATGGCAGGGGTCGGGTGGTAGAGGTGCAAATAACAGTGGTGATGGGGCATGCGTTCGAATCCCGTTGAGATCCCGAAATTTTTCTTTTCGGGTTAATTTGCAATTGCTTAAATTGCAATTACCACTGTGACGATCATATCATTATTCAAATTTGTATTTCCGCAGTTCACTTTATCTTCATTCAGTGCTAAAGGTGATAGTATGGCTCACATACCTTCCTTGACAGTTAGTAATACGTCATCAGTTCCCTTGAGGCCCTTCCCATCTGCCACTGTAAGCTTAAACTTGTACATTCCTTCCACAAGATTAGACAGTCGCAGTACCGCTTGATGGTCGCTGTTATTGATTACATCCTGAAATGAGCACAAGACATACAAAACATAAGGACCAACAAATGTCAAAACCACGGTCTACATCTGTTCATGAATTATCTCTAGATTTACGTCAAAAAGGAAAACTTAAGTTTGGTGGGTTCGAGGATACAGTTTTCTCTTTATAGAGCTTAAGCAAAAACACACATGTCAACCGGAGGCAAACTTTTTCCATTCTTGGGCATTGGTTTAAACCAAATTTTTCGGGCAGTCGTCTCTGTAAGGGTAAAGACACTTGGCAACAGAAATTTGTCAGCATCAAGACATACGCCTTTGCTTAAGCTCCCTTTTATTCAAGCTTCAACTTACCCCAGCCGCAGGACTCTTGGGGTCACGTGTCCACTCATACTCGACAATACCGTGATCGTCATATGAGCTGGATCCAACCAATTCAGCAGCTCTGTTTGGCAAATAAACAACGACATCTGGACCAGCATTAGCAGTAGGCGGCTTATTTATATCTGAAAAAATTAACAGCAAAAAGAGCTTGTACAGCCTTACGTACTGCAGATTCTGTTCACACTCCCCTATTTTCCCGTAATATCGTCCAGATCGAGCGCTTTCCGTTATGGGCAGCCATCTTGGACGCAATGATTGTCAAATCTACTTAGGGGGCGGGGGACGGTTTGGGAGGACTATAAACCCCGACTCCCACCCCCTCGGTACATAAGAAACCAAGATGAACACCTGTAACGGTAAGCGATAGCGATACTGACGATCTTACGAAAAAATAGGGGACTGTGAACAGTCTACACTTCCTTTTCCATCCTCGTTCATATTACAGCCAGATCAGTGCCATGCTCAAATTGTGATAAAAGAATGTGGTTGAACTTACATGTACTTAGCAACTCACCAATAACATATTGACAAGAGCTATTGGTCAGGGCCAGTTCTCGTATTCGTTTAATTAACACGACCACAACAAGTCGAGGCGACACCTCCCAGCGCTTCGTGTGTACTGGAGCACTTTTGTGAAAATCTTTGTTTCTGCAGCAGAATTTTGTCGCCGCAACAAGCCGCAGCAAATCAGATTCAATTTGTGCGACTTGCTGCGGCAACAACTGTTGCGGAGACAAATTTTCATAAAGATTCTCCAGTACACAAAGGGTACTGTTGCAACTTGTCGCGCAACTTGTCTTCCCGCCTTTACACAAGGAGTGACTTGTTCACGTGACGTGTTGCAGGGACATGTCGCCTTGTCTGTCCCGACGTTTATCTTACTGCTTGCTGCGCAGCGTACCTTTCTTAACGTTCACGGCTACTGTATCACTTCCAGCAAGTCCTTTGTCATCCGTCACGGTCAGCTTGAAAACATAATTCCCTTCAAGGAGTTTATTGACTGTCACGACTTTATCATCAACTCCTGACATCTCAGCCTGATGTGGGCCACTACAACATAATTATAAAGAAAAATATTGAAGAAATACAATCGAACATCCACTAACGGCCACCTCTCCACAACCGCCACTTTTTGGGCAGACACTCCATACATTGACTCTTGTTTAGGCCTCTCTACAATGGCCACCTCGCTAAAAAGGCCACTTTTTGGGCAGACAGTCCATACACTGACTCTTGTTTAAACCTCTCTACAATGGTCACCTTGCTAAAAAGGCCACTTTTTCGGCAGACAGTCCATACATTGACTCTTGTTTTAACCTCTCTACAATGGCCACCTCGCTAAAAACGCCACTTTCTCCTGTTCCCATGATGGCCGTTCTGGAGAGGTTCAACTGAATTTGGCACGAGAAGAAGTGTGATCGGAAGACTTGGGTTTTAACGCTGAAGAGGTAATTTTTTGAGACTCAAAAGAACGTTTAAGACGCTGGAAAACTTTCATTTGACGGTCACGGGAGATATTCTGATTGTCTGGGATGTACTGGACATTTAAATCAAATTAAGAAAAACAGTCTTAAAACAACTGCATGCATTACGTGCAGCCGATTCATGCTAAAAACTCTTTACAAACTTATGTGTGACCATAAGTCCGGCAATGAAAAGATTAAGAAGGTTGTGCTACAATTTAGTTTTTTCCAAACAAAAGTATATGTGAAACCCACTCCTAAGTGCCATTAGGTAGATTCAGGAAGAATCCAAAGCTGGCGAGCGTGACAAAAATTTTGAATTTTGTTGAGTGATCAAAAAATGACAAATAAACAAAAGACAATATTTTACAATATAATGACAAAATAAAGTAGAAAGGCAGGGTTACCTCAGCTGTTCCCAGTGGTATTTCACAATTTTTTGGTCATCATGACTTGCTGAAGCATCAAGAACCGTTGAGTCATCTGGGTAAACCAAATCCTACAACAAATAATATGATTAGTCCGTTTTAAACTATTTTTAATGCATGTTCTAAGGTTTTTTAGTGCTTTTTTTTTTCGGAAAACAGTTTCTTAAAAAATTTTCCCCAAATTACGATGTTTTTAGGTTCTTCTTAATATTTGTACAAAAATAACTCACTTTTTATCCTGTTTTGTATTTTTTAGTTTGTCGAGCGTTTTTAACATGTGCCTCTGGCTCGGAAGATTGTGTAAACACTTCCCACGTCTTCGACATTAAATAAATCATTCAATTCAGTTCAATATAAACCGACAACATGAAACGTACATAGGTTTTCCAACCACTACAAAATTTGTACAAATGTAGGAAGCAATATCAAAGATACACAATCCAATGGTACGTATTTGAACTTTGTAACTGTTGTCAAAGTTTTCAGAGCTTTTGGCAGGATGTACATAGTTGTTAGCGTACCAATGTTTCGCTCTTAACAATTGAAATTTCAAATAGAAAGGAAACGGGGATTAACGAAATAGCTACCCCTATATGTATGCCACCGCGGTATAATGACAACACAGTCTGAATCGTCTTTGTCAGAACAATTTACAGCAACGTCTTGATTCTTAGAAAATTTTATTAGTTTAGCTGAGAAAGTTAAGTAAGAGTGAATTTCCACCCTCGCGTACTTTTTACATGCGTAAATAAAATAGGGGCGTGAATGTATGAAAGGTCGCATGTAAACGTTAACCTGGAGCAATGTTCAACTTTCAAATTTTCCATACATTACCACTATTTTATTCAGCGAGTAAAATTTTAATTACACAATAGTTGAACTCCACCTTAAAGGTACAATGTAACTAAACTGACCTTATCCGAGCCAGCTACTGCCACAGGAGGAGCATTCTTCTCTGGTTGAACTACGACGGTGACACTGGAGCTGGCAGTCTGTCCTCCTGTATCTGTCACTTTCAACAGAAACGTGTAGTCCCCCACAACCATGTTGGACACCTTCAGAATAGGGGAACTTGTGCCCTAAAAAACGAAGTCATTTTTGAGTAGGTTAACAAACAAAAATGTGCTGCCCCAGGGTCATCTATAATTTCCAAATTCCCAAGAAATTCCTCGGGTTAAACCAGTTAAACCTGTTGTACTAACCTGCATATCCCCTACTGCTGGACTAGATGGTGTCTTGCTCCACTCATAACTCACAATACCCTGAAAATGTATGACAACAAAATGTTTCACGTAAAAGCTGTTAGAAGTGTTAACGCTGTAAAAAGGGCGGAGCAGCCAAATTATGAATAGAAAATGTTTGAGAAGTTGCGCCATTCTGCCAGAAAACACGCTGAGTTCTACATGTACTACCATTGTAAAGACATTATACAAAAATGAGGTACAAGAACTTGGCTGATGTTATTACACGGGCTTCTCCTACCATTGCAAAGTGATAAACCTTTGATGCATGAGACTAGCTCGTGGTATTATATTGATTCTTCCTATTATTGCCGAGCCATAAAAAATCTGTAAACGAGCTCAGCGGTTGACTGAGGATACCACGTTGGCTCTTCCTATCATTGCAAAGCAACTTGTAATAAGGGCCAGTAAAGATTTAGAAACAAAGAAGAAAGTCGACCTCCGGACAGCAAAACCATCAAGAATCGGTCCTTTTTGTACCTTGTCATCAGTGCTTCCATTTCCATAGAGAACAACGTGATCCACAGGGAGTACAATCACCACATCATTCCCTGCACGTGCCACAGGTGGGTAATCTTTCTCTGTTAAAAAAAAAAAGAGTGCGTAAAACTTGTGAAGCCAAAAACTCTTCAACTCCAGCTAGTCTCAGGAAACATTCTACAGTATAAGCAAAATAACCTCATGATGGAAGACATTCTCTGGCACAAAAGTGCATCTCAAATGTAAATTTGTTTATTACGTTAAAATAATTGGAAAGAAGAGAAGTTCTAGCTTAGCCTGTTCCAGGTACTCTCATCTCCTTGTGCTGTCCCCACAACCTGAACGCCTGGAACGAGCTAGTTCTAGTTTGAATTTTAAGAATGAGGATGCAATGGAAACTAAAAAATTCGGGATACTCTACAACCTAATAGGAATCTAAAGCCTGGTAGGTACAGTGTATGCTAACATCCTGACACAAAAGGTGGATAAAAAGTTTTTATTATTTTCAATTGCATGAGAAAAATGGTGATACATCTTCTGATTAACTGATCATGTTCAGGACAATAAGGGCTTTTCTACTTTGCAGATACTGTACACTCCACTGTCCAAGATTGTGTTGTTACCATTTCCAAATCTACCAGGTAAGTGGGAAATAAATTATTGTTAAGGATTTATCGACACATTCCTCACCATCATTGACAGTCACTGTTGCAGTAGTGGAATCTGATTCACCATCTGAGTCAGTAACAGTTAACCTGTGAATGCAATTTAAACAGCTAGTCAGTAGTGGTCAGATGGATGACCAATACTCCCAAATACAAATAGTTACCCCCTGTAACTGACTACTTATCTAGTTTTGTCTGACTAAAATAGTGATTTGGGGCCTACTTCTCGAACATCCCTAAACTTTACAATGTACATGCCTGGAACCGTAAAGCAAGCTGAAAAAATAATAGCACCGGTTCTAATCCTCTTATCAGTCCATTCCTGTCTTGTTTAGAGAAACATGTAAGTTTTATTGAGTTACTTAAGTTCAAGATTGCTAAAACCTTGACCTTGAGTGCAAAGCAAACAGTTTTCTGGGCTAGGTAATTTTTGGAACTTTCAAGAAACGGGCCTCTGGTCAGTCATACATGCAACTCCTTTGAAAAAAGAAACATTAATTCATTAATTGGTCCTTTCAATGAAGTGTTAAATAAAAGTTACATGACATACTTAAAGGTGTATACTCCTGGTACGAGGGACTTCAGCTGCAACACAGGCGAGTCTGCTCCAGAGCTCATCATCTTATTCTTGTCATTCAGAGGACCTTTAACTTCTTCCCACTTGTACTGAGTAATTTTATCATCGTCTGAACTCTCTGCAAATGAGGGGGCATCAAAATACTCAATTTTGTGCACATTTTGCGGGATCTTCGTCATATAACGAAAATGAGTGTTGATGCACAGTTAGTAATATGTGGAACTTTCTTTACGTTTAACCCACAAAGGGGCGAAGAAAGTAGGTGACATTGTTTCTAAATTAGCTAAAAAGAAGAAATAAAAAATTACGATGAATGAAAGAGGAACTGGACATTAACATAGTTTTGCTGAGGTCGAAAATGGACTTGAATGACAACATAATTATCAAAAATCTTTGCAAATTTGTGTGAAGAGAATAGACCCCATCTCTTCATCTTGTTCCACAATGTTCAACGGACTCAATTTTTTATTTAAAGATCAACATCGCTATACAAGGCATTTATCCTGTTTCCTTTCAAGTATTGCAAGCCTGTACTAATAGGAGTTGGGAAGGGCCATTCAAAAATGGAAGATGTAAATTTCTACATAATCTGAACATTACTATTTTAATAAATCATACTGTTATGATGATGCCTTAAAAGCAGCGGGTATACAATCCTTAGAATACTGCAGAATTTTCTTATCATCATTAGTTTTGTTACTTTGAATATTATATATACAGCAGCCCTTTTTTTTAAGATACGGAAATGTGACAGGTATGATTTATGAGGCTCTGGCTTCAAGGTGTAACAATGAAGCCTTTCAACATCATGGCTGTGTTATTCTTTCAATTGTATATTAAGTCGTACCTGGAACAAATTGCAAGCAGAAGTTCATCTGAGGATTTTGCAACTTTTAAGATTGAAACTTTCCTTTGATGACTTTTGTAAATGCCTTTTATATTCATTATGACTAGTAAATATGTAAATGATTTAAATTATTTTAGTACTTTATATATCTTTGAGTTTTTTGCTTAATGTATCATTGTAATTTGTAATATATAAATAATTAGTCTAGCATTTGTATATACTTCAAATTATCCCTTTAATACGTATTTTTGTATTTCTTTTGGACCAATATTTTTATTTCACAAGAGTCTTTTAACGAGTTATGACTCCTGAGCTATTTGCAGGTAAGTAAATTATGTCTATGCCTACATTGCAAGATACAATTGCTGCATTTAAGTGATGAACTGTGTGTTACTGGCATTATGTACACAACTTGTATCAGAATTTCAAACATAAAGCATGGAGATAGAGGAGGAGGTTGAATGTTGACAGTGAATTAGTAATAATTATAAATATCCATTGTAGAGCTAGGTTGTGAACCCTGTACATACAGGGTTTGCATCTACTCACTTGATCCATCAAGGACTACTTCATTAGTAGGAAGAGTTATGGTTTGTTCCTTAGGTGAAATGTCAGCACGAGGTGGCTTGTTCACTCGAGGAGCTGAAAACGCAAAATATTATAAACTTAATACAAGTATTTACACGAGTCTTTGTATAGTTATGAATAAGGACAATTTATGTAAGACTTACATTTACAGATCCCACAACATGACATAACTATTTCATTGACGTACATGCTTGTAACTTGATAGCTCAGCTCTCAAAATAGTGACTTTTACAGGAAAACCTAGCAATTCAGTTCTTAAAAAAGGACAACAATTTTGATAGATTTTGAAAACCTAGTGTTTGCTTTGGTATACTATCCAGGAGAACACAACAACAACATCACCAACAACAAAACAATGTTTCACCTGGCACCACAGTGACATTTATAAAGGCATATCCATAAGCTTGGTTCTGTCCTGTAACTTTGACCTTAAACTGATAGACTCCTGATTGATCAAGCTGAAAGGAAAATAAACAAAAATTAATTGGGCTTGTTACCACCCCTATTGGACTCAAAGAATACACTGTACACTCTAATTGGTTACATTTTGCTACCCTTTACTAACTAATACACAGTACTGATCAGGTTGGTACAAGGGAGAGGCAGTGGTAAGGGCACTTCACTCCTACTAATATGGCCCAGGGTAGCCCCAATCTATGCCACACAGTGTACGTGGGTTGATTCGGGTGTTGGGTGCTGTGACAAGTTTGTTTTCAGGAACTCTGGTTATTCTCTCTCCACAAAAACACAACACTTTAGGGGATTGTGCTTTTTCATCTGCAGCCTTTAACTTATCGAACAATCTGCCCCTTCATATCCATCTTGAGGACAATTTGGAACATTTTACATCTCTACTTAAAATGCATCTTTTTAGACTAGCTTTTGATATGCAATGTTTTTAACCTACTAGCATTGCTTACTTTTTAGCTTTAATTACTATGTTCATTTAAGCTTTTCTTTCTTTTAATATTCAAAGCATAAATTGTTACACCTTTACCTTTTGATCAAAGAAAAGATGTGTTATAAGTTTTTAACATTATTATTATATTGTATTATTATTAACACTATCAAGTTCCAACTTGCATTGGAAAGCACAAAGACGTTCCATGAGTTTCTCAGAACTTCCAACGTTTCACACACACAACTTACATTAAGATTAATAATCACATACATTACCTTCACAATAATATGCATACCTGACTGAGTATAACTCTTCTGGAATCTTGTCCTTCCATATACCCATGGCTACCTTCTGGAGCAGAAATCTGCTGCCAGTGGTATGAATAAGGATTTTCTAACGAATACAACAGTCAAGTTATTAGCCAAGAGTGAGAAGACCAGATTAGGAGGGGGGAGAATACAGCTGTACAAGTACAATGTGCAGTATATTATGTTTGTATGCAAGCGAACATTATACAAACCTGATGTCTCTTTAGGCCATGCACTGGCGTACAAGCTTATTGTGTTCAGAGGCAGTGTTAACACCTTATTGTCCCCAGCAGAAACTTGAAGAGATGGGTGTGGAGCTATGAAACCAAAAAGAGAGTATGATACATGCTTCTCTTCAGAAGAATTAAAGAATTAGTTGTCATAACTACATGTACAATGTGTGTGTGCTGTATACAGACTGCACCAACCACTCTGCAAAGACTGGTGGTGTCTGTATGAACTTGTACTGCCTTCCCACTACAGAACAATGGTGTCTTATTTGTATGGAACCCTCTCATTAGTATTATATCCAGTAGAAACTAATAATTATTATTACACATTTAACTCACTGTCTATCATCTCATTGGCTAAGAGCCTACGGTTAATTTTGGAAATCAGCGCCACCTACATGTACAGATTAGTTAGTTATCTGCTAGCAGATAAGTGACTAATCTGTATGTTGCACACGCAATGTATTATTTCCAATCTTGAGCAATGTCAAAATTTAATCGGTTCCATGCAACAGTGTATTTATCATTATTTATTTCAAAACAATGTGCTAATAAATCAGTTATTAGATTTTGTTTTTGTTATATCTGGAAAAGAAAGGTCTTGGTAAGCGTTATCAGCCTTGGCCTTCGGCTCGGCTGATAACACTTACCTCGACCTTGATTATTCTGGATATCACAAAAACCTCATCCAATAATTGTTTATACATAGATTTAGCGAAGGCCGAATGTGAAGCATCCATATTATATACGTTTAATTACTTAAAAACAAAAAATTAAAACAAATAAGCTTCAACCAAAGCAAACCCAAAAATTTATACTTAACTTATATTAAAACAAACAAAAAAAAATTATAAATCATTTAATTCAAATTGGAAAAGAATTCTTACCCATATGTGTGCATCGCTAACTTCCCCCCGCCTCCACCAACCACACCCCTGTGAGAAGCTAATAGCCTATGAAATTTTATGTTTTATAAAGGCTGTTTGTCTTTCATGAAACTCTGGCTGTGCCCAGTTCACAGTTAATGTTTATAAGTCAATCCAGGTGAAATTTTACTTTTCAAGCACCCATGCATTTTGGCAGTAAATCTCATAGCCACCCGGACATTTAGAGAGAGATAGAAACAATAACAACAAAGCCGATTCATTATTTTTCAATTTTAATGTCTACATTGACCTGGATAACAGAGAAAGAGCTAAAGCAAGAAATAATAATAAAAAAAAACAAAGGGGACCAATTTCTTTGGAGGAGGAACGTGACAATTTTATAGTGGCGGTGAGAAAATGAGTGAATGAATGCACAAAAAAATTGTATTGCACGTCCAAGGCTGTTGTTTTGCTAATTAGACCTACTGTTTTGTTTTGGACATTGTCGCTTAGCATTACACAATTTTATATTTTGTTTGCGTAAACTATAAAAATCAATATTTACAAGAGCTTTGCTTTTAGCCTTGGCTAAGTCTATATATTAAAACCAAACTGAAATGAAAAAAGGTTTCCTAGCAAGTAGTCTGTCGACAAACAAATTTCCAGATGCTGCATGAGTTCACCTGTCAAAAATTTGACCAATCAGGGGTTGGGGGGTTTGTTCCTGGAGCGTGACCAAAGATGTAACCAAACGAAAAGTAAACCCTCTTTTAGGTTATAATTCTCGTTATTTGGGGAACTCCACTTTTTTTTTTTTCCTATTTAATATTTCTGCATGTTGAATTTTCTTAATGAGATAGTGTTAAGGGACAATTTTACTTTTTTAACTATTTCATGCAAATTAAACTTTTTTGGCTGTTACACGTTTTTTTGATTCCGACCAGAAATCCGTCATTTTGCAAAGATATAGGAAAATATATTGGAGCAACCAATAATGTACATTAAAGTTCTCTTTTCTAACCAAACGAAAAAGTAAACCCTGTTTTAATGGGGCTCCAATCGCTTTGTAAAGTTCTCTTTTTGTACATGTACAATAAAATCCTTTATTGACCAAGCTTGTTTGGTCAAGATGGCTGAATATTTGCCTTGTTCCCTTTTGCGCTTTTATGGAACTTGACTTCGTCTTGGTAAATAAAAACGCAAAAAGAACTTGGTCAATATCCAGTCATCTTGACTGAACAAGCTTGGTCAATAGTGTATATATTTTGGAACTGACCTCCAGATGAAGGCTTTATTAAGGGCTTCAAAGTTGTTGTTTCTGTAAAAAAAAAAAAAATACAAGAATTCTGATAAGACAAAACCAAAAAAATACCATGCAAATACCATCTTAAGATTAAGAGAACTTGTAACTATTATTTCAGAACAATAAGGTATTGTTCCAGAACAAAAGTTAAGATCCCTCTTATCTTAAGAAGGTTTTATGCAACCTGGCCCGTGTCCAGTACAGTGAAAGCTAGGGGAAAGTTAGGTTACCAGATAACTTCAAGGATCCTAAATCCAAACCAGTTTGCTTACGTGGCGGGCTGATCCACACTTTCTGAGCTTCCTTCTTGCTTCAACAATTGAACTAAATCACGCGACAACAGAAAGCCAACTGACATTGCCTTCTTAGATTTTTCTAAAGCATTTGATGGCGTACTGCACCAGGGCCTTCTTTTAAAGCTAGGACATCAAGGAATTGAACCATTGAGTGTGCACTCGCCAACTGAGCAAATGTTTTAATAGGAAAATTATTAGTATCATTATCAACTCACCTGTAGAATGGGAGCCATTCTTTTCGGTAGAAGGCCCTACAAATTCAAAATCATACCATTAACATCATCATTAGTGTGCATTGTACTGTTTTTCACTGATTGACTGTTGACTGATTCACTGTTTTTCACTGAAGTTAATGTTTTCGTATTTTTAATAATTATAATATTATAAATTTTGTGCTGCATTAGTAAAATTTCAACAAGCGACAAGACCTTGAAACAGTGACATACATGATACCAACTTCATTATACATATGTATGGCAACAAATGACACGAACATGGCTTGAAAATAATTGTAACAGCAATAAAGACAAGCACAAATACAATGGTAAAATACTGACAGGGACATGACTTCCTCCTCACTACAGAGTATATAAAACGAGGTGTTTTGAAATTTGAGTGAGGGGCAATAGTACAGAATATCATAATTAAAATTCAAACTTGGGACATACATTCCCTTGTTAAGAGGGCCTTGTTGTACACAACAGTGACATTACAAACGCAGTAATTCAAAAGTTACCTAATATACTTATACATGTAATTCTTTTTATACACACTTGAAACAGGGTACAGTGGAAGCCCGATAATACGGTCACCAATAGGCCAAAAAAATTTGGCCATATTAACGAGGGTTTTTTTTACAAGGAAATGTATGCTGGTTTTTGCCAGACAGCCAAAAAAAGTGGTTGTAATAACGAGGTGACTGTATTACTGAGGTGGCCGTAAGGCGGGGTCTCACTGTATTCCATTTCTCCTTTTTTCTTGTAAGGAAATACATTGTACTGAACAGCCAACATCTCATTTTCTCCTTTTGAAACTTACCCATTGAAACAGGTGGAAGAGAAGTTGCATTGCCTAGCTGTGCCAAGTTAACTTCAGTTTCATTTGTGATGTTTACAATTGTCGGTAAACTTAAGGGAATTGTTGGAGCTTCTGCTATGGAAGATACCACTGAACTGGCAGGAGATGGAAGTGTTACATTAACCTACAGTTTAAACAAGCAATACACTGTTGTTAAAGGAAAACAGCTTAATCATATCTACAGTGGTAAGGAGCTTACACATTGACAAAGACACTGTATACTGTAAGCAATACCTCTAACAGGGTGTGTGGGAGTGGGACTGTACAATTAATTTGATCAAATCCGCACAATAATATTTTGAACCTAACTACTGTATCCAGAGAAAACCAGGTTGCTGAAGTTGGAAGAAAAATCGGACAAATAAACCATCAATAATGCTTGCTCCAGGGCACTGTTAACAATAATAAAATTACAGGTTTGGGTCTTTTCTTTTGTGCATCAAAACTCTGTCAATCTAGTTTTCACCACGTGTGACCAAGTCAAACACAAATGCAATTTTTACTAAATAACATATTCTGCACTTCCGATTAGGACTTACTGCTATCATAGTGGAAACCAACCTAAATACAGTGTAGCACAACACTGCCTTGCTGTACTTGCCTGCTAAACAAATCAGTAAACTTTGAGCAAAGCAATCTTTTTACCCACCTTTGCTCCATCATCTTCATCATTTAAAACACTTGGTTTAAAAGTTCCGCTAGGTCCAACAACATCAACAGCAGATGACATCTGATTTTGTTCAGGAGCACTAGGCTTTATATCCCCTAATGACACTTCAAGAAAGCTTCTGTTTGGGTTTTCATCTGTTTTTGCACTTATCGGCATTGTTGTCACTGTTTGGCCTTTTGAACTCTGTTTAGATGAAGGCACCTTCTGTGTAGAATCATGCTTCGTTGGCAGTGGTGAGCTTGTGCTTTTTTGTTGCCCAAACAAAGCTTTGAGATCATTGGAACTATCGGCATCTAATGCTTTTGCTTTTTCTGTCTCTTCACTCTCACTAGGCTCAGCATGTTCATTAGAACTACGTTTTGATCCTGACAAAATGACCAAGACAAACATTAGAGCTAGTTGAGTACAATAATAATATTGTGTATGCCATTACCTTTACACCCCCACTACCATACCTTCAACCTTCACTTGCAGTAATGTACATGACATATTCAACAAAAAAGGGCATTATGCATTGTAAAACCTAACTGTTTACTCATTGATACATGTACAAAAAGGACATAGAGACTTAAATTTTCAAGCTCACTTGCCCAATGGACAAGGGTCTTGGCAACTCAATAAGAGTTCCAAAATCTTTCACTTTCAAAATGAAGCTACAAAGTAAGTGCAAAACTGTTCTTGTCAAAATGAGTTCTGTTTGCGTGAGAAAAAAAGTTCATTTTCACCCATATCACTGGCTTTTCACTAAGCCTTGCTTTGAAACAGGGGCTTGTGGCAACTTGGAAATGGTCCATTTGAAACGACATGTAAACTGTATTAAGCAAAGACAAGCAACCAATCCTGATGGTGCTTATAAAACGTTTATACTACTACATGAGAAATTACTGCAATTTGATTAGTTTAGAGCACTGGTATTTCAGCTTAATTTGAAATACCTACATGTGAAAATTACAAACCTTTTGAGGGCAACAGTATAAACAAATAATAGCATGATTTGTGCGTGATATTTGGCATAAATACCACTCATGATAATTATTTCAAAGTTGTCTCAAATTTCACTCGCCTAACGGCTCGTGAAATTACGTATAACAATTTTGAAATATCACTCGTGGTATTTATACCAAATATCACTACAAATCGTGCTATTACCTATACTAATTCTGATCATAATTTTAGCAACTGAATTGCGTATTTACCTGAGATATTCAATTGTATGCATCCCTCTGCCCCAGTAGATCCCCTTGGTGGTAGAACAGTACAGTTTGGTAAAATAACAGCTAAGTACTTAAACTCTCTTGCAACTTTAAAATCAGATGCGCATATGGTACTTTCCAACTCTTCACAGTCCTCTTTACAAAGTCTGACTGGCTTGATTGGCTTGCGCAAACTCGAACAGTAAGGATACATGTTAACACAAATAGCTTTAAGTGCATATTTTGCACACTGTTCTAGAAGTCGTGGTTTCAGCAGGTGAAAAGGACTTCTTAGACTCTCTTCTAGTTTTTTGGGACTCTTGCTTAGGTATAGCAGTTTGGTTTTATCTAAGTAGTCACTGCAGACATGACCATGATAATGATGGCAGCTGGCTTGCCTGGAAAATGGAGTTATAGACATGCATAAATTACTTAATAGATTATTCCAGTGTAATGAGTGGCCAAAAAAAACGTTAATGTTTCACAAAAAGAATCAATGGCCTCAACAGTATTTGTTACGAAAACAAAACAAAACAAAAACAGTGTCCGGACTGTTTTTAAGACTGTTTGACATATCTCAACATTGCTGTAAGTTTTTGCACATGACATGTTGACTATCCAATGCAAGAGGTTAATAACCATTAAGCCCTTACAGGTGTATTAGAGTGATCAAAATTAAATTTCTTCTTTTAAATGTATACTGATACTTCAATACACCGATTGGTCATAAAAATAAGGACATGGTCACACAAAATGACTTCAACTGATAATGTACGACCGTGACAACTTCTCCCCAACCCATCTATAGGGAAAGTATAGAGGCCACAAATGAGAATTTTACATCATAAAATTGAACCTGTTTTATCATTAATCAACTTTGGTGAGTATGCACATACTGAAACTGATTTTAGTTGAAACCTTTTTATAATCTCTGTGAAGTCTACAAATGAAGATTCAAGCGAAAAACATGTAAATATTTAAAAACAATGTTCATTCAGTCAAAAAACTTGGATCACTTTTAGCCCAGAAAACTTAATTACTAACATTTGAACGTGCCTGGAACGTTTGATTTATGCTAACAAATTAAAGCCACCCGCACAAGTACAACTGCACTCGCTCAGCCAGCGATGTAAGAACTCAAATAAACCGAATACACGCAAATTATAACTACCTGTATGTAAGTTTTACATGCAAATTTTCGAAATTTGCGTGTATTTTCTTGTGTATTTTTGCGTGTATTTTTTTTACACGAGTGTTTCACACGGGTTTTTCTCGTGGAATTTGCGTGCAATATGGCGGATTTTCATGCATGAAACACGCGTGTAATGCTGCAATGCCTGTGGCCTGTACTGTAAGAACAATGTGCATCTTCTTTTTTTCCATGTGACAACCGCATGAACACAGTGTTATTATGCTTATAAATTTTTAATGACCATCATTACATTTTCTGTGATTTTTTTTGCAAGGGAACAAATTATTTACTTACAAAAATCTGTCTAAATACAGTGCACAAATCAAAATAGAACTTACCGCTTTTCCCTAATAAGTGTCCTATCTGCTTCAAAATCTAATGCCCCTTTACTGTTGCAAGAAATAAAATGAAAAAGCATTACAATCACTGTAGCTCCACCTCAAGCCAGGTGGCATTAATAACCTTATACAGAAAAGAAAAATAATGCAAACTGTATACTAAGCAACCCTCCATTCCAAGTTGTGACCATTTTGGTTGCCATGGTACCTAATATTTTGGACCTAGCGACTTGGTTTGTAAAAAAGTCTCCCTAAACCAAAAGAGTTGGTTGCGAAATTAAAATGGTGACCAAGAAAAAACTTTAACTTGGAGAGTTGCTAAGCAAAAAAGAATTTCTATTAATGAATATCAATACACCTCTTATTCAATGCTGTGAGCAGATAATGAGTGCGAATAATGCTCTGGTTCAATTTTTACCCTCAGATTCAATTGTTTTTCTTTGCTTTTGGGTATTGTAATAAATGATAAAGAGTTTTGAACAAAGGAAAATACATTTAGCATTAAAATTTAGGTCAAAATTGAATGGAAACAAAGTAGAATGGATGATCAGAGTTGATTGGGAGACTGGAGAGAGAGTGAACAAGCTAGAGGGGACTGGAGAGAGAACCTGAGGTCCTCCCCAGTTTCCCCTTGCCTTGGAAAATGGTTGGTAAACTTCAAGCAGTCAACATAATTAATCTAAATTATCATAAAACTCAATTTGCCACTCAATAAACTACAGAGAAATGGATTAAAGCTTTTGGCAAGGCATTCCTTGGATAATTTGAGTGAAAAATATACACATGCATGTTAGCAGTATGGTTGCATGTCAATAATACTGATCAATCACTACTGATGCTTGTTCATCAGCATGATCCCATGTTATGAATCATAAGCACCAAAAACTAATATAAGGGCTCCAGTTGTTCAATCATTGGATAGTGCTATCTAACAGAGGAGCGCTATCCAAAGGATAAATATGGATCACTATTCAGTGGATAATACAATTATTGGTTTCCCTACTACATGTTTACTTATCCACTGGAAAGTGATCTATCTGTTGGATAGGGTTATCCATCGTTTGAACAACCAGGGCCAGGTCTGTACGCCTTCTTTCTGTAGATTGTGGAGTAAGGAATCAGAAAACTGTCAACACCTGGCCCCGGTTGTTCAAAAGCGACACTGTAGATAGTGCTATCCAGCTGATAAATCACCCTCCAGTGGATAGTATAAGGGAAACCAGTAGCGCTATCCTCTGGATGGAAATTTATCTGGTGGATAGCATTATCCACCGTTTGGACAATTGAGGCCAGAAATATTTCAGGAATGATAGATCTTGCCCAGTTTTAATTCCCAGAGAATAATAATTTTAATTTAGCTGGCCACTTGGTTGACTGTTGGCTCAGGTTTTCATGTCTACATCAAAAGGTATCCAGTACAGTGCGAACAACTATCTGATACATGATACTCCACTTTGCAGCTTTGCTCTGTTACAGAAATTGCGTCGAAATGACCATTCTTATATGTGACCAGAAACCCTGTCTGGTAGGCTTTTTGTGTCAGGGCAAAGGCTATCTGGTACAATTGTACAGTGTAAACATAGCCTAAGAGTGACAGATGTCTGATGCACGTCATTTACAACTCAACCATTCATGAGACAACTAAGTAACAGTTTACAAACCTTTCTTCCTCTCTTTTCTTTAAAAGCTTGGCTGAAGATTGGAAGAGAACATTGCATGTTATTTCATATACAAGTAAAGTAAAATAGTTACGTACATGTATAACAAATTTAATTATATACAGAGAAACCAAGAATAATAAGCAATAAATGAGTTGACAATAATTAAAAAATGGCGGAATTTTCATACACCAGTGCTCAAGATTGTTTTTGGAAAAGTTTATTATACAAGCCGTAGGGTTAAGGTAAAGTACGACATTCAAAGGCGAACTAATCATTCTATACATTGTGCAATTTTGCTTTTTGTAATAACAACATGGCAGCCATGATTACCATATTTATTCGATTTAATGCTGCCCTTGAATAAAAGCCACCCTCAATTAAATGCCGCAGACTGAGGCAAAATTATCAATAAACACCGCCCTCAAATAAGCACCACACCAAATTAAAAGAATGCGGCATCTACATTCGAGGATAATGAGAAAAAATTCGGTACAACCTGGTAATCTACACCATCCAGTCAATTACGATTCTAGCTCAGCAAAATAACAAAGACATTGGAACCTTTAAAGTACATGATACAGTCAACTCTCATTATAGCGGACACCGCGGGGACCTTGAGTTAGTGTCCCCATTAGTGAGAGTCCGTAATAGTGGGAGTTTATTTCTGTCAAATGTCTGTAATTTGTTTTTGCTGGGGATTTAACTGCTGTCCGTATTATCGGGGTGTCCGTTATAGCAGGGTGTCTGCAAGGCGAGAGTTGACTAGATTTGAAAAACAATTTACAATAACTGTTGTCCGTGATTTAAGAAAAATGATTTCCAAACAAACACCGCCTTTGAATAAAGACTGCCCTCATATGAAGGCTGCACCGGGAATGCCAAAAATTTAATACCCCCCGGTGTTTAATCGAATAAATAAGGTATTTCAGGGAATGTTTTGAGTAATACCTCCCTCCACCACCCCCAGCCACACAAGGCCGATTTTAACTCAGGGCATAGTTAGGTTACTACAATAAAAATGTCTAAAATTTTATACTGTTAATTACTGGTTGAATTTTGATTATATCATGTAGTTTAATTTTTGAAATATTGATTTTAATAGTGGTAGCTTAACACCACAATTTACTTTAATTTGGAAATTGGTGCAATTAGTCACCATTCGATTTGAAGAAAATTAGAACAAATATAAATTTTGGAAGGAAATCAATTGAATGGTGTGTTATTAAAATCCAACCTTCCAAATTATTTTATCAGAACACAATGTGCAGGGTTTGGAAAATTTAGGATGTACATTGTAAAATGAATAATAATCTTATCGACTAGGTTTTTAAAATATATTATGTCTAGATGGCTAAGCAAGCTCCTCCTTTAAGCTATTAATAGAATACCACAATCAGTTAACAAAGAATTGGCGTATTTGAAATTACAGAGTACCTTGTACTAATGAATCCTACACTTATCTATAAATATTCTTAGAACAACTGTAAGATTTGCTTCAAACAAGGACAGATTCTTCACGAATTAATAAGGGAAACAGTCTTAGAAGACTCTTCAACAAATAAATAATTCATCGGTTTGTTCAGTCAAGGTTTTCGAGCATTTGCTTTCAAGCTACACAAGCACAAAAGCTCTTTAAACTTGGCCAGCTGTTTTGAGGTAAAAAAACAATAAGTTAAATACAAATAGAAGCTTAATTAGCAGGTCGATTTTCGCGCGATCGGTTGAACTGTAGACTCAAATCGTCTATGCAAGATTGTCGACGTCGGTCGGAACAATGGCGAAACAAGAATGTTCTTCAAGAAACAACAAAGGATTAAAAAAAAAACCGACGTGCTCAATTGAGCGAGCTCAAGAGGAAAATGTAAATATAAGAATGAGACATGACCACCCCAACTACCGAAGAGTTAGATGAGAAAATACTGCAGCTTCAAAAGCAAAGGCTCACAGTGACACAGTTCATCAAGTTATAAAGTCAATCTTCAAAACGTTTACTTTCAGGCCCATTTTTTGGGAGCATATCCAAATTTTCATACTATAACCATTAAGCCAGAGTGACAACAACTTGACTTACCGATTTTACGCACGAAAATTCTCGGAGCTACAACTCCAGAGCGCTTAACGTTCTCTGGTATGCACGCATCGGCGCTTCTGCACTGAACAGAGAAGCATCCCCCATTGACAAGCAACGCTAACTCGCATGAATCACTTGCACAACACAGTTGTTTACAGGTTTTCATGCTTGCAGTCCTTTGAAGGAGAGAGAAATCTCCAGCTTCTGCTCCCCCGCGTAGAGTAGCTCTACGCCACTCTCGACCATCCTTGTCGCATTTTTTAAAGTCGACATTCGATTTCGAATATACAACCCCTGCAAACATAGACAAACGCAGATTTGTAAGAGGCACTTCGAAAAACGAGCCATAAGTGGTTTTCCGTTGAGACACAAGCATACTAACCTAGGAATATAAATAAATATAATAAAGACAGGCTACTACTACGCCGTACAGCCCAACACAGCCCACACACGCCGGAAGCCATTGCTTGTCCGTGTTGTTTCTTGGTCAGCTGATTTCGTTCGAATTTAAACTTGTATTTCTGTCACCGATGAAGTTGCTAAGTTCCGCCAGAAAACGGTTGCATGACCATGAACCCGATTAATAGCTTCCTTGAAGATGATACTCATAGTTGCAACTTGAGAATTTAACTCTACAGCTTAAAATTCCAGTAGATCAACTTCCTTTTACAAGCGTCCGCCATCTTGATCGGAAACCAGTTTATGGTTTATTGATTTGCAGTGACGTAGCACATACGGGCATCTTTTGGACTAGCTTGCAGCTGACTGGTTTGTTCGATTGAAATCAGCTGAGTGTGGCTAAATGCTGAAAGTTATTTAAAATTTACACAAAATGTATCAATTTTTGGAAACATGCAAGAGATATTTTAATACATGCAATTGTATTTTTATCAGGGATCCATTCCGGCCCTGCCAACTTAACGTCATCATGACCATCACGATCACGATCTCAGACATCTCAGTACTACAAAAACTTGAAGTAACTTGACGAGGAAGGATACAAACCCTCTTGTACAACGTTTTGGAAACATCAGTTCGAAGAGATAACCCATAACGAGCCTTAAGTCCAGTCAGGCAAATAAAATCTACCGTACGTGGATGGCATAAAAAGAGGAGAGGGAAGGCTCAAGAGTCGATTTATAGTAAACAAAGAAATAAACAACGCTGTTTTCGAACGAAAGTTAAACGACGAATGAGGCAGTAATAACGAAAAAGGGAGAATGAACCTGAGAAAGAGGTAATCTGTACTAGTACTTTCAAATTTCTAGTTACACAGAACCAACCTGAACCTAGTCCCCAGGCGGTTCCCTCTTGCCCCGTTGTCAGCGCAAAGTCTCTCTCGGTGACGTCACAGCTCAGGGCAGGATCCAGGGGCGACTCCAGGGGCCCGTTTCTCGAAAGTCTCGGTAACTTTTCGGGCCCGACATCAAATATTCAAATCGAAACATAAAGAATAAGTGCGCGGGTCCTGGCAAGCAAACTACTCCATTTTGTTTCATTAACTGATAGTCTTATCATGTTAAATGCAAAACTATTGAAACCTCTATCTTACATGTAAACCAAAACAGCTTTACGGGCCCGTAAATTATCGATATCGGGACTTTCGAGAAACGAACCCCCCAGGGGCGCTTTCACAAAGACTTTTCCAATGGCCGAACGCCAAGGAACGGTGCATCTTGCATTCCGGTTGCACAGACTCGACCCAAGCCACCGCGGGTTAGGTTATTGTTCTTGGAAGCAGGATACAAAAGAACGGTACTGGGGACAACAATTTTGTCCAATAATGGAAAGGGATAGTTTCGGTCCGACCGACCAAACTGACCGGACCGGTCAAATAGGACTACCCTCAAAGAGGGGCGCTTTCCATTCAACAAAAATTCCGGTTTGAAATTTCAGAAATTTCACGTGCCCAATGGAGCTGTGCATTCCGGTTGCACAGACCCCACCCAAGCCACCGCGCGTTTGGTTATTCTTGTAAGCAGGATGCAACAGAGCGGCACTGTAGACGACAATTTTGTCAAATGGAAAGGGACATTTCGGTCCGACCGACCGAAATGACCAGACCGGTCAAACTAGACCACCTTCAAAGCTGGTTCCGACTATTCCGGTCGGACCAAACCGAAATGGTCCGTTCCATTTGGTGTACCAACCGAAATTTCCGGACTTTTGGGTTGAATGGAAAGCGCCCATGGTCCCGAAAATTCCGGTCGGACCAAACCGAAATTGTCCGTTCCATTTGATGTACCAACCGAAATTTCCGGCATTTTGATTCATGGAAAGCGCCCCAGGGAAAACCCGGTAACTCCGGGGAGATATAAAATGGAACGGTTCATCCCGATGGAAACTTTCCGGAATAAAAGGAATACCTTTCAAGTATTACCTTTTTCCCGTTTTTACAGGAACGACCGACATTTTTTGTACTATTTGTCTGGTTGACTATTGCCAGGCTTCCTCTTGAGGCGAAAGGCGATTAGTTTCTGATTAGTTTTAAACCCAGGTCCACTCGTTATCTGGGCCAAGTTGTTCGAAGGCCGATTAGCGCTTAATTAATCCTGGGTTAAATTTAACCCGGGTTTCTTTTTCTTTTGTTAAGAAGCATTTTCTCGGGTCATTTTCTCTGTTAAGTTTTTAGAGCTTCCAATCAGCAACTTTTAGACAAATAGAATTAAAACTGAAATGCTTTTTAAGCTTTTAAATCTGAATTCAAATCTCGCACTAACCCCAGCTTATCTTAACCTAGCTTTGAGCAACTCGGCCCTGGTGTTTTGCAAATAGCACTACTCTAACCCATTCCGGTTTTCGGAAAGGTTTTCAAGTCCAGTACCATTTGTCAGAAATTTTCTACCGAAATTTCCCTACAAATGGTAAGCTGCTTTGGAAGAGCTCGAATCCCGGGAACCGTGGGGAGAGGGGTTTGATTTGCGAAGCGTCTATCTTGTTTTGGCGGGAAATCGGAAGCCCGCCAAAACTTGGAAGGTGACACTCGCTCGCGGTGTCAAACGGCACGACTAACAACGACAAAAACAACAAGTACTTTAGGTTGTATTTTGAATGCAAAAAAGAGCATGTTAAGTGAACAAGCCGTCAAATCATGGCCTTTAGAAAAATATGCAAAGTTCGTAGCTCCGAAGGAAACATCATCAACTCACAAACAAGGATACTGGAAGGTTTGTATGCTCCGTATTTTTAAAAGTAAGAATTTGCTATGCCGGCGGCGCGTATGTGGCTGAAACATAAAGATACAGAAATAAAGCCTGTTAAGTTACTATTAAACTAGATTTTAACGATCTGAAGTGCCTAAACAAACCGAAAATGACTTAACTCTTCCTCTTCCCTTTTCTTTCTCTATTTTGCAGCAATTTCCGCCGTCTTCAGACGGTTCTAGCTGTCTACAAGTGTCGCTGTTTTCGTCCAACAACATGGTCGTGAGCGATGGGAAAGTTATACACGTTAGTTTTCCTTGCTGGCTTTATGATTCCCTCTAATAAAACTACTTAGTATCAGGGATAATTACATGTACGCAACAAACTAGCAGAAAAAATAAAAATAATAAAAAATAAAAGTTTGCTCTAGACCACTGCAAACGCATTCCTCAGCTGCTTCTGAACGTAGTTGTCATAATCACTCTTTGGAGAATTTTGCCTCGCTTGTACTGTGTGCGTATCTCCTGATTCATAGGTAATAGGTTTGTAAGTAATCGTACGAGTGATCAACAAAATCGGACTATGATTAATATATTAAGCATGACATTAGAATTTTAGGAAATATTCAAGTAAGGACTCGACAATCGAGACTGAAGTCACTGAAATATGAAATTCTCAGCTCCTTTTAAGTTCTGGTGTTACAATTGTATTCCTTTCTAATAACATAAATAATAGCAATAATAATAAACGATGAAGCTGTACGGTATTATTTAACAAGCAATGTTTCCTTTGTTTATAGGAAAGTTTTTCTTTGTTTAATGCTAAGAAGTGGCTGCAAGCAGTGGTTAAAGGAGACAGTATGCTGATCATTTACAAAATCAATGTAAGTTTGAATTGGAATATAGCATAGTTTAAAAAGTGATTAAGTGTATGGAAATGAAGACTAAAAGCTTTCCCTGTTGTTTCCCTGTTGTATGTTTGTATTCGATTTTTGCCCCTGACCGGGTATACTGTGCATCAGCTTTCATTGACTTGCACCATGTTGGACAAACTAACCAGTGGCAACATTCCCACCTTGTATGAAATGGAAAAACTAAACAGAGATTGTACTCCTTCGGAGAGAGACACAAACCGCTTGTTCATTCGTTTTCGCTTTTGACTTTTCAAATCCAGTCACTGTCTCTACTAACTCTGATCAGGTTGTTTAAGAAGCTCACGGTAAGGTAATTTCTTTATTACACACTTATCAAGATGGCTCCTTAAAGATCCTTTGACCTCATCATTGGGTACATTCGTTTTCGCCTTTGACTTTCGCCTGCTTTCAACACCAGTCACTGCCTTTTACTTTTAACTCAATGTACATAAGAGGTGCTCGATCAGTACCGTACGGTAATTTCTTTATTACTACCACTTTGAACAGAAGAGAACAACTTTCTTTTTCTTTTCCTGAACTTCGATACGGTCTTTTACACAAAAAATTGCCAACATTTGACGAACTAAAGGAGATGGAATAAGCGTGATAAAGTTTGAAGCAGCGCGAATTCACTTTTTAACTGACGTTTTCGTACCCGTCGCAGTTATTGTTGCTTAAGCTCCCCTTTGTTGCGCTATGCTTCGGGAATCACGCAACAAAAGAAATGTTAGGAGTCGTTAGCTCAAAAGTTTGACCAGTTTCAAACTTTGCCCAACAGCTGCCTCGTACCCAGACGTCTCTCTTTTGATGAAAATGTGCGCGCAACGGAGGGCGAGAAGGAGACAACGGGCTTCACCTGCCGTCTGTACCCTTCCCATGGCTCCTTGCGATTCATCACCAGTCACTCGTTTCGCGCTCGCCTCTGCCGTGCAAAAAACGGAGCGCCTGAGGAGGAGGCTGGACCAACAGCATGCAACAACAAGCGGGTTTTAACGGTGTTTTTCTGAGTGATAATATAAAACTTATCTGGTTCAAGTATTGCTCTCTTTCTCTCTCCACAGAATGACAGTAGGAGGTTCAGGATAAAATTCGGCAAAAGCAGTAATCGCTCGGCAATAGAACATTGCCGCCAGTTCGTTTCAGAGATCTCTTCCCAAATTTCCGTGCGTGAGATATCCACGGAGGCCTGTGTCGAATCTGATTCTCAGGTTCAAATGGAGGACTCTCAGTTAATCTCGCCCGAATCACAGCATGCACCTGCTAGTAAAGATGCTACAGCTGGCGCTGAGGCGAGAGGATTAACTCTTCCCGACTTAGCCAACAAGGTAGGTTATGTCTAAAATTATCATTGTCACTGTTGGCAGTAAGTAAAGGATTTTTTGCTTTAACGGGGGTGATTATCAGTGGACTAATAGAAGTTTGACGGAGTGATCAGCGCGTCGGACTCGCAACCCGATGGTCCCGGGTTCGAATCCCGGTCTTACCACTGTTTAAGGTGGGATGAGTAGTTGGTTTGCAGTCGTTTTAAAATGTACTGCCGGAGATTACAGTTTCAAGTGCTTGAAAATTCGGCCCACATCAGATCATTCTGGCCTTAGAAAAATGTTCTAATTTAGTCTAATCCTAACGAGACGGGCTTGCTAGGTTAACGAGGTTGAATATTACGAGAAAGCACACAAGTGGTATAAAATTTCATGACATGATTAAGAAAGGGTACACAAACAAAAAGGAGTCAAAATGCCCATATAGCTTTTATCCAAGGGTTTCATAAGTGAATTTTAGGGCTTGTATGTAACCAATTACCCTTCTCAACCCAAGAGACCTTTATGGTCTCCTCCTCTTCCTCTAGCTAGTTCTCTCTCTTATGTAAAGCGAGTGAAATCTTCATGTATATACTTGATGTGAACACTATACATACCGTATGAATTGGTGTTGCAGATCTCGTCCTCCGAGTCCGTTTCCGATGTCTCTCAGCCCATCGGACAAATGAGTGTACCACAGGACAGACTAAGCCTGCTAGTAAGACTGTGTTTAACTGACAGTAACTTCCCTGCTTTCGTAGAAGCCGTTGAAAAGGAACTACAAAGCTTGACGCCATCTCATGAATAAAGATTAAGGCGCTGCGTCTGTCCCGTGCTGCTATAATGTTAAGGCGCTTTTAAGCTTGAAAAATCCTCATTTGAAATATGAAAATCAAAGGGCCGATTATTTTAGTGAACGTCAGACCCGTCTACGAACTTAATGCCACACAGTGAGTAACAACAATAGATTCTGAGCATTACTCCATCAGTCGTTATAGTTGTTACACGTGAAGTTCGTTTGTCCAGTTTCAGTTCAGTTTAGGTTTGTTTCTTTACAATTTATGCAATATCAGAAAGCAACAAAGGAATAAAGTAAGAAATAAGAGAAGAAAATACAGAGGTGAAGCATGGCTTTTGAGCTACAGTCTCGGACAAAAATAGTTGGGACAGTTAACGCAGAAGCCTTTTTTTCCCTTCCCGTGCTTTCCATTTCCCTCCCAATGTTGTTTATTGCCATTCAGTCGGCAAATCGTGTACACCAACATTGAAGGGAGGAGAACACACAACAACGTCCCAACAATTTTGACTGAGACTGTAGTACGTTACACAACCGCGTTACATAGAGGGTAACCAAGTCTTCAAATTTAGTTTCAGACTAGTCTTAATATTTGATCTCTATTTGGCAGTAAACGAGGTGGAAAAAAAAAAACATATAGTAGAGCTATAGTAAATAGCCCAGGGCCGAGTTGTTCGAAGGCCGATTAGCGCTTAACCCGGGGTTAAATTTAACCGTGGTTTCTTTTTCTTGTGTTTAAGAGCATCTTCTGGGATAATTCTCTCTGTTATTTTTGGAGCTTCCAATCATCAACTTGTACACAAAAGGAATTAAAACTGAAATGCTTTTTACGCTTTTAAACTGATCTGAATTCAAATCTCACACTTATCTTAGCCCAGCTTTGAACAACTCGGCCCGTCGGGTTTTTGGTTTTTTCCCCATACCCATACCTGTAGACAAGACAGCCTGATTTAAGTAAAATTCGCTTTATTCTTATTTATTGTTTAGGAAAAGTTATTTTTTACAACAAAATGTTACAATGATGTAATGCGCATTATAACGGGTTTGAAATATTCTTACATTTCATATCTCGACCATTTATAAACCAAAGCTTATCTACTTTATCATACACCTTAAACCACTCGTTCTGAGAGCTTCGTGACGCCTTGTCACGCGAAGTCTTGTTTTCTCTTACAGGGGCGGCCTCATCAGCACAAAAAAGTGATAAAAAGGTAGATTATTTTTAGCACTTTTCCCAAGACACAACGGCACAACTTGAAAAAGTTAGCCAAATCTTTTCGAGTTGGATTTGTTTTTATTACCTTCGTTAATAGTTTCATCGCACTTCCTAGTAAGCACTTCTCAACAAAACGTGAGGAACATTTGGCATAGTGACGTTTCATCGGTTGGAAAAGATCTTTGGTGAGTTTCCTCCATGTCTCGTGACAGTACCATGCATATTACATGATATTAGGAATGGTTCAAGACAATGGATCAGGAGGTTCATAAATTCTGCATGGCTGTTCTCGCTTTGGAATTCAAGCTTATAACGCTTGGTCCGTCATTTTTTTCTACGGTATAAGGCGGGGGAGGCCCACTGTAGCTAAGGGTCTTTTTGAGGGACTGTGGAGCTCTGATGGGAATTTTACTTTTAGGCGGGGCCGTTGTCTCCTCGTGATCATCCGAGTCACTCTCTGTGTCGCTTAAAAACATTGGTCCGTTCTTCAAGAACTTTCCTGAAATAGGAAAAGAGGAAAACCAAGAGAATATTAAAGAGTTTAGTCAGTGGTATTCGCTGTACATGGACTGTTTCTTGCGTAGTTCGTCTTTCCTTATTTCTAAATCACATCCACCTCGGGGCTAGAAACTCCAAGGCCCTGTGTATAGAGAAAACTTGTCCAGGTAGAAGGGTCACTCACATACCCGAGCTACCCTGAGCGAGCCAACGTTTCCTTCATCTCCATACAAAACTTGGCGAACCGTTTACTTGAGATGCAAAAAAAAAAAGGGTGACGGGTCACCCTTTTCCGATGGCAAGATCACCCTCCTAGCCGGGTCAACTTTTCTCTTCCTCCCTTTTATGTGCTTATTGACTGAGTGGGAGGGTCGGACGGGAAAATATTTGGCTCGAGGTTTGACAGAGCGAACCCGCATCACTCAGCACGTTTTTCTAGTAAGTACCGTACGCGTAGGGGAGTTTTCTCTTTCATATGGTTTACCAACGAAATTGCACGCAGGGCCCTACGGTTCATATGATAAAAGCACTTTGGCTCGCCCAGCCGGGTCAACTCGGTCAAGGCCAGACAATCAGAGGATGCGCGAGCGCTGTTGTTAGCTCTTGGCTTAGGCAAAGAGTCTGCGTTTTTTCATATAAACGCTCGATAAACATGGCTAAAGTTGACTCGGCTAGGAGGGTAACCCTCTTTCCCGGGAACAATACTCCATATAAAAGACGCCCTAGTTTACGTTTTAACACTGTTCTGCAACCTTATATACTAAAGAGTCGACTATGAAAAAAGTCAGTTGAGATTTAGTTGATTAAAAATACCTGGCTCGTTGAACTGTTGTCCAAACTGTTGTAAATTCCACCCTTGCGGTAGCATTTCTAACCCTTTAGGTGAATCTCCGCAATCGTTTATCATGGTGAAACGATCGCTAGGTTCATCCTTGGATTTCAGGCGCCTACCTCTACAATAAATTCCAAATGAAGAAGATGTAGTCAATATTCAACCGATACGATGAGTTATTGCCCCAATATAAAATAGCCATCTTATTTCCTTATTTCCGGCCTGGCAATTTGCATAATTTTTACATCATACTAAGCCTCATTCAATAACTTTCAATTACCTAAGTGAAAACCCGAGAAAGATCGGAAACAATTCTTTGTCTCCCGTTTTTTTTCTTGCTGTCTTCTTTTGCGTACGATCTTTACCGGATCGATTTGTCTGTTGTTGGCGGTCTGTAATTAATAAAATTTAGACCACACCAGATCACTTAGTCAGCCAATAAGAACCTCAGTGGCATCAAGGGAAACTGCAGCTGTATATAAGGACAAAATATGGTAGAGTAGAAAAATGAAGAACAGCCTGCGAGCAAGCTCTTCATTTGGGGGATATCGTGAAAAGTGGACGCGAGGGAGGCACGCGAGAGGCGACGCGAAACCGCTCGCTCGTGCGGTCTCGCGCCGCTTGCTTCCCTCGCCCAAATAGAGCGTTTTCACATGACGTCACGGCCGCCATATTGGTGTTCCCAAACAATGGAACGGCGGCCAAATTGGTGTGCCAAGACAATCTTGTGGGAGTTGAACGCTTCTCTTATGTAAAAACTTTCTTTTGTTCCAATAAATTAGCATAGTTGCTTGCCACGTGAGTGAAAACGCTCTATAGGACAGCTTGTTCGCAGGCTAAATGAAGAAGAGTAACTTGCCTTGGGCTTTTAAATAGGTGACTCAAGCGGGAACGGTTGATGGAAAAAAGAAGACCACAGACTACCTAAAGTTGTTGTTACCTATGCCAGCAGGTACAGACGGTCCACATGATTCCTGTTATACCAATTCCAATAGCGATAGATCCTACTATGATGTACCATAAACTCCAGTCTGAAACAAATTCAGAAAAAAGGGTTGGGTCTCAAAAGATTCAGTTTAAATTCCATTAAAATTTCTGCTTTTATCAGAGATCAAATCAAAGTTACAAATAGTGAGCTATATTGTAGTTAGTTAGAAATAGGCGACCACTGCCATACGGAATAGAAAAGTTGCACTATCTGGACATGTTTATAGTAATGATAACATGGGTGCCCCACAGCCGTGAGAGCTGCAAGAGGAAGTCCTACACCTTATGGAGGGGAAATTGAATTTTGGGCTCTCCTCGCCTAACAGGCGTTTAACGGAAGTAAGTATAGTAATGATAACATGGGTGCCCCACAGCCGTGAGAGCTGCAAGAGGAAGTCCTACACCTTATGGAGGGGAAATTGAATTTTGGGCTCTCCTCGCCTAACAGGCGTTTAACGGAAGTAAGTAGTCTTAAGTATTTCAAATCAGGATGGTGTGTATATTTAGTAAAGTGTTGTCATTGTTAGTTGTTGTTAGTCTTTTTTACATACCTGTCCCTTGGTCCTCCACTTTCTTCCTAGACGTAATATAAGCAATTTGCGAGCCTCTTTTGCTTGTATAGTAAACAGGAACAGGGATACATAGCTCCTTACTCGCACAGTCCCCTGCGTAGCAGTTATCTCCCAACACCAAGGCCAGGTCGCATGTCTGTTCTGCACAGCACAAGGCTGCGCATGTTTCGATGCTATCTACCTCCGCGATCTGCGTGAAGTTTCCCGCCCTTAGACCTCCTAATAAGGTATGGTTGTACAGAATGTGGCTTCGGGTGCATTTGGGAATTGATGTATACTCAGCTTCGTCTTCAAGAAGTTCTGATTTTAAATTTAAAAGATAAAATAGCACTATATAAATTCCATTATTATTATTGTTATTATTATTATTATTATTATTATTATTAATATTATTATTATTAACATGCGCGTTTGTGTATAAACATGCAAATAGAGGCGCTTTTACTTTCTCCCCCTATTGCAATGAAACTCCAAACGGCTCTATGTATCCCTTGAAGATTGGTCAGGTACTTAATTGAATTTATGAATGTGAATTTTGAAGGTAATAAGCAAGAGTTAGCCTGACTACAGACCGACAGAAAAAGTTATTTGTGACAATTTTATACATTTCTTGTAAAGTTTGTTACGTCGCAATAGGGTGCTTTCGATTTTTTAAAATAGTAAGGGCTGGGGGACACCAACAAAGACATGACTTTCCTGTTTGCTTTGTTTGCCTCCTTCAGCTTTTATTCCGCCAAAATGAAACAAACTTACTTACTATTAAATTACTTTCAAAAACAACGTGTTCCTTACCCTCCTCAGTTATTTTGGGTGCCCATTTCAGGAAGGCTATCCTTGGGTAGAACTTGGACGGCTGTGCTGGAATGGTTTGACAAACTCGATCGCTGTAACAAGACACAGAATAACAGTAACTTCCAAGCATAAAGGCCATGTCACCGCGACCTAGATCACATGACCTGCCAATGCACTCCTGCATATTCTTAGTCTTGCCAAGAGATGTGAAGTTCCCGGATTTAATTCCTCCTAGTAGTGTGACGTTCGGGTAGATTTTGCTGGCAGAGCAGGTACTTGTTTTCAGGATGGTTGGGTGGGGAAGTTTGTCGCTGATTATCTCGTGGATTTTCATGGAAGGAATTTCTGAACTCGGCGCTGTTGGTAGGACGTTTGCTGTCAAGTAAAACATCGTGCCATAGTTGATGATTTTTCAGTGGTTAAAAGAATCAAGGCACTGAACATTTTTACGTCTAAGTCATACAGTTTGTCAGGGGAGTCGCTAGAAATTTTCAGGAGATGGACCCAGTCTCCCAATCGTTTCCACGCAGGTGACCTACTTATGAGTGTGGTGGGGCAAACATCTCCCTTGGTCTTTAGCAGGTTAGGGCTTTCGCATGTGGCTAAATCGGGGGAAAACAGCGTATTTTCTTTCGAAAAAATATCTGGAAGATGTCAAAAAGGAGTTGCATTATACAATCCCACCTTTTTTCTTTTTCTTGTTTATCTTTTGTTCTTTTGCTTTGTTTTTCTTTTAATTTACCTTAAGTAATTTCGCAAGTACAGGTCACTATGCGTCCCTGTTTGCGAGCAACTACAATCAAGTTTCTAAATACACTTTCAATAAAACAGAGAGATACATCACTATACGAGCGAACTGTAAGGAGATACTGACTAAGGATACATTCATGTGGCGTTAAAGCAATTTTTGACCGGTTGAAAATTCGTGCGTTCAACCCTTTCTTTCGCACAGAACCACCCTAACCGTACGAACATTTAGACGCCTGTCCGTTGAACGCCTTGTTGAGGTTAAATTTTTAGCGGCTACGGTCGAAAATATTTCCGGCGCGGTGTGAACAAAACATGACCGTCTAAATTTTTGTACGGCAAAGCCGGGGTGCCACGGGTGTGTGGTAACTAAGCTGAGAGACGCCATGTTGGATTTACTAAAGAAACGCACTGTGCATAGGTAGATGGTAAAACCACTGAGTTAAGTTAAATTCAACCTGGTTCTTGTCCTGTCAGATTTTTCAATTCAGCCGGTCGAAAATTCTTTCGGTACCGTGTAAATGTAGCGTAATACCGACCTTTTCTTGAAAGGCTTGGATTAGGAGTAGGATTAGGTCTTTGCAGCTCCCTACGTCTGATAAACGCTATTTGTGGGTCATATATGGTCGGCCTCGCTTTCACCGCCTGACATAGCTCCTCGCTAAAACAGTCCACTGCGATGCATGTACCTCCTATCATGAAGGCCAGGTCGCACGTCTTGCGCTCGCAGCAGAGAGCAATGCACATGTGCATGTTTTTCTCGTCACCCAGGTCACTGAAGTTCCCCGCTTTTATTCCTCCCCTCAGTGTCACGTTCTTTAGTATTGGGCTTTGGGTACAGTGAAGTTCCTCTTGAGTTAAAGGGTCCTCAACAGACACTAATAACAAATGACATGTGAAGAATGTTTAAGAGGAGCTCCGAGCAAAGCACCATGGGTAAAAAAATATGGTATGATTCATTCCAAGAATATTTAATCGTCACTTGACCGTGTGGCACCATGCCTTGTAAACAGGAGCTTAAACAATGCATTTTTTCAGTTGTACTCTTTTCTTTTCTTGTTTTCGCCCAATGTAAGGGAATCCAGATTCCGGAATCCAGAAAAGTTTTGCTGTGAAATCCGGAATCCTGGGCTTTGGAAACCGGAATACGGCGTAAAGAATCCGGAATCCACCTTCCATCGACAAAGAATCCGAAATCCTGGATATTTTTCGCTGATGGAATCCGGAATCCAGCAAACTTTTGCTTTAGAAACCGGAATCTTAGGCTTTGGAGCTCAAGGAACCCGGAATCTCACTAACAATTGGAATTCAGAATCCAAGTTCCACTAATAGAGACTGGAATCAAGTATCTGAAATCAGGAGTCCATGGCGTGGAATCCAGACCCCAAGACTGTTTTGGCTTCCCTTACATGGGACGAAAGACTACATTACAAACAATGTATTTTTTACCCTTTTCTTTCCTTGGTTCTATAGATTACCTGCTATTTGATCCTTGGCTGGATTTACAACTATTGGTCGCACCTTGGTAATCTGCACGGTTAAATTACTGGGTTTAACTGTCGTAATCTCGCAGTGCTCCTGACTGAAGCAGTCCACACCATAGCAATGTTTCCCAGGCATGAACGCCATCTCACAATCATCCTTGTCACAGCACATCTGAATGCAAGTCTCCATATCTTCTGCCATTCCCAGGCGCGAAAATTTTCCCGCGCGAAGCTCGTGCGTCAGAGTGACATTGGTCAATATTGGACCATGCGGGCATTTCAGCGGTCGCACATTTGTGATTTCCGACTCGAGACTCTCCTCTGAAAACAAGAAAATATTCTTTAGGCACTATCTAGCATTTGCTAACTATGTGTTTAAACTGCTGTATGAAGCTAAGAGCATAGATTTCTCTGACTAAACACTGCAAAACTGCTCGAGTTATCAAAAGTAACGAATTTTTTTGAAGTTTGCTTCAATTCAGGCTCTCGTCTCATCTCCAGTTCGACATCGAGTGATTTTTTTTTTGATTGACTCATTCGTTCGACCGCTTTCTTTGCCCGCGCACTGGACTTCGTCTTAGGCTCTGCATTCATAGGCCATTTGCACTAAGGGGTCATGTGACATCGTTTTTATGGAAATGAAAGTTATATGATTTTGCCTTCGAAAAACGATTAGTGGGTCATATCTTAAACAAAATAATAGTGATTTGGTTTTTCCAACCCGCACCATTTTCTTAAAATGAGTAAGTTCGTAGCTGGTCACGCGACCAAAATGTGATTTTTAAAATTTTGAATTACCTCTTTCTGAACACAAATTTTGCACTTAAACTTCAAGGAAAATGTTGAAAAGATGATGTGGTAACGTTTACAGTACATCCGAGTGTGACTATCAAACGTTTAACAAGATATAAGCGAAAAGTAGTTTTGGCGGCTATGTATGCCCTCCAACATAACGACCCATACAAATTATACTACGTTGTTAAAAAATCAAAGTTCCATAAAATACCTCCCTTAAATGCGTTTCCTCTCAAATTTCGGGTGTAAGATAATGTTTATGTGCCCTATCAATTTTTAACATTAGCAAGATTTCAACTCATTGTTTAAAGGAAGCATTGGTCTCGTGACCTCTTCGTACATGTGGCCTATTATACTGGCAGCCTGGCATTCTAACCCCTTTTAGCCCTCAATATCCAAATAGAAATTCCCCACTGATCTCCATACATTGGCTTCAAAGAATTAGTTTAGAAAATTTGTAACAGGTCAGAGTAAGTTCCCTTTAATGACCGTTTTTTTTCTAAATCTCATAACGTTTCTCCTGATTACGTATTGCTATGAAAAGCAATAGGAGAAAACTCAAGTTGGATGTTAACCTTGTGTTTATTTATTATTTTATTTGCCACACAATAATTACAAAAAATAAAGGAAAAGAGAGAGAGAGAGAGAGAAAAAAATGAAGTGGCGAAGAACCTAACAGAAACTATAGGAGCTTATGAGAGGTTAGGCTTCCTCAAACTACGGGTTACAGCTGTTTAACATCAATTAAAGAAAAGATGGCGAAAAGTCGAAGGTGGAAAGATTTATGAACTGTTTTCATATTTATTCAATAATTTAATCTTCAGTTTTTTCTTAAAAGAGGAGGGAGATTGAGAGTTGATGACCTCGTTGTCAAGTGAATTAAAAGCCTTAGGCCCTTGAAAAAAGGGCCCGCGAGAACTTCTTAGTGTTTTTATTTCGGGTTGCTAGTACCCGTAGTTACTTTTTTTGCAAAGGTAAAATTGTAATCTTTTGTAATAATAAGGGCAAATAAAGAAGAAGCTATTGTTGTTGTTCTTGCTGTTTTATGTTGTCGAATTAAATTTTACCATTTTTTTCCTTTCAATTACCGGCTTTGAGCCGTCCCTCTTAGAGCAGGCTACCTTAAGTTTGCTCATAGTAATAAGAGGCCGGCAACCTGAAGCCTCGCGCAACACAATATCCACTTGCTTGAAGCATCGATAATACCAACGAGTTAGCGACATAATTGTTCATCGAATTCAACATAGTGTCTTATCCTTTGCCAACCCAAGATTCCTATGGCCAATTCTCGAGAAAGCTTTAACTTGTTTAAGAGTTGTTTAGGTAAATTGTTTCCTTTGAAATAGCTGCTTATATACTAATGTTAGTTGACTTCACATTTATAAGATGTCTTATGAGTTAAAATCGTCTGGAATCCTATGTAATGCTGGCGCGTATTTCAGTTTTCCCTCGCTGATGTTTATTTTGTTAACCTCTAGGTATAGATTCAATTTCTTTTGTTGGTGTGAATCGGGATGAGACATTTTGCTCCCAAGAATTAAATAGCCACTAGGTTGTAAATATTGAAAGCAAATTTTACGCCGCCGTCACTTGGCATCCGCCTCGCCTATCCGATGACAACTGCATTAATGAGAAATGCCTTAAAGACTACAGAAAACATAATCAATTGAACATTTCTGAAAACGCTCTCCGTGCGTTTTGCCCTTTAAATTATGTTAAATTATGTTTTGACTGGCCATTCCACTTCAGTGCTCCAATTATCCGATCCTTGAGTTTGTTAGCCACTGTGCACAGAATTGCGCATTTTCACTTCGCTAGGTAGGGTTGGATATACTTTAAGTTTCGAAAATGAAACATTTCCTGTTGCAATAGGAAAGTGGTGAGTAGAATGCAATGGTTTGCTACTCTTGAAGTGTTACTGAATTGTTGCAATTTTTATATTTTCCAGCGCGAGAAGCCAACTTTACCAAACACTTACCTGTCAAACCTCGAGAAAACTTAAACAGCAAAGCGACAACCAAAAGGGATGTTCCAAAGCCCATCACCTCGATAGATATCTAAACGTTGTGGATTTTACAATCTTTAAAGGACAACTTTAGCGAAAAAAGCCGAGTTTAGGGTGAGGTTTCACCACGATGCATCATCGGTCGATCCCGGCACGTGGTCCGATTCATTTCATATGCAACAAAAGGCCATATCCACCCAATATTTTCTTTTGTAGTACCCAACTTTGTATTTCCGCAGACTGGTGACCTTATCACGTGCCATTAAAAGCTTGTTACCATGGTGATCACAGCCGTTTACAAGCAAAGGGAGACAGTGTTGTTTTGAATGACCTGTCGTTGAGTGAAAACAATATCAGCAGGTTACAAACAGGTGACCGCCCTATTTAATTAGAACTGTTTAAGGGCGTAATCTCTGATTAACTCCCAAAAACTTTAAAAAAAAAAAGAAATTCCCCTGTCAATGTTCTGCCTAAGATGTTGCATGTTAAATCGTCACAACATAGCTCTGTCCAAACTAATAAGTTTTTTTTTTGTTGTTCTTCTTTATCCAAAGTAATCATTGTGTGACATTTTATTGACTGGGCGGTTGTTCGCTTGAAAACGAACACCGCGGCTTTTTAAATATATTGGCTTTTCAGTGTTTCACATCATTGCCTTCCGGATAAGGACAAAAACTCTTCAAAAAAAAAAATTAAAAAGACCAGTTTATTCTCTCTTGCTTTAAACTATATTCCTGTCCTAAATCGACCTTGAGCCTAACAGCCATCACGGCCAGCAGAGTTCTCCAATTTTGTCACAAAAGCTTTGCCTCTCCCTGTTATTTGGACGATTTTTATCGGGCGGCTAGTCCTGATTCCAACGTTTCCTAACCCTTTAAGTCCCAAGAGTGATTAAAGTCAAATTTCTCTTGGCAATGTCAATATATAATCAAGAGAAAATGTTGTGGGAATTGATAAAATGATCACAAGAGCCGAGTTGTTCAAAGCTGGGTTAAGATAACCCAGGGTTAGTGCGAGCTTTGAATTAAGATTTGAAAGCTTAAAAAGGATTCCAGTTGTAATTCTTTTTGCCTACAGGTTGATGATTGGAAGCTCTAAAAATAGCACAGAAAATTGTCCGAGAAAATGCTTTTGAACACACAAAAAAAGAAATCCGGGTTAAATTTAACCCCGAGTTGAGCGCTAATAGGCCTTTGAACAACTGGGCCTTGATGGGAAAGCTTTGATCAGAAAACAAATTTTCTCAACTAATTCTTTAAGGAAATGTAGAGAGATCAGTCTGGAGAATCTGTATTTGGATATTGGGGTTTATAGTGGTGAAGAGGTGGAGAAAAACAAGCTATTTTTGGTGGCATTTTTGGTCAAGCAAAACAGGGAGTATTTTTAACATTTAAGCCGAACGTGCAACTAACTTTATAATCAATCGGATCTCGACTCGCTTTAAAACAAGTTTTCCCGAATCCCGCATCGTAAAATTTCATAAATCCCGTATCCCGTTGATTATTATATTTCTGGACCTCGCTCGTCCCTCTGACTCTAAAATCCCGGATCGCAAAGCTAACTCCTGGATCAGTCATAAATTTGTGATATTCATAAGCCTTGATTTAAACTTCTTCAAGAATGATCAATAAATTAGGAAGCCATATCAGGCATAAGGAAGAGTGTTGGATAGTCTATCCAAACACGCCAAAGCATCCTTTCTAAGGGACTTGTCAGAAATTAGCAGGGGGGGAGGGGGGTGGGAATTTTAAATTTGGGTTCGGAAATGAGGTGACCCATCCCTTCAATGGAAGTGAAATTTGCTAACCCTCCCCTTGACCTTGGCCTAAAATATCATGACCCTCCCCGTCTTGTATAAATGATAAAATCTAGTTCTTACAATACACTAGGGTGAGTCAGTATTACGAACGATCAAAATATATTTCTAATCAGTTCTTTGTAATGCCATATACTTACATTTTAGATGACAGCATTAAGAGTCCGACTCTGATTCTGACAGCTGATCACTCGACTCCCCTATTTCTCCCAGGTTTTTTTTACAAAATAAAGAACTTTTTTTTCTTCTGTGGGTGAACCTCTACATGATCACGGACATCATTTGCATAAAACGGCCCATTTTTCAATTTCTTAAAAAGTTGTGACCCTCCCTCTGTTTCCACCCCCCCTCCCCCTCTGCTAATTTCTGACAAGTCCCTAAGAGCCATTTAATTTGTTCAATAAACCAATCCAATCCTAAAGACCGAACGATTCCTGTTTCCAAGGAATGATGACAAAGGAAAAATGTAAATGCACAGTATACCCACGCTCTGAATTGATTTTATTACATTTTTTTTTGCGTACAAAACCACAATCTGTTCTAAATATCCATATATACAAAAGTGTATCAAACGTTGTTTTTCTTTTTATAAAAATATCCTCTCCCATTCGTACAATTCTTACAGTGCACTCTAACACTACAATGCTAACCTAGAAACAGCAATGTTGCTTTTTTCTTTGTTTCTACTAGGAATTTTACTATAGAGATAGTAAATCAAGTCCTTGCATAGAGCTCCGTTGAGAGATAAGCAATATGCGATGAGACACCGAGTTTAGTTTCCTCGCATCAATACTCAGCTAGAAACAACTTAAGCCCAACAGACCAGTTTCGAACGTTGAAAATTCTCCTATATTCCTACTTGCCTTCGAGGCTGAGGGGTATAAAATAAAAGAAACTGCATTGAGATCTATGGATGAGTAATTAATTTCTTTTATTGTATTCCCCTTGTCAGCCTCGGAGCCAAGTATGAATTTTCAGAATTCGAGACTGACCTATTACCGTTGTAACTTGGCAATTGTGGCAAATGAACTACCTAACTATTCACAACACTCAAAATGATATGAAAAGTTGCACACGCTCAATTAACAGGTTTTTTCATGACTAGTCATATATAGTTTTACGTGCGATTACGTAGCCCGTGACGATAAATACCGATTTGGCGTGGAAATCATTCATTCTTGCTCAGTTTTCAGCTGAGCCACTCAGGGGTGAATGGCCCACCCTCGAAACCCAAAATCGCGCGGGTCACATTACTAACATCCCCTAAGCCAATCTATCCCAGCTTGGCTTAGTCCGCTGATCAATCTTTTTTCCTATACCTTATTACAAATGTGCATGAATATGAATGTTGTCGAATAGATTACTAAGTTAAATTTACTACAGGGTGTTGAGGAAACCATTGTTTGTTCACTTGTGTTGTGGTGTTGGTATTGTTCAGTGTCCTTTCAATTCTTGGTTTGCAACCACGTGACAAAGTCAACACAATATAATTTTTTCTAGAAGAATTTACATGGAGATAGATTTTAGTTTCAAGAGTAGAGAAATGCTTTTGTTCTTGACCACCAACATGGCCGTCGTGACGTCACGTGGAAACCAGCAATTACGTAATTATAGATTCTAGGCTATTGTCCCTAAAAATGATAAGAATATCATAGTCTAGTCTGCTACACACCCGTTTTTAGTGTCGTCACGCAACGCTGCTCCCCACAAACTAAAAAAAAATTGAAATAGATCCACAGCGCCACTTATTTTCTTGACTACAAATAGTCCCCCTGTTTCATTGCTAGTTTGGCAGTCAGCGATGTTCATTCGCTGCCCTAGTATCCCTGTATCATCGAAGACTTAAACTAATCCGGAAGGAATATCCACGGGTAAAATCCTTTCCGGCAAAGTTTTCAACAATATAACGGATGAACAAACGGGGACTAATTCCTAGCGGACCAGTTTTAGAAGTACTTGAATTTCTTGCTTATGATCGGACAGTAGCTATTTTCTGTCCAATCAGAAGTAGGTAATTCAAATGCTTCAGGAACTGGTTCAGTAAAAGTAAGTCTCCAAGTGTTTTCCTATTGTTTTAAACTTTGCGGCCAACTCGCCCATAAATATCTCGTTGCCATAACCTAGCCACCCTTAGAGCTTCGAGGACGATTTTCCTGAGTAATATAAGGGACTACTCGTAATCTACTGATCGCCTAGCGTCCCACTTGCAGGTTCTTTTGGCTCGTCACGCAATCCTCCCCAACGTTCGTGGGGAAATAACGCGTGACGAGGCCCTAAGAACGTCGGCGTGGGAAGCTACTTATTGTCCACCGCGGTATAGGTTAGACATCGTTCAAGAAAGGATATCCTCTCCCCCTTCGTTTAAATAACCGACCCGCCAGGTTGCCCACTTTAGTTTAAAGTTTTGCCTTCGTTACTATCCAGTTACTTGCGCATGAAGGGAAGAAGACATTAATGTTTTGGTGATCCTCTGTAAATGTTAGTCTAGGGGTCGGGAGGCCTGAGTGGGAAGTTTACCAGAATCTCCCTCCGCCCCCCGTCTCCTTTACGACATCCAACAGGTTTAAATGATCTCAATTCATATAAAAAATTAAATAAGCAGTCTAAGTATTATACAGTTCTTAACCAAGATTGATCGTGTTCCTTCTTATTGCCTTTCTGTGCATTTGGGGCTCAAATCTGTATATTCCAGCCGTTGGCAGAAAATTTGTGGTACTACCTTTGCTCAACTGGTCTCGATTTTCTCTTTCTTTCAAGCGTTTACTTGTCTCAGCAGGAGCAACGATAAATTGGCTTTTGGTTCTGGCGTAGATATATACAAGCTGTGGACGGTAAACGGAGGATCGCGCTTTCACAGCCTCGCATTGTCTTTCGTTTAAACACGTCACAGAAAAACAATTATTTTTAAGTAGAAATGCCACGTCACAAGTCTTTGAGATGCAACAAATCTCAACGCATGCCTGGATGCTGGGGACTTTACCGCGATCCCGAAAGCGTCCCGCAGCGATCCCGCCACGAAGTGTGACGTTAGTCATTACTTCACTATTTGTACAATAGCCCTCTTCTTTGGTGTCCAGTTGTTCTTCAGTAGTGCTATTTACCTCGTCTTGTGTTTGAGCTTTGGTTTGAAGGAGCTCTGAAAGAAAGATAGTGTTGTCAAGGGCATAGATCTCAGGCTTAACCCCTATGTTGCTTTGTCTTTAGAGCGAAAGGGATTAATCTTCATAGTGATCGGCATGAAGATTGTCCTTGCAATATACATTGCTAATTAAAAAATCAGGGAGGTACTATGGAAAACATATTTCTTAAGTTTAATTCTCCTGATATTTTATTATTATTATTATTATTTTCACGTCTACAGCAACAATAATACTTTGGGTGGACGATATATGCGAGTTTGCTTTTCGATCATTTTGGAAGAAGAGCTTAGAGGTGGCAGGGTCTCACCGAGAAACTCACTTTCAGTATGTCTTCACTAAAAATGCTGTGGCCAGGGTATGTGTGATAAGTGAACTTTTCGTTTCTATCACCATAGCTTTGCTCAGTTCCCCTAGAACTTATGGTATTTCCTTAGTTAATTATTAGTTCACCGTTACCCTGGGTGCCAGAGGCTTTTCATGCGCGGTTGCTTTTTCTCGCGGCTTCGCCGCTCGTGTCTTCGGCCTTCGGCCAAAGACGAGTCGGCCTGTGGCCGACGAAGCTCTTCGTCGGACGCGAGAAAAAACCTTTGATACCCAGGGTACAAAACCCTGAGCTATTTGAGAGATTTAGAGTACCGCTTACAGCAAAAGACAAACGTAAATTTGTACCACGTGCCAAAGTTTTCCCTTTACTCTTCTACCCCAAAATTAGTAGTTTTACGTAAGTTTTGTCCTATAATAATTGTCTTGGACTGTTTTTATTTGTTTATTTTCTCTTTTGAGAAATTCTGAACTTGAATCTGACGTTGTCCGTCCGCGTAAAAGCGAGTCTAAATGACATAAAATCTCTCTTTTGTCTCTGCAAACTAAACCACGCAGACATGACATGCTAACGAAAAATAAGGGTTTAACACAGACTTTCCGTTTACCCATCTGATTGAAAGGTTTCGCTCCATCTTCCGCTACATGAAACCACACACAACCCATAATCTCCTAATTTGCTCTGACGGAGAGATAATAAAAATAATAATAATAAAAGCTTTATTCATACTGGAGATATCTATCAGCATTTATACAAAGCTGGTCCTAACAAGATGTCCAGTAAATAAAATTTATAATAATCTTATTCTAAAACGATAGCGCCCCAAACGTCAGGTTCTCAATCTCCCACACCGACGGAACACCACAATTCCGTTACAAGCTAGCCCCTTCATCCAATTGTTGCATGATCCCTTATCCCTGTTCCCGGTTCCCAGTTTCCTCCTTTTAGTAACGTCCTCACCTTTTTTAGCCTGGCTTTCAACGTCTCTCCTGACGTAAGACAGCCTGGGGTAAAAATCAGACGATGGTGCCGGCACCTCTTCACACAACTCCTCACTTGCGCACGTGATTGAGTAGCACGAATCTCGCAGCATCAGTGCGATATCGCACGTGTTTCGCTTGCAGCATAAGTTCACGCACGCTTCCATGCCGTCCACATGTCCTATAGGCGTAAACTTGCCAGCGGAGAGTCCACCACGCAGAGTGACGTCATATGAAATGACACTTGGTCTGCAAGACATACCGTCTCCTATTGCGATCTTTTGAGGAAGAACTGTGAAGATAATAGAGATTTGTGTTATTTATTCTTACATCTAACGTCTGTTCGACACAGTTTTTTTTTAAAGTGATATCATAACACAACGTTGTCTATGTGGGATGATATTACATCACCGGTTGTCGACACGGCACTTTCTTTTTGCTTCCAATTAAAATTGATCTAGGTGTAAGAAATTATTACGAAATAATCTCCAAGAGGGACTGGTTGACAACCTACCCCTCCCCTAAACCAAGATTAACACTTACTTCTTACTTAGGGCAAAATGTTGATTTAGGGGATGGGTAGGTGGTCAGTTACCCAGAGACGTATAATGATCCGATCAATTTAGGTTTGTGGGCAACTTCCAACTCACCCCTCCCCTAAGCCAACATTTTGCCCCAAGCGAGAAGCAATTGCTGATATTGGCTTAGGGGAGGGGTAGGTGGGCAGTATCCCAGAAACCTTAATTGATCCGACGGTCGAGTTAAGGTTGTTTGCACGGGAAATAAGAATATAGGTCGGCAACACGCTTGGTGTTTCCTGTAAGCCTTCGCGGGAGATTTTCAAGTCCTACATACCTTCTTCATCTCTGGCTGTTATATAAGATAGTTTAGGGCTCAAATTTGTCAGCAGACCCGACTTTCGGGCAAGCACAGGCTGACATAAGTCTTCATTATAACAATTCACAGCATAGCAGTTCGCTTCTAACATAAATGCTACATCACAGTCCTTTCTGCCACAACACATGCGAATACATGTTGACATTTCCGCGATTTTCCCCAAATCCGTAAAATTCCCGGCTTTGATTCCTCCTTTCAGCGTGGAGTTATGTTTTATATCACTGTTTTTGCATATCAACTTTGAGTTTGTTGCTGGGAGGTTGCTTAAAGTGATAGCTGCAAAGAAATAAACATGTTTGAGAAACTTATTAAAAATTAAAACTCAAAAGGCAAAAAGTACCGTATTTATTTTATTAAGCGCCGCGGGCGTTTATCACATTTTTAGCGTTTTCGATGCGGCGTTTATTCAAGGGCGACATTAGGGAGCTTAAGCAAAGACGTGTTTGAGGGACGCACGTCAACCGGAAGTGAGCCTTTCTCCCTTTTTATATGCCTTGACGCTAACAAATTTGTATTGCTAAGTTTCTTTTCTCTTATAAAGAGGATTCATCCGAGAGTTTCAAACAAACCACTGCCCAATGATGCAAAAGGTCCACTTCCGGTTGACGTCCGTCGCTCAACAACGCTGTTGCTTAAGCTCCCTATTTACTCGAGGGCGGCGTTTTTTTTTTTTTGTCAAAATCGCATGTCTTAAATAATGCACTGATAATAATTACGATCAACCGTTTGCTAATAATATGTAAAACAAAGATGCTTTAAGTTCCAGAGTCTCGCCTTTTTTTGCTGAAATAGAGTCGCGCATTCTTTGGGGGATCACTCGAGGGGGCAATACGACTTTGAGGAACGACTTTGTATGGAAGGGAGAGAGGGGTGAATGCTTTATCTCTTAGATGTGTGACTAGCAGCGATTTTAACTGGAAAAAGGCCAGTTCTTTGTCGGAGTCTCTAAACATTTCTACAACTCAGTGGCGGACCCAGGGGAGGGGCCAATGCTGAGGCCCTAATGACCGAAAAAAATCTTTTGGAGACCACCCTCCTCCTCCCCCCCCCCTTATCTGCCAACTGGTTGTAGCATTCACCTTCAAGGCTGATCCACACATACCTGTATCCTCGGTCACATTAGTGACCCATCGTCGTACAAATGCCACCGTTGGTCGATAATTCTTGGTCTCGGTTTTGACCGTCTTGCAAAGCTCCTTGCTAAAACAGTTCACAAGAAAACAATGTCCGTTTATTAACATCGCTAAGTTACATCTCTCAGACACACAACAGAGCCGAGTACAGGAGTCGATACTTTCTACTGTACCAACATCTGTGAAATTTCCCGCTTTAAGCCCTCCTTTCAACGTAACGCCTTCTTCTGCTTCGGTCTCTGTGCATTTAAGATTCTGTGGAACTGGGTGAGAACGGCGGCTGTACCCTGTAAGCAAAAGTAAAAATGAGGCAGTGTCGCTAGCACTTAGAAATAGTTACAGATCGCCCCAGCGGTAAGGGAATCCGGATCCCGGAATCCGGGAAATTCTTTCTTGTGGAATGCGGAATGTGGCAAATTTTTGGTGTGGGATCCGGAATGCAGCTGACGGAAATCCGGAATCCAAGTTCCACTGACAAATAATCCGGAATCCATGGCGTGGAATCCAGAAACCAAGACTGTCTTGGATTCCCTTACGTGGGGCAACACAGTAGCCTGCGTAGCAGGCACCGGTATTTTTGGGGGGCGAAAAGAGAAAATTCGAGGACGAGCGCGCGAGGGGAGGAAATGAGAGGGCACCTCCTCTCGCCTTCGCGTGTTCCCCTCGCGCGGCCTTTAAAAAAAATTAACCGATGCCTGCTACTCAGGCTACAATATAGAGGCAGCGGAGTGTTTAATTCGCTACGAGCTACCGACAATTCCCATACTCTGAGTGAAGTTACAAGTTACGAAGCCCAAAAAAGCTACACTTTACAGCAGGAATGGGAGAAAAACGCGCGCATATTTCCATCGGTTCCATATAACTAACAATCAACTTTGGATATTTTGTATCCTTCGTCGTTTCGAATAGGTGATCTGAAATTAATAAACTGATATTGAGCTATATTATCTCAAAGAAACAAACTCTGACGATCAGCAGAACAATACAGTAGAGTGATGACAACATATGATTTCACTTTTCGCCGTTGACACACAATAACGTTAACTTCACGCCCATTGAAAATCATGTCAATCCTATGACTGATTACACTCTTATCGCAATTTCAGAGAATGTGAAATCAGCGAAGTCATCCAATGACTTCGCTGATTTCACATTCTCGGAGATGTTTTTTAGAGCGCTAAAAACCAAACCAAAACAAATAATATAAATTAATGCTCTTTCTAGCTCGAATACTTAAGAGCAGTAATGTAACACATACAACCTTGTTCCCCCAAAATATCAGTCAACAACTTAAGAATCCATTTGATAGTCTCGAAATAAACAAATACCGTAAAATTCCGAAAATAAGTCCCTCCAAATATAAGCCCCCCAACTCGTAACGTAAAAACCCTCCGTTAAATCGCCCCTCCAAATATAAGCCCCCGGGGGATTGTACTTGGAAATTGCCCTCAAATACAAAGTAAAACAAAGCAAAAACGGTAAATTTCCTTCCAGCTATAAGGCTAGTCCAATCGATTTTGAAACGCAAATTTCCCTCCATAGATAAGCCCCTCCTAAAGTAAGCCCCTCAAAAAGGGCCTTTGAAAAATTTAAGCCCCGGGGCATGTTTTCGGAATTTTACGGTGGTTAACAAAAATGAACATTTCCCATACCTTCCTCTCCCGTTATAGTGACGTGCGAGATCATCAACGAAGAAGGCGCTTTTTTGGCGGGTACAGCAGTGCACAGCTCCTCACTAAAGCACTGAACTCCATAGCAATTTTTCCCGGACATTAGCGCTACATCACAATTTTTTTCTTCGCAGCAAAGCTGAATGCAGAGCTGCATGGCTACAAACTGCGCCAGTTTCTTGAACGTACCAGCGTTTATTCCACCCCTCAATGTAACGTTTTGCTGTATTGGGCTTTGCGCGCAGGACTCGATAGGTCCAGCGGTCTTCTGGGTGGCGTTTGACAAAACTACAGATTGAGAGATTAGGAAATGACAAGTAAACAAAAAAGCAGACATTCCTACAATGTTCATGGTAATTGTTTGTAAAATTAAAAGTGCGACATAAATTCCCTAGTGTTCATGGAAAAGTTGACAATATATTATTTTACATCCAATTTGAGCGTTTATTCAATTGGAGAAGATCAAGTTCAAGCCTGCAGACGGCTCAGAGTTTTACCTTTTCACGAGTGGTAGTTGTACATTCAGATTACCGAAAAAGTCATGTCGTGTTTAAGGTCAGTATTTCATTGTTTACTTTGCATGTTGCAACTTCCAAGTTGAAGTCCATGGAGTGGATTTAAATCCCTATTAATGAAGACAATAGAGCTACAAATACTAATACTAATATTTAAAATTACTTTACTATGGCCTAACGATGTCAATTATGATATACTAAAAGGTCTCAGTTTCTTTTTCATTACTGAGATCCGACAACTGTGCTCATAAAACTGAGCAACACAATCCCTTAATTTATGAGACTTTTTAGGCCTTGAATCTGCGCCGCAAAAAATTATGAAAGAATTCTTAGTTTGCTACAACTCAACTTAAGGCTATTATGATGTACAGTGTCCTTGCACGCGGAAACAGACTCTGTCTTTTTAGTGGTCATTCTAAGCGATCTTTACCGCACTTCGCAAGATTCTTTATAGGTGCTGCTCCTTTAGAAAGTTACACTTTAAACAAAAGCTATCCAAAATTACTGGTGGAAACGAATAATAATGTCTTTACCTTTCGTCGTAAATCCCAGTGATACCAGTATTACAAGAACCAAAATGGCGGAATTGAATGAAAGCCACCTAATCATGATACCATGATGGGAGATTTTTGCAGGAACAAGCTGTCCTCATCCACTCCGCATCCTTCACGATCCTTTGTCAATTAATCCATCTCGAATTGTAGAAAAAATCCAACCATTTTCGAAGCAAAACTCTCGATATAAACGCTCTGCTTTCTTCCTTGGTCTATGGCTCAACAAGCTTGTGAATAATTAATAACGTTGAGTCATCTGCTAATCTGACCTAACTTGGGGTTATATTGTTGTTCGACCAAGCTTGCAACGGGTTGTTTTGCTTCAGAACTTCAGTCGACCGAATCTACTTCAATAGATTTAAGGAAGCAGTGTGGCTGAGTGGTTAAAGCGCTGAACTTGCCATTCGGAGGCCCCGAGTTCAAGTCCCGCCATGACCGCTTGCTGAATTCGTTCACGGTAGTCACGAGTTCAAATCCTCGGCCACGCTTGTAAATAGCCAGCTGGTTTGCCTCCGGCCAGTTGGGTTTCCTAACCCTGTTAAGTTTGATTTGAATTATTTGCTTCAGGCATTTGCTCGGCCCCACTAGCATTAGTGCTATAAACACTGCCAAGGGTAAATAACGGAATTATTATTATTATTATTATTATTATTATTATTAATACGACAAACTCAGACGCTGAAAAGACATGAGAACCGCACCCACAAGAAAACCCTCTGCTGGTGTGAGTTGTCAGTTATCTTGGTGCCAACATCGGTGATCCCCTGTGGGCAGGGCTAACTCTAATCGTGTAAAGCGAGCCATTTATATTAAGAATCTGATCACACAAAACCAGCTGTTAAAATGAGTAGATTTCCTCAGCACTGTGACACCATGGCACGTGCTCTGTTGAACGACACCTGAGATGCTCTGAAATGTTTTCTCGTCGAAACGCATCGACCAGATACGAAGTAGCATCGAATGGTGTACCTTAAAACAGGTTCAAATAATAATAATAATTGGGCACGTGCTTTGGAAAAAACCTGGTAACAGGCAAGGCAAGCACAACAGAGGCAGACCGAAGGACACCTGACGACGAACGGTAGAAGGAGAGATGAAAACCCTAATAAACCACACCCGCAGGGGTACCATCGGGAAGCTGGCCCAGAATAGACCTTCGCTGCTGCCCTTCATTCCACCGGGCATTGTGAGCAGTAAGTAAGTAAATCTGACTTGTGGTTTCTTTGTATCAAGCGAGCCTCTGGGCGGGGAGGAGCACAAGGAAATGAACAGAGTCATGAGTGACATATTTTATGGTAAAGTACCGCCTACTTGTATTTATCGGCTTTGAAAGATTTTCTGCAATCAGTAAAACTTCAGCCAATTAAAAACCTGGATTTAGAAACTGCAAAACGCCATAACAATCCCCTCGATTCGTAATTTAGACGTAAAATGAGAGATGCAATACCTTGTTTTTTCGATTTCATTCACGTTTATTGCGTGAAATGACAATTCAAGACAGTTCACTTGGTGAACTTACTGATGAACAACACTGATCTCCAACGCATGAACAACTATGCCAACATGCCCCTCGAGTTTGCCAGTGCTTTCCTTTACAATTTTGAAACCTTTAGAAAGCGACCACTCAAACTGAAGTGGTCCTTAAGAAGGGTGGTTGCTTTCTGAGTCCATATCTAATTCGAGTGGGTCACAATAGCAATTTGACCAAAACCAAAAACTATGCATGAAACGTCTCTGGCACCCAGGGTATATAAAAGTCCGTCTGTCAGTACAGCTGTTTTAGTGACTCTTTTTATTCTAGAGGTGCATAATTCGTCTAGACTAATTGTGTCTACTTCTGCTGCCCCAAGAGTGACCAATATCAATTTTCTCCTAACAACATCAGCAGTTCATCAAGAGTAAAAGTTATGAGAATTAGGAAATTGATTACCCAAGGAAGAATGCTTTGATCTTAAACCAAATTCTCTCAACTTTTCTTAAAAGAAATGTATGGAGATCAGTCTGGAGAATTTGTATGTGGATCTTGGGGCTTAAAAAGTTTCAGTTAGGCTGAAATAGGGCTGCCTCTCATCGCCCTCTGCCATTAGGAGTAATTCCTCTCTTGCGAGGAATGACTTAAACAAACAAATAAAGGCAAACACAAAAACAAAAACAAAACCAAATTCCACAATTTTAATCGTTTTTCTAGACTTTTTCCAGGCTTGGAAAACTGGTTTCCAAATTTCAATAATTTTTTGACAAGAATTCAGGACTCTGTGACATACTATGTAATTATCCAGGCAAGACGGTAAGCAATTTATTTTGTTAGGGTGCAATATGCCCCCAGGGAGGGTACTCCAGATTTCAAGTGGCAGGGATGATAGAATGGCAGCAAAAATCAACACCCAAAAAAATCCCTGGACAAAAATTAACCCCTGAAAATTCCCATGCTGAATTTCAATACTTATACTTTGATATTTTGATACTGTCGAATTACAGAAAATGTTTGGGAAAATCAAGGTTTTCTAAAAACTGATCAGGGACTTCTTTGCAGATTTAGTGTATTGTTTCTTTGAACTCGTAAGTTACTCTTTTCAAAGAGAAAGCATCAAATATATGAATTCAGGAAGAATTAGCTGGCTTTGAATTCCAATAACTATCTTTAAATTTCCTGCCCTCTTGCCCAGTTTACCCATGACGCAACTATGGGCATGAACTCCTCTATTTCGTCCAACATCCCTTCAGCAAACACCTCTCCCAACAAACATTGTTTAGAGGGAGTACATGTTCATCATATAGAATTCCCCGTTACATCAACAGATTGATGCCAGTCAATATAAGATGATAAAATTTTGTTATATCATTGTCAAAGTGTTGAGTATTCATAACAAACTTTGACAGCGTCAAGCCTGGCGTATGGTAACTGCAGAGAGGCCAACCTCAGGACATTATATGAAGTCTTACATGAAGTACATACTATCAAAATTCGCGATCATCCTTTTGATACCAGAAATAATCTTTGTCAGTGACTAAATACGTACAAAAATGCTTCAGAAGCCGTACTACGAATAAGAAAAATTCAAGTTTTGAGCTAAAAATAGGCTAAATCTCAAACTAAGACACAGGAAAGCTCCAAAGATGATTTTATCCGGGAGATATGGTGACCCGTACGGGAGACCGGGAGATTGGTGTCGTATTCGGGGGACTCCCGGGATAATCCGGGAGAGTTGGCATTATTTTGAAACTGTCAAAAAATAATGACTGTCTCTTGCTGACACTGATGCAAACCTTTTTCTACATTGCTACCACACATTTAAGGTCGTACCTTGGTTTAAGGTCTCGGTAAATGAAAATTTTAGTACATTGCTCGATTTTGTTTTTTTTGGATTTTTGGCATGAGTGGGTCCTAAATTTTAATTTGGCAGAAAAAGAAAATCAGAAAGTGCTTTTTAACCCTTCTAAAATAAGCCTTTTCTGGGCTAACCAGCCCACTCTATTTTAGACGCAAAAATCAAAATTCTCCGACCTCCAGTCGGGACAGGTTTTAAGCTATCGCTTTGAAACTTTCAGATATGATGGATAATGATATAGACTCAAAAAGGGTGTGAGGAATTTTCCGATTTCCCTTTGTAACTCATTTTATGTCAGTTTCTTTGCGTAAATCGCGCTCGAGATTCGACTGTTTAGTTTGAAATGCAATAATTCCGCTAACACGAGACATCTGCAAATTTCCTCACACCCTTTTTTAGGTCTTTTATCTGTCAATCAGATGCAATAAAAAGGAAGTGAATATTTAACAACGCGAAAGGGCTGGAGCTTCAGCAGTAAACTCGATACCTCTGAGTTCGAGAACAAAAAACTTAAGCACCTTTTGAAATTCGATGAAATAAAATCTTTTATAAGGTAATTTAGTCTTTTAGCTTTAGTTTGATATGTAACTTGCCTTTGTAGCGAAAATACTCGCGCGACTAGAATTTTTTTCTGTGGGCACCTCGTTTTCCTTTACCGAGACCTTAACGCAAGGTAATCAGCCCGCTGGGTTCCCGAGGAAGGATTTAGGCCATGGGAGGCAAAAGGTAGCAGAGATCAGTAATAATGCCAGTGGAAATGTTGTCGCCTGTTGTCTGTCTCATTTTCAAAATCATCACAGTCTTATAACCAAGGATTATCATAACATGTAGTTTTCCATTTTGTCTTTCAATTCAGCCCGTACCCATGACGGAACCTCGGCGCCAGGCTTAAGTCCTCGTTAACAATACGTCATGATTGAATGTTATGTGAGACTCCGTTTATTATCCGTGACTTCATGTATGCTTCATAAAGCAACATCACGGAAAAGACTGCAGGGCACCACAGCACAGGTAACCTATGCAAGCTCGAAAATGTTGCGTAACCTTGGAAATATATGGATTTTGAAGGGGAAAAAACGAATGTGTCAACCTGCGAATGTAAAAAGGTATTAATAAAAATCGGCTAACCTCACTTAAGTTGTGTCGATCTTTTTTCCTGTGTGATCATGATCACACCGCGCCGATTTATGGACATTTTATGGGTTCAGATACTGGTACTGATCTCTAAAAAGGCCGGCTACATAGACTTTAGTGTGAACACCTGAGAACAGGAACCACTTCGACAAGAATGTATGCCAAAAAAGTTTTATTAAATCGTTATACCACAATCTATCAATGAGTACATGTACAGGGCCGGGATTGGTTTTCGTCGAACCAACCTCCTATTAACGTCAACAAGTGGACAAACGAAGAACTAACTAACTCAAAAAATAATAATTATTATAAAATATTACTGGTAATAGGGGAAAAGCCTTGGTCACAATGAGATTTGCTTTAAAATCAACACCGGGTGAAGCCTGAAGAGAATTTTTTCCGACAGAGGCAGTATTAGGAAATAACATATTTTAAATGCATAGTTCTCTTAGGTATTTAAGACACAGTGCAGACACAAGAAAGTGCCCCTGTTGACTCTATACTGACGCACATCTTCCAGCTATCAAGAAACTTGTGTTTGTCGGTGAAGCCAACCTGTACGGAAGAAATTATTTCCGCATCACCTAACTTCGTATTCGATTGATACTGAGTACAATACAACATCTTATAATTTTGCAAAATATGTTATTTCTCTGGTAACTGTAGTCGGTGCCTCGAGCTAGAGGAGAAAATGAATTGTGAAGGATCTTGGTAGGGTTTTTTCTTCGTGCTGCTTGCGTCTAAAAGTTTATGTGTCTTAACTTTCTTTCTAACCTCTCAGGATCTCTTCTTTACCGAAGAGTTTGGTGTTGTCGTGATTAGAGAGCGAGATCACCTGTTGTCAAATGTCATTAGCGCTACCCCATATAAAGAGAAAGAGTCTTGCAAGTAAGAAAGGCTTACAATGTGCGTAATTCTAAAAAAGCAAGACCTTTTAAAGTACTGTCCGTTTTACTGATCTGATAAAAACCGAACTTAAAAAATCAATTAGAAATAATCTCTGCGTGATCTACGTTTGTTGGCCGAGGAGAACAATATATAATTAAGGGCTACTGATAGCAACTAAGCCTTAAAAACCTAGCTTCTTTATCAGCAGTTGCACCGCACTTAAGACATGCGCAAAAAATTGGTGCATGTGGGGATCTCGTGTTTAGAGATTGTTCCCTTCTAGCTCTACGCCTTCAATACCAGCGATGTTACAAGACACTGAAACAGGCTTTAGATATATACTGAGAGGTACAAACAGATGTTGAACTTTCGATCAACTTTGTTCATATCGGCTAGAATGACAAGAGTTGCCTTCAGACGTCTCTTCATCTAAGCTGCAAAGACATGAAAGTTTAGCAGCTTTGAAGCTCAAATATGATCCTTATAGTCACTTTGTAGTCCCTTTTTAACTTCTGAGCAATTCACTAAAACGTGTAATTTCCTTCCATAGGTGCGCATGCCTCGAAGTCACACCTTCCCAGTAACTGGGTTCTCTTTGCAGTCATCGTCTTCTCAGTATCTTGGCATCGGTGTTCGATATCTTGTTTGAGTAGCTGATAGAAGACAAAAATGGCAACAATAAATGATTTTACAACCTGCAAATACTTCTCAGTCGGATTTTGTGAATTGTTTCATGATCTTAAGAAGACAAATTCTGATTCTTTCTAGTTTAATTGCGGGTTTTGAGGACACTATTTTCAAGCTTTCCGCAGTCTTTGTTTGCAACCATGTGACAAGGCGGCCATGTTGGTGGTCAATAAAATAGAATTTTTCTCAAAACGTTTGTATGAAAATGGAGTTTAGTTCCCAGAGGAGAGATATACTTTGGTTCTTCACCACCAGCATGTCCGCCATGACGTCACGTACCAACCAGCAATTGGCCATCTTTAGTTTTAGTTACGTGTGGGACTGGGTTGGTGTTGAGTGGCATTGTACTATGGGATTATTTTTGGGCACAAATTTAAACCCAGTTTTCTGTGTAACCCCTAAATATGCCAGAAAAGAAGAGATAGCGTCTCCGAAATAGTCCCCGTGCAATTCGACACAACGCCGATCCAACCTGACGCATGACCTCTAATATCTTTGCCAGGGTCCCATATGGCAGCGGCATATTGGAAAACAAGAAGACTACAGGGTCAAGTTTGCGCGAACTCAAAATATCTAGGTAAATTGCCGAAATCACACTTTTATCATTGGAGATTCCTACAAAATGCATCAAAAAAGGCAGTTTGTGTTTGACGTCATCTGTAACTATCCATTGCGTGTCAGTTTTGCAATTAATTACTTCCTCTCATTTAATTTTCTTTGAAGGTGGAGCTCAGGCCTTATAAACCTCTTGGTTTCCTCTGGGCCACCCTTGCCAGTTTATTATATTCATTCCAATATTTGTTTATTACTTTGGCAAATTAAATATATTAAATGAATGTAAAAAACTTCACGGAGACCACGACGGAGCAAGATTAACAAAGTTTAATTAACAAACCTCTATGGTTCTTCAAGATCTAGTACAATATGCACGCATGCCTATGATAAAATACTGCTGGTTATTACGCTAAACAGAACTGAAACATCATGAAATCTTGACAACTTACTTTTTGGTAACATTTCATCATCTTCATCATCATCAAGCATTCGTCTTTGCTTTCGAATTTTTTGCCTGAAAGCAATTTAGCAACAACATATAAGGACAGAATAACTGGCGAGGGAAACTGATTGCAAGCAAAGACGAAAGTTTATAAGACCTTATAAGAAGAACGAAAAGACTCTGGAAATCAAACAAGTTTCAGAAGAAAAGAATTTAATTTTTTTGTGGGAATGATTCGATGAGAGCGGGTCTGCGACAATTTAGTATGCAACTTTTCACCCCACATAAGGGAATCCAAGACAGTCTTGGATTTTTTATTCCACTGCTTGGATTCCGGACTTGATTCTTAGGATTCCGGATTCCACAAGTTAAATTTTCCTAGATTAGATCATTATACGTTTCCGGAAGACTGCCCACATACCCCAACATTTTGCCTTACGTGAGAAGTAAATGTCAATGTTGGCGTAGGGGAGGGGTAGGTGCTCAGTTTCCCAGAAACGTATACTAAGCTGTCTCAATAGCACACGTTCGATATATTAAAATTCTAACATGACTCCAGGGCTTTCTGGTCATTTTTCTATATTTGGTTCGGTTTTCTTTGCTCTCAAGTCCCTTCCGGGAATTACGAGATAATGGAACTCGTCAAAATTTGCAATTTTGAACCTATAAAGCCTCGGGATCATGATAGAATTTTGATATATCAAGGGTGGGCTATTAATTACATATCCATTCTGGTCTTCGAGGATGATTTGTAGCTAGCACTTGTTACTCGTCACTTGTCACTTGACTGCCCTACCTCTTTGTACAGATGCACACAGCCCATATCACTCCACCGATTCCTGCTACAAAAGCCAGTGAGGCTACGATAATATATACAAGCATCCAATCTGAAAACAAATCAGAAATGGGTAGTTGAATATCTCCTTAGTCACTACTCCACGAACTTATAGATAATAACAAATGGACTACAGCAATGTTGGGAGTTTTGGAAAGATGAAAAAGAAAATATCTCGGGGTATGACAGCCTGTGGTGTTAACTTCTAAGCCATCTAGCATAATATCGAATGTTCTGGGCAAAAGCGTCAGTCACCATTCAGTTTGAAATTACTGGCTAAACAAAAAGGAGCCAGACTTCGGCTACAAAAACGATCAAGTATTTTCCTAATCTGAAGGAACATTACAGCCGCAATCAAATTGCTTTTTGAAAAGAAGTGTAACATGGTTCTTAAAAGCGGAAATAAAATAACGTTCATTAAATCCTTAGATAGAGTAAACAGTGTGTTTCGACGAAAAAAAAAAATTACTAATGATACACACCTTTTTCCTTTTGCGCGCTCTTTCCTCTGTTCATGTACGCCAGCTGGACATTAGCCCCCGTAACTGCAGGTTCAGCATTTGTCTGGCACATGACTCCATCAAGACACTGCACTGCAAAACACTTATTATTCAGCAGATAAGCGATGTCACACGTGGGACGAACACAACACCGGCTGATACATCGGTGAATATCATCTGCTTTTCCCAAATCTGTAAAGTTGGTCGCCGAACTTCCGGGTTGAAGTTTAATGTCAGTGGAAATTCTGCTGTCTTTGCAACTTCCGGTTTTAGATGCAAACTTAGTGGAGGAAGTATCCTCGGGAGGAGTGGCAATAGCGGAGAGGTCTTGGGAGAGAGAGAGGATATTGAGTTAGCTAGTGGTTCTTTTGGTCTTTGTGAACGGTTTGAAGTATTACTCTACTACTAATCATTAAGTGTAACCGCTAAAACCCGGAGGTTAAAGATGCCGTGAACTCTGTGCAGCGTATAGAGTGTTTTTACTCAAGTGACCACCGCTATGAAAATATATTACAACAAAAGAAAGCGTTTACATAAGAAAAGAGATCCACCAGACTGGTTTGGAGCACCAACATGGCCACCGTTTTATTTTTTTTGGAAAACCAATGTGGTGGACGTGAAGTCATGTGAAAAGGGTCTCAGAAAGCTGTCACAATTTACAGTGCGACCTACCCTGGGTACCAGAGGTTTTTCTCGCGTACGGCGGGAATTTTAGGTGTTGGCCGAAGGCCGACACATCATCGGCCGTAGGCCTCAGCCACGAGCGGCGAAGCCGCGAGAAAGAACACGCGGGTCGCTATAAAGACTTGACAGAAACCGGAAACAGCGCTAGAAAAGTCTCTGGCACCCAGGGTAAGTGCGACCGGGAAAACCTTCAACACTTGAAATATCTCAGGAATGTTTATAGTGTTATGACCAATCACAGGGAAGACCAAGGCACGCGAACTGGCCGCAAAACCACAAACTAAACCTTTGGGATCATCTGGATCAGGATCAGTGATCCGAGATCACTCGGATCATGGCAGAACAAATGAACCGATGAATCCTTGTCCAGAGTAAATTTATCGGTTCATTTGATCTACCATGATCCGAGTGATTCTGATCCGGATCAACTCAAAGGAACGCACCCTAATTAACGTTCTTGCTTGTGGTTAAGTTTTCTCACACCTGATTGGCTTTTCTCTTGCAAGACAATAACATTCCTGAGATATTTCAAGCGTTCACGGTTTTCCCGGTCACACTGTAAGAGTTGGAACCGTCTTGCACAGCATAGCTAATAATAACAAAAGCTAAAAGAGTCATGCTGTCTTGTAACTTGAATGGTCCCGATTTAGGATTTCCTTAACACTGACTCAAAAGTTATTCAGTTGTTACCCTCTACCGGGCTCAACTGAAAAATTCCAAAGAAAAGTACTGCCCTTATAGGTTTCATTAGAATGGCCACACTGAACCGTGTCAAATACAAGACTGCACAGGAACATAGTGCTACTCGATAGCGTTCATTTGAGCCTTCTATACGATTATATTTTAAGTATTCAAAAGAAAAACATTAGATACATCGATAACCCTAGACTAAGCGTTTAAGTAAACTCTACCTGTTTCTTCCTTCGGCTCCGCCTTCATGATCATGGCTGAAATAAGCGGAGTTTTCTTGGAAGCTTTTACCGTGACAGGTTTGCAATCGTCTCTTGAAGAGCAAGACACAGAATAACATTTCTTTTCTACCATGTAGGCTACATCGCACTCTTTGCTGTCGCAGCATTTTTCCATGCACTTTGCCATGCTTTCTGCTTCTTTGACCAGAGTAAAGTTGCCTTTATGTATACCGCTTGGCAGGTCTTTATTGTTAGTTATGTTGCTGTGTTTGCATTTGAGATTTTTTGGTTCTGGTGGAATGGCTGGGGCCTTGCTAGTTTCTGCAATTTAAATGAAGATGAAAGTCACACTAGCCTTGAATTGTCTATTCTGTCGTAAGAAAATAAAACTGCTCTTTGTGAGGGCTTCGCACAGTCACAGATGAATACCCCCCAATTTCTAAAGTGAAGCATGAGATAGATTTAGAATCTCGTTTACGGATAACGACAAACGTCAGTCGAAGATTCAAGGTGACAATTTCTCAGTTTAGAAAATTAGCAGATAAAAACAGCTCAAAACAATTGTTAAGGATGAAACTGCCATGAAACTACTCATTTCTGTGTAGATCAGTATAATAAACGGTAAACGACAAGTAAAGGGGAAAATTGGTCACGTGGTACAAATTGACCTTTGCCGTTTACCGTAAACGCGATTCTAAACCTCTCTATGCTCATACGAGCATAAGTCAACCATCGAAGGTGTTTAAAGGTGATGATCAGTGCAGCTGTGTTCCAAATTCCAAACAATATTGCAAGGGTGATGATCAGTATAGTTGTGTTCCATTTTGAATACAATATTGGAAATTTCGCACAAGGGATGAAAAAATGAAATAAAACTCTCAATTCAGAGAAAAAATTTTTTTTGTTTTCGTTAGCAGGTTTCAGCAGGTCTTTAGAACCCTAGCCTGCAAACGCAGACGTATTTCCGGTCGTCGCTTCTCTCCACCCGAGAAGCAATAAACGGAAATACGTCTCACCGAGGTAGAATACTTTAGATTGGATAAGGGAAAGAGAGGGTTCCGAGAGGCGAAAGCTTTACTTGACCTTTTTCCTTTCTGTACTAATTGAAGAACTATTTTCCTTGCAATAAAGACCTTAGAAACTAATACTATTGATTCCAATAGTTTTATCAGCACCAAAAGGCCAGGTTTGAAGGCTTGATCACTCTACACCACTGGAAATCTAGTACTCAAAATAGACTCACCCTTTGTGTTAGAATTTTCCAACTGCCGCACGTAAGCAAGCTGAGGATTGTAATCGGACGGAGGAGCTTTGGTATGTTCACAGAGATCCTTACTATTGCAAGCAACAGAGTAACATGTCTTGCCGAGCATAAAAGCTACATTGCATTTCTTATCTTTGCAACAAATATCTTGACATTCGTCCATTCCTTTCACATCACCATGGTTACTGAATTTTCCGGATTTCTTTCCACCTTTAAGTGTTACATTGTCAAGTACTTTTGCTTTATTGCATTGCTTTTTAGCCGAGTCATCCTTTTTGGCCGAGTCGTCAGTCTTCGCCTTAGATTCGGAAGCTTCGGAATTTTCCGATCCCCCGACGGGCGTCAGCTTGATCTTTCCGTCCACGATGTTCATTTGCATGGCTTGGCCGGCTGCGGCCGACTTTATTTGATTCTTAAAACTCTGTTGATTGTCTGCATGTGGTATCTCTGTTTTCTTGGTTTCCGTTTGGGCACCAGCTAGCTGATCAAGGGTTTGTGAAACAGGCGAAGCTGGTGCTGCTGGTTGAGCTGGTTGTGCTGGTTGTGCAGGTTGTGCAGGAAGGATTGGAAACTGCATTGCTAAATAAAATACAAGGAATTTTTAAACTAACTGTGCTACGAAATTTATCGAAATTCAAATAGAGGAAATTGCCAACAAATTGCGAGAGACATAAGTAAAATGAGGATAAAGAACACAGCATATACAAAAGAAGGCACGATAACGAACTTGTAAAATTTCAAATACATTTCATTAAAACTTACATAGCACAATTTTCCATGGAGCATGATCTAATACGCTCAAAAGCCCCCTAAATTTCATTCAGTAATATTTGTACTTTACTTGTCATGTATTCCACTCATTTACTGATGAATATTATCGCTTTTTCGTTATCTATTGCCTTTTACGGTAAAAACAGGCCATTCTTACAACATGCATAACTTGAGAAATGATTTAGTTCATACGAACCAGCGCCGTTATCTATTTGACTTCCACCCATCGGCATAAGCGGCTTCTGACCCGTCTCCTGGTTAGAGGCAAAAGGGGACACGGGAGGAGAGGGTGGGGAAGGCAGGGTCATCTGCTGTGCCAGCCCTGGTAGCAAAGGTGTCTGCCCTTGTCCCTGGGTTTGTGAGAACTGTGTTGTTTCTGCCGCTTCCATCGCTGGAGCTGTTAAACCGGGTAGTTGAGCTTGTGGTGTCAATGCTGGTGCCGATGGCGGTGACAGAGGTGTCTGTGGTAATCCCGGGATCGTTGCATTGGTTTGCTGATCTGAAGGCTTTGGTGCACCTTGAGTCACATCAAAAAAAAAAAAAAAAAAAAAAAAAAACACCGAAGTACAGTGATAAGTGTGTACAACACCCATTTCATGGCGGTCACCTTCCCTTAATTAGCCTTTTAACTCCGAAGACTTGATTACTTGTTCACTCTTCTGTCTCTACACATTTTCTTGCACATTAGATGAGACACACAGGGGTTATATAAAGATAAAATCCCACGGCTGATTCATTTGTCTATTCTCATGACTTACGTGTTAAATAATGTATTGATTATCAGGAGAATTTACATGCCAGTCACCGCTGGGAGTAATTCAACTGCATGTTGACCATACGAACTTTAAAGTGACAATGAGATCTTTTGTGCCAAAATCTTAGCCGCAGAAATAATAATAATAAAAAAAAGATCTCTGCACTTTCATTGCGTGACCTTACGTTTATTGCATCCTTACACAGCTAAAAGTTAGGACGCGGAATGTACTTACAGATGACCTTAAAAGGTCTCATTGTTTGCTTGAATTGCGTTATGTTATTTGATACGCTGTAAACATCACGCCCATGGAGTATATTGAGTTCTTCTGTATTAAGAAGCCTTAGCGGCCAGTTTTTAAAGTCTCCGTTTGAGTAAGGATAACAATAACCTTACCTATTAACTCGATGGAGCCATATTCTCTAACATATGATATCTTGGGATTATACCGTGACGGATTGGCTGGTTGTGTTTTACAAGCGTCCGCGCTCTTACAAGCCACAGAGAAACAGTTTGAAGACAGCATAAAGGCCAGGTTACAATGCGGCATCTCACAACAGATTCGTCGACATTTCTGTATGTCTTTGACTTTGCCATGATCGCGGAAGTACCCGGATTTAATTCCACCCACAAGTGTGACGCTGTCAAGCACTTTATTTGCTGGACATACAACTTGAGGTTTGAGAATTTGACTTTTTGCTGTGTCTGGAGAAAAAATGTAAAGATAAACATTAATTTATCGAATGCGAAAGTACATTGACATTTTGTAAACCTTCGTGAAGTGCCATAAAAGAGCCAAAAAGGGTTTTAAGTACTGAGGAAAATATAGCAATGTTTGTAAGGATGTCTTGAAGTTATTGAGGTGATTGTGATTGCGATTTAAAATGAGCTGTTTCAAGAGAGAATAATGCATCGAGATGGAACCTTAGAGCGTTGGCCGGGATATGCGAATTTCACTGAAGTTATTTTTAGCTAGGTTATAATTAAACGGAAGTCTGATTCCCGGGACATCTGCACATTTTGATCGATTGTTTGGAACGTCATCAAGTCCACACGCGACTGCCTCAAAGCAAACTATAAAGAATACTGTAATGGCGACACCCCAAAGAGAGCATATAACACGAGCGATAAAACAGGTCATAGATTAGGAGTTCCTCAATATAAATTCAATGGCTCAGCTTCGGTTGTGCGTCAAAACTGTCTCGCAGCAGTCATTCGGAGTGGGCCTGCTTAAAAGTGCCTGCAAAAATACATTAGAATAAATTCATTTCAACTGGTTCGCAGGATTAAATAGAGATCCTTGGATTCAAGGTCGAGGGCGACTACAAGGACGAGATATAACTGAAAGTTTTTTCGCGTATTCCCAAACAAAATATCTACCCCACAAAGCTTCTTACTAAAGGACGTTAAGCCCCCCTCTGATTGAAAATGATGAAACTTCTAATAACAATTGATAGCATTTTTTCTGCAGCACGACCTTCTTGTTAAAACTCATAAAAGAATGAAGACGGCTTTCACGTTTTCGCGCCAAAATGACGCTGGTTCAGGCGCGTGCACTACTAAGTATTGAAAAAATCTGGGTTCAATTTAATAAAACGTTTACACGTGTAATTTACAAGTGTAGCTATTGTTCTCAGACTCTAAGACAATGGCTACACTTGTAAATTACACGTGTAAACGTTTTATTAAATTGAGCCCAGGTCCTGTTCTTAAAATCTTAAGCTCTCTTTTCACCATTATCTTACTGTCATGTATGTCATGTATGCTATCGTGAAAGTACTATAAGCATCATGGTATGCAATAAACCTCGAGGTTTTTTATTCAATATGGCTGTCGTGTGATACAGGACATAACACTTACCTCCACTTATTTCCTTTCTACTCCAGACATATGCAATTTGTGGATTGAATATCGACGGTTGCGCTGGAATGGTACTGCACAAGTCCTTGTTATAACATTTGACTGAGAAACAGTTCTGACCCAGCATGAAGGCCAGGTTACACGAGGCTTGCTGGCAGCATGTCGCATAGCATTCTTTTATGCTACCTACTTTTCCTGTGTCTGTAAAATCGCCTGCTTTGAGCCCTCCCTTAAGCGTCACCTTTGTCATTGGCTTCACTACTGGACAGCTGTATTTAGTGTCTGCAGAATCGCTCAGAAAAACTGCAAAGCCAAACATAGTTTAAAACATAATATAAAAGATGATTTTTGTGTGTTTGTTTGTAAGTTCTAGAGTCCTTTGGCACCAGCATTTAGTTTATCTATCCATCAATGTATCCATCATTTAATCTATCCATCCGTCCGTCCATCCATTCATACTCCCTCATTCATTCAACCATTTGTCTATTCTCGTACCCTAGGGAATACTCAACAAATGTTTATACACGGAGGCTCCGCCCCGAGGTCCAATCCTTTACCCTTTTATATACCATTTTTCAAGAAAAAAGCACCCCTTTCGTATACCTTCTATTGAAAAATGGTACCCCTTTCGCATACTTTCTTTAGAACTTTGCATCCCTTTTAACTGCTGTAAATGCACTGTCTTTTATACAGGAATCAATCACAAAAATAAAACGTTTTCTGGACTTTATAAAGCCATAAAATTCACCTGTTAGCTCTTTTGGGCCCTTTCACAGACACAAATGACAGATTTCCCTACCCTTTTAGATCCTTCATCTAGTGAGACCCTACCCTTTCATATATCTGAAGCCTGAAAAAGATACCCCTTTCGGGCGGAGCCTCCCTGTATAGGCCATCATAGGGAGTACCCCCCCCCCCCGGGTTCTCGTACCCCACCTGACACCCATATGTTACGTGTATATGGCGTAAAAATTGCTTACTTACTTACTATTAACTTACTATTGCCAGCCATAAACCTGGCGAGTAAACCTTATGAATAACCTCATTGTTAAAAGGACGTCCAATCCTTTTTAGGCATGGAGTGCCTAACCAAGATCTGGACGGTCATTTGCTGCAATTCATGAGGGACATTTTCTTTTCATCCTCTTGGTTTGTTAACTATATGACCTCGGAAGCACAGGGCCTGGGCAGCGGTAGAGGAGAGGGGAGGAAAAAGACGCTAACAATGACTCTAAATCCTCTCCCTTTTTCACCCATCGCGATCTTTTTAACATGGTACTTAAAAAAAATTAACTTTTATTCTGGTTTCTCTTGAATCTGAGGGTCTATCCACCTCAGCTTACCTGTGTGTTTAACACCTTCCTTATTCCACCGCTCAATGTACGTCACCGATGGATGATACGGTGAGGGTTTCGCTTTCTGTATTTGACAGTTCTTTCCTTCAGAACAACCAACAAGATAACATCGATTTGAGAGCATAAATGCTAAGTCACACGCCGCAAACTCGCAACATTTGCTCGAACATTCATCCATGTTTTGCACTGCTCCAACATCTTTGTATATTCCAGCGTTAATTCCTCCTTTTAAAGTCACTTCTTTGAATAGTTTCCCGGCCCTACATTGTCCAGCCATATTGGGGTTCACACTGTCTAATGATTTTTGTCCTTGGGCTATAAGGCCCTTCGGCGTGTTAGTTGACGAGAGCCCTGCTTGATTTGGGCCCAAAAATCCATTGGGATGTGGCTTCACGTTTGATGTAAAATTTGGAGTTATAAATGCTAGTGATGTATTATCTGTTTGGGAATCAAACACCCATCTTTCAGTTTTCTGTTTGTTTTTAGCATACTCCCAAAGCATTTTTTTTTTGTAAGTAAAAGCTGGCATGGCAGAGTTTTGGAGGGTCTAAATAAGTCAGCAAACGAACTACTCTCTTGAGATCTAAGGTCTTTTAAAACTATTAGCAGCGATTTTTTACTCTTTAAAATTCTGTTGTGTGTGCCTGAATGCGTTAAAACTAACTAATCTGCTTAACCTTATTCGTTCTCAGTCAATTTAAAGCGATTTAAGTTATGAAGTTATGGCGGAAAGGCCAATAAGCAGAGATCACGTCGTACAATTCATCTACTGATTTGCGGAGGGAATTGGAACTAAGGCTTTTACGTTATAAATAAAAAACATGATATCTGTGGATTTAAAATCGTTTTCTGCTAATATCCGCCATACTAGACGAAGAGTGAATACAAATGAATTGATATTGTCTAATGCTATAATAGGAGGACCTTAAAAAAAAAACCATTATTTGCATTGAAACTGCAAAATTTAGACGATAACGGTTCTGGAATGAAAATGTCAAACTATTGTAAAGCAAATAAGTGAACAGTAAAAGATGCAATTGTCAAAATGTCAAGTAATTTCTTTTTCAGCAAAGATTTTTTTTCGCGTTATAATTGTTTAACAACCTGCTCTTTCAATTCTTCCACACCGGGTGGCTGGCTCAGTCCCTCCAGGCTTTCAAATCCGAAAGCGATCAAAGATTAATGAACTTAATCGCCGTGGAAATCATCTCTCGCTCCACTGAAATTTAGCCCATCCAACTAATCATTCCTCAAACGCATCTTAATCTAACGCAGACCTACCAATGAAAAGTTCACCTAAGAAACGAGCCGTTAACATGACTGGTTAGGATAAGATATCTCTGCGTATTAAAATCCATCGTATTGCCACGTCAAGAATTACCAACTAAATTCCTTTTAGAAGCGATATAATGTTTAATTTTCCTGCAAACGACTCTGTTTTCTCAATAGTCCAAGTTGCCCGCAACTTAAGCCAACAGGAGAATGCAAAAACTTCAAAGCTAACTCGTATTTCTACGGCCTGTTCGGTCACTAACCTTTTTTATGGCCCGTTCTCACATGTGCAATAAGGACCCTAATATCCGATGTATCAGTCGCTGTGGACTTGCATTCTTCATCGCTAACGCACTCGACTCCGTAACATTTAGCCGCAGATAGGAACGCCACATCACAAGTCGACGTTTTGCAACAAAGTTCAATACACGAATCCATGCTTGTTACTTTTCCCAATATCCTGAATGTGCCCGCTCCGATACCTCCCTTTAGCGTCACATTCTCCTCAACAAGTGTTTTCTTACAACTTTCTAGGTAGTTTGATCCCACGACTATTGTAGACATGATACACACGAAGTATTAGTCAAACGTCATTTCAAGCACACACAACTGGATGACTGCGTAAAACTGAAATGCAAAATATAAAGTTAGCCTACCTTTACAAAGCGCGTAGATGCATAACAACACAGCGCGATAGTAGAGATGCAGTCGATTCCTCATCGCGCCTTTCGTCAGCCACAGCGTACCATCGTTTCAAATATTCTAAAAACTAAGAATTTCAGAAAAAGGGGTTTATAAAAATAAATCTGTCATTTTTTCAACTTTTTGCCATGATAAAATGTATTCCTTTGTTTTGAGGGTTAAGGAACCGGACTCCATTTCTCAGAACAATAGAGTGAAATTACATCATTGATTTAATGGTTGGCCAATCGTGCCCCGAGTTGGACTCACGTGACTAGAAAGTGCAAAATTTGCTGGGATATTTTTGATGTGACTAGAAACACAAGCATACCGTCATATAAGAGGAATTTCAGGGAAGCTACAGTAGGGATTCAGTCATGAACTGGTACCTCAAGACACCTGTGTTTTAGATGACACGGACAAAGATAAACGCCTTTTTATAAATAAAATCTAGTTGCTTTTTGTGTTTGCGTGTTTGAAAGAAAGACGGAACAAATAAAGCAAAAAGGTATTTCTCCATGTTAAGAACGCGATAAGCACTTCATCATTGCATGAAATTAAACATAATTATCAACAAAAATTACTGTTTTGAGTTCTCTTCGACAGGTCAAGGAAAGTATAACTCTACTTTGAATCGCTGTAAAAACCTCAAGTCTTAAATTTCAGGCTTTTTGATCCTATCAGGACGAAAGGTTAGAGCTTAGCAAGCTTCAAATCGAGTTTACGCTAATTGTCTAAGACATAACTATAAGATAACTGTTTTCTCAAAATCACGTGTCTAACGTCAGGTGACGTTGAATGGTTGGTTTTATAATCCGGAGAATGATTCAGCGAAACTTCAAATACCCATCTCGCTTCTCTGCGGAAACAACGCAAAAAAAAAAAACAACAACAACAAGCAAATAAAATCAAAACAAGCAACAAAACAAACAATCAAAAACTTTCCTTGCGGAAAAAAAGACACGAATCAAACAAACAAAAACTCAAACAGACTTTTGCGCTCGCGATTCTCTAAATGGCAACAAAATCATAAAGAGACTTTGTTATATCGAGGAATCGAAGTATTTTAATACTGATCCTGCGCGAATGAGGGAAAGAACTTGTCGCTCTAAGAATTTATTCCATTCATGAAATTCTTCTTCGAAAAGTGTGCCTTAAAAGCAACGCAATGAGGAAAGCAATCATCTACATTTGCTTGAGGTTAAAATTAGGTTGAAATATACTTGCAATAGAGCCAATAGCGGTTAGTGGACAAAAATATTGGAAGAGCTAAACTCGTATTTTTCTTACAATTTTTTCTTTTGGTGGTATTCATTTTTGTGTTCCACTGATTAAAAGTTGAGAATTTAGGTTAACGACATTCCTCGCCAATTTGGACACAGTGATGCAGATTATAGTCAAGAATAAAACTGAACTACAACAACATCGCAGTAATATTGACGGCAATATTGTGAATATTTTGGCAGGAATACAGATAATGTCGATGAGGGTAACTACAATGAGAGACAAAGATGTTGAGGCACTTCCCTAAAATAGCACCCGTTTTGCATAGTAGACATCTCTATCCCTCCTGGCCGCCTTTGTACCTCCCCTCTTCCCCCAAAATCGATGTTGTATTTTAAACCCTTAAGTTTTTCTTCAACTACAAACAACATTGATTCATTGAGAAGGGGGATTTACGGCCTTTAAACAGAGTTGAATATAATTAAAAGAAATTGTTGATAAAAGCGCGCGTTTTAGGTCAGTAGATAAACTCCTTTTGTCCCTAGTTGTAGTAGTCTGCTACACAGCCGTTTTTAGTGTCGTCACGCAACGCTTCTCCCCAGTGACTGAAGGAGCGTTGCGTGACGACACTAAAAACGGCTGTGTAGCAGACTATGGTTGTAGCGAATCTGTAAAAAGATAGGCTAAATATCATACAAAGGTGAAATTCACTACAGAGATATGCCATTTTATAGAACTGATATTAATATATAGAACTACATGCTTAAATGGAGAAATAACAAAGATGCTTTTTCTCAATCGACATTTATCTCTCGGCGGGCTCAAAATAACAATGAACACTGAGCGCTGGTTTTAGGCAAAGTTTTAAGCATCGCAGCGCCATTGAGAACAGTACTAGAAGTGGACGAAGAAAGATTAGACCATGTGGATTATATTTGCTCCGAGTAAAATTTTACTGATGTACGCGCTTTTGGCCGTTCGTGTTGCAGATCATTTAGAAATAAATGACATCAAGTTGTGTAAAAGATTAATTTCCAATATTTACAAAATCGTTCATTTTATTCACAATTTCTATTGTATTAAAAATAAAGCCTCATAGCCGTTTAAAATTAATAGACCTAGGATAAATTGACTCTAGATTCTGACGCCGCCCATTTTACTTCACACAGTTCCTATCCTACAGAAACCTCCCGAAAGAGTGTAGTATAGGTATGAGAAGTCTTTACGTCACGTTGCCATGGTAGCAAAATTTCTGGGTCGCAACAAAGCGTGGTCCTGCAAATATTATCAAAAGATTGACATGCATTACTTTCCTGTGCATGGTTGCATCCGGGAATTGAGGCACTAAACGGTAGCCCATACTTATTTTTAAACATTAGACAATGCAATGGCTGCCTCTGTCAAGAAAGATCCAGACATTTTGCTACGATGGTGACGTAACGTCATACACGTCCCCTCTCTGTTGAGCTCAAAATTACGGCATTCTTACATGGTTTGCATAACAGTGGGTGTTATGGGTCGTTCATTGACAAAAACGTATGGCATTTTTCTTGATGTCCCGTCACTAGATTGTCGCACAATATTCACTTTGTACAAAATCACAAGTAATCACAAGTACGTTTGTTAAGTAGAATGATTACACTCCGGCTATCGAAAGTTGTTGTTGTTCGCTTTCAATTCAAACTAGATATCTAGCTCCGTAATAACAGCTTCGAAAATGGAGTTAAAGTAGGTGTGCCCGACAAGAGTTGTATTTTAAGTTTTAACTAAGAAAGATAAAAAATAAAAATGAAAAATGTTTCGCCACGAAACCAAAGCAGAAAGGATTAAACACTTGAAGTTTCTGTACCAAGTAAGTATATGTGAAGTCTTGTCATGCAACAAAACAAGTGAGCTTTTTAAAGCAAAACTGGGTCATTTTACAACCGCCAATATCTCGATTTCTTGTCAGTGTCGTTAGAATATCAATTGTTCGTAGCCACTTCCGTCATTACGATTCCAACTTCTGCTCGCTCTTAAGTTTTTGTCAACTGCTAATTTAAAAAACTACACGGGGGCTCCCAACGTTGCACGTCTACCCCCTTACTGGCCTCGCTTGAGCTATTGGCTACACTTCCATCCCTGGATGATACCTCTTGTTTGTCTGGAATGATCATTACAACTTATCACTAATATGAGCCATTTTAAAAGCTAAGAGGTCTCAGAAATTGAGGTTCTTTTTGTTTTTCTTCTTTCAGAACGTCTGGTCTCCTTTTTCTTCGCCACTTTCTCCGCTTCCACTATCTCCACTATCCTCTTCTTCTCCGCTTTCACCGCTACTCTCTTCTCCGCTTTCTCCACTAGTGTCGTTCCCAGATTGCTCTCCTTCAAGGTTACCACTTCCGCTCTCCCCAGACCCACTATCAGCGTCCTCCCCACTTCCGCTTTCATCTTGCAACTCATCACTACTACCTAAAAAACATTTCAATTCATTTTTATTTTTGTTTAGCAACGAGTTAAGTTAAAGGAGGTTTGTAATCAGGTTAAAGTCACTGAGATTTTATATAGGGATATAACTAATGAACAACTGACTAGGTAAACATCATTGAGTAGTTCATTGAGTTAGTGATTTCAACTTGTTATTCAGAAAAGTTATGATCTGCATTCAGATAATTCTCAACACGTTTTCTGCCTCGTACCCAGGCGATTTCTAGCGGATTGTAGAGCGATTCGAAGGCGACTGGAGCTATTATAGGTTCCGCGCTAGGTATCATGGGAAAGGTGTCCTTTCCAGCGTCCTTTGCTCCAACGCTAAACGTTCCTATGGTCCATTGCGCGATCTATCGCCCGCAGTCTCGTTTTCCGTTTTCAAAACACACTTGAGACCACAGGAACGAGGCAGGCACGTTTTTACGAAGGGAGCCGCTATCGTATTCTGCGATTTATACTTCGGATGGGCACAGACACGTGCACAGAGTCGCTGGTCGCCGGAGCTTCTATATTCGCGGGGGAAAGTACTCTCAAATATGTGTCTAACGGTCAATGTCATACATATGCCTCATTCAGTAAAAGTTGCTGTTGGCATTGGGCAATTGCAAACTGGGAAGCTATTGTTTGGCGCGGATCACTCAAACAAATCATTGCAGTGATTTCCGTAAGCCCAAATATCGTGCCTAAGCAATCATGGTTGAATTTGGTATAAATGAGCACATACTTTCTTCTGTTTCTTCTTTTTCATATTGTATTGTATCGTTCTTTATTGTTTGGTCACCATTGCTCATTTCTCCGCTGCCGCTTTCTGCAGCCTCTTTGTCTTCTGTCTCGACATACTCCTCTTCTACGTTTTCTTCAAGATTTGGATGGAATCTTCCAATTAAAGGCATTACACCTTCTGGCTTGGGTTTTGGAGCTGTAATTAAAAAAGTGTTATCAAAAAAGCTCTTTTCAATTAGTTTCTTTTCAGAGTGTGGAGAGGAAGGGTGGCAGTTATCTTTTTAGCCCTCTTACCCAGTCCCCCTAGGGCTTTGCGATGTACTCTGTTGGAAAGGAAGTGTTTACTTGACGAAGGCGTGAGGTTTGGAAGCGAAATAACGCCTTAAGGTTCGCGTGGATAGTTACTGATATTTACACAGGGCATAATGGTAGGGCCTAGAAAAACTGCAAATGTTAGCTATGAACAGACGCAGAAGCGCTTGCTTTAAACAACAGCGAGGGAAGCACCGTTGCCGAGAGGTTTGTGCGCTTGAATTCGGAAGCCCCGAGTTCAAGTCCTGCCCTGACGGCTGGTTGGATTTGTTCTAGCCTGTATACAGACCCCCCCCCTTACCCTCAGGAAAAATCGGAAAACTCATGAGGGGGGGGAGGGTGGGGGGGGGAGGGGTCTGTACACAGGCTAGATTTGTGCTCGATAGTCCCGCTTGTAAATAACCAACTGGTTTGCCTCCGGTCAGTTGGGATGTTTAACTCTGTTTTCCGTAAATGCATCACTAGCATCAGTGTTATAAATACTGCCGAGGATAAACAAAAGACACTGTGAACATTATCATTATTACAGTGTCATTCTCATTGTTTGGAGAAAGGAAACGTAGGAGATATGAACTGCCTGGGTAAGGAGGAAGGGCTGTGTACACATGCGTATTAGAACCTGGTATGCACTGCCGAGTACCAACCATTTCCTCTTTTAAATAAGAAGAAGATGAATAAAAGATTGAATGAGCGGGTATAGTTAGAGGTTGGTGGCTAGTTCATTGGCTAGGCTGGTATTTACAGGGGCCCAGATCAAAGCTGAATAACAAGCAGATACACGTCTTACCAAAGCTGATATCTCCTCTCTTAACATACGCCACTGTAGGGTTCGTATGATGAGTCTCCAAAGGAGCTGGCTTAGGTTCACAGTACTGCGGGTCTGTACAAAACACTGAATAACATTTTCCCGCCATCATCATGGCCACGTGACATTTCTTGTGACCACAGCAGCGTTCAATGCATGACGTAATGTCCTTGACGCCTTTGTGGTGAGTCAGCTTGCCGGAAAGCATGCCTGCTTTGAGAACCGTCTCGTTTCTTATCTCACCGTCTAATTTGCAGATTTCCTCCGTATTCTCGTCTGTTCTTATTACAGGGGTACCATCTGAATAATGGAAAGAATTAAGAAGGGAATGGATGCAAAAATATGGACATTTTTTGATGATTTGGGTTTTTAATGGGCCTCTTGTGTGAGTAGACTCACCTGTGCGAGTTCAAGGAAAATCTTGGCGAGGATTTTCCTCGCGCGGTGGCGGCTCCAAATATTTCCTCGAACTCGCACAAGGGAGTTTGCTCGCAGGCTAACGGCTCTCAGTCTCTTATAATATAAATTGTGAGCAGTTATAAACATGCATGGAATGGAAAGAGGAAAATGTGAATAAGAAAGAAATTTTCATATAAGACAGGGGGAAACAACATATTCTGTAGACAGCATGAGGTCATGATTTTTAAACATAATGAATAGGCTATTTCCTAGTTCCTAAATCCCTCACTTTCAAAACGAGGCTAAGTGCAAATCTTTTTCGTGTTAATGAGTTATTTGCACGAGAATAAACATTATTTTCATAAATATGGCTTTGCACTTAGCCTTGCTTTGAAATAGGCAGGGGTCAACAAGAAAATGGCCTATGCCAAAAAAAAGGATTGTTTCAATCTCATTTATTATATTGTACTTGAAATTTTGCTTTGAAAATCAATAAAAAGTTGACTATTGTTGGTCTTACCATCTCTGAGCCTGATGCCATAGTGTCGCTTAACGATGTACTGAATAGATCTATCAAATGAACTGTTTGAGCGTATCGCCTCTACATCCGGGACAGTACGACAGCTTTTCTCACTATTGCATCTGACAAGGAAGCACGTGCGGCTAAACATGTAGGCCAAGTCACAGGTAGGATCCTCGCAGCAAAGGCGGGAACAAATATGGGAGTTAGAGACTCGGCCCACGTCTGTAAAGCGTCCGGCGTTTGGACCATCCAATAGAACAGATTTAGTGTAGAGCTTGCTCTGAATGCACTGCAAATGATGCGGGGACTGACCGGAGGGGATTTTTACTGAAAAGGAATGAGGCTGAGTCAGCAAACGGCTTGCATCAATCTTAGAGTGATAACATTCTTGGTTAAGATGGTCTTGACCTGAGAAAACAGCCAACATTTCGCGACGCCACCACTGGTTTCCCCGCGAACTGACGTCTGAGGAACGAGTGGTGAAAATTCACACGGATGACGTGTCACTTTCCAGATCTGGGCACCGCTTCTGATTGGTTAAAATTGGTATATACATTGTGAGGGGAAGAAACCAGATCTGGCTAATAGTTCTGATTGGTCTTGTCGCGAGGAAAATTGAAGCTTAGCCTTAGGATTAGAAAGAGAACTTTTGATACAGACCTTAAGCCACTTGGAAATTTTCCTTTTTTCATGTGGTTAAGCACTTTTACCTTACGTCGGTAGAACTTGACGCAAAGCTCTCTACCAAAACGCTGGGTTGGTTAAGTTCTACTCAGGCACTTTGGGTGAGTCTGCGCATGAGCGAAATTGGCAACATTTACTTACCGACTTTTTTGCCCTTTTTATAAAGCCATGGTGCTACAAACGCCATTTTCTGTTTAAAAGCGTGGTCTACAGGCCTGGCGGGAAGCGCCTGACATCTCTCCTCCGAAAAGCATTTCACCAGGTAACAGCGATCAGATATCATAAACGCCAGGTCGCATGGCTGCACTTTGGACTCACAGCAATACCTTATCAAGGAGAGAAATGAAACGTTTTATAAACACGCCAACAATTGTGAATTTCTGTGAATCATGTGGAAATGAAGACAAATGCGTTTTAATCTTTTTACTTAATACTTTTATTTGTTATTCTCCTGCGGTGTTCAGTTTTCAAAGTAAAATTGAAGAGGTTTAAACCTGGGATTCATGTCATTAGTAGGTTAAATACGATAGTTCACCAGTTGTGATGGTATTTGACTTCAGTTCCCTTATTAGGCAGTTAGGTTTCGGTTCATTGAGTTGTCTGTTAGTAAAGCCGTAATGTTTTTATCTGTTTTAGTAATGTGTTTTGTCATTGAAATATCTGTCGCAACCTTATATACAGTAAACGCTCTCGAAGACGGATAACTTGGGACCGCCACCAAGTGTCCGTCTAAGAGCGTTGTCCGTCTTATAGAGAGTCAAATAAAGGAAGTAAAGGAAGACAGGGACCAACTCTGAGTGTTCGTTTTACCAAGGAAACCGCGGCAGTGTTAGCTCAGTCGGTAGAGCGTGTTTGACTGCAGAGCGCGAGGTCGCGGGTTCGATTCCTGGGGCCGGACCAATACTCAGGGTCTTAAAACAACCGAGAAATGAAGGTACTCCCTTTGTACTGCAACAGGCTAGGCCCTCGCCTGGCTCGGATGAGCACGTAAAATGGCGGTCCCGTCTCCAGTTGGAGACGTAAAATATAGTACACCCAATTAGTAATTTCGTGCTAAATACACTGACACTCAAATAAAAGTGCATTTTTTTTGGAGTTCGTCCCCATAGAGGTGTCCGTAAAGAGAGTGTCGACTGTAGAGCCATTTGATTGTATGAAAGGCTGACAGTATATTAATGTCTAGGTACAAGTCAGTAGATTACCTGATACATGTTTTAATACTTTTAACTTTGCCAATGTCAGTGAATTTCCCAGCTTTCAATCCACCCATTAGCTTCACATTGTACATGATCTCGTTGTGCGGACACTTTGCTTCGGAATCGTAGCTATCTAAATTGTCGTTTACTGGAGCCTCGGCTGCATAGAGTAGAGAAAAAGGTTTATTCAGTCGCTATTTTTTTTGTGCCAAGTTAAGTTACGAAAGATCCTGGACTCGACGACACGCTCTATTTGCCACTCCAGAAAATAACATAACATACCATAATGTTCTTTGTTTGTCGCCTCAAAATTTTGCATAAGCATTGTCTTCAGTTTCTCTTGGGACCCCAAGACGATGTTATGGTATTTTCTCAGGCAATGACGTTAGATATAAGCATTAAATGGAAAACGTTAGGGCATTAAATGAAAAAGCGTTATGTTAAAGAACATGCAGTGGAGAGCTGGCCTTATAGTCATAAACCACGCACGCCAAAAGGATCGTACGGTATTCTCTGCAAAAAAAGTCAAATTACAGCAAAATTGGCAAACTTTACAGACTATGCCAAATCAAGAAAAAGTAATGGGTGAGTCAGTCAAATACTACAAGGCACTTTTTTAAAAAATTCCGAAACGCCTCCCTTTTTTCCAGTTTGCTTTGACGAGTTCCAATATCAAGTTGAAACATTCTTTTTCGCATCCTGACGGCTCATTGTACATCATACAGAGGAGCTGAGGCGGAAATTAAAGTGCACTTGTTGACTTGGTCGATCATTTTGACATTGTTCTATTGATTTTGATAGATTTTGTCCCCATTTTGGCAGTTTTAAAACTATGCTAATATTTCCGATCCAAGATGGCATAAAAGTGGCTGCATTTGGTGTCGTTAATTTAATATTGCCCATTACTTCATAAGATCACATAAACTACCCCAGCTTCAGCAATTAACCTTTTAAGAGTTGAAAGATTAGGCTAGAGAGAGGTTAGGAGGTGTTTTCAAAGCAGAGCCATCCTAATTCATTTTACGATGCCTCAAGGGGGCTATGTAAACACATACTTAGCTGTCCTGTTCCTTTAGTTGTCATATGAGCAATCTGCATATCAATGTCTTCACCGTCAGCTGGAATTGTCTCGCAGGAAGAATCATTCAGACACTGCACGCTAAAACATTTTGGCCCATGCATCATGGCCACGTCACATTTTTTGGAGTTGCAGCACAAGTGCATACATTCCTGCATGTTTTTCACTTGCCCCTGATCTTTAAATATGCCTGCGTATTGACCACCTCTTAAAGTCACGTTGTACTCAATGTCTTCTTGTCCACAGCTGTACTCTTCTAGAATCGTATGTCCTGAGATTACTGAAAAATAACAGGATGGGCGGAAATGAATGTTAGACTTCAAATCTACTCGGGAGGAGGGGAAGGGGGTGGCACTCGGTAGCTTGTGGAGCCAACACAGAAGACTATTTCCATTACGAAAATTTTCCTTAAGCAAGAAAACCAATCACTGTCGTTTCGCATTAAAGAATATTCAGCAAATAATAACAAGGTGCAAGGTTTCTAAGATTTTTGTCTTTCATATTACCGTAGAGTCGTATTTGTAGCGGCTGCTAAATGTAAAAAGAAATACTGACAAGAAACTTACTGTCAAATGTCAGCGCTATTTTGAGTGGCGAAAAGGATGTTTTGAGTCAAAAGCGTGACATGTACTCACTTTTACCTAACATCGTTTAACGCTTCCTTAAGTTTATATTTTCCTTATATTTTACTTTTTGAAACACGATCAACTCTTCTGTCAGTTCACTATCTTTAGCCTCGCGTTCTCTATATAACGTAGCTTTAACTTGTAAATCTCAAAAAGTATATGGTTTATCCTTTGGCAATCACGACAATGAAAAGAACTATTAAATTGGTTGATAGTAATCATTTCTAAACCTGGGTTAATTAAGTCTCTCTCTTGGAGTGGCAATGTTGTAGGGTTATGGGTAGAAAATGTAGCTCTTTTGAACTGTGTTTGATCGAGAAGTCTTATATGTCCTAAACAACTCAAATTGGTAAAATAACAGAACAAGACGAGTGCCAATTATTCAGTTAATACCCTATTAAGCAGAGGACTAAGGTCTTCCTCGCAGAAAAGAAGAAGGGCGGAGACCTTTCTCTAACCAACTTCTTCAGAGTATTCATTTCCGTATATTCAAACAGAAGCATATAACTTATATGCTTCTGATTCAAACAATTCCTAAGAAAGGAAGCTTCTGCAGTCGCTCTAAGAGTTTTGCGATCTTTGATTTGAGTACCTCGGAATAACGGATAACGTCCTTCGCCCCCACTAGCAAAATAGGCCATCTCCTCTTTGCCCTAAGCCTCTGTTTCAAAGGGAGGCTAATTGCAAAGCCATTGATAAGAGAATGGTTTTTAGTTTTCAAGCAAATAAAACACATTTTCACAGGAAAGGTTTGGCACTTAGTCTCGTTTTGAAAGTGAGAGTTTTACACCGGAGCCTAATACAACATACCCTTGTTATCAAAGAACAATTCCCTGTCTCCGATCACTCCGTTACATCCGTTTCTCAGTTCGTTTTTGGCACGAGGCGCCTATAAAGCGTTATGCTTTTTTTATGGTCAAGCATGAGAAATCAGATGACATTGCGTGAAACGGGTGGCTGGAATCATTGTATTACGATACTTTAGAGCTTTATGTGTTTCTTTAAACTTAACTATGAAATTCGAGTTTTACTGAGGAATATGAAGCAGGGAAAGTTCATAAGTTTAAGGCTAAAAATTATAAGAAGGGCTTCAAGAGGCAGCAAGTAAACGATTGAATAAGCATAGACATTTCACTTACCTGTTAAGTAAGACAGAAAAATGGCGGAAACGAAGAGCCACTTATCGCTTCGTGATCTTCGCGAACAGCAAATAATATCAAACATTTCCGTTCAATTGCATAGAACGCCACTATGAAAAGGTTAGAATTAAGAATCCTATACGTAGCACTTATAAACTAAATATTAAAACAATTGTTTTGGCAAAAAAGGCCAGTAGTAACAAGGATGTAGATTGATTGTTTGATGACCTAACACCGAAAAAACGCAACCTGTCACTTAACAACGCTGAAAGCCAATCAGAACGCGCGCTTTGTCGGTTAAGATCATAACCTCACCTTTATACAACACAGAGTTAAAAGTACGCACAAGACAAGTTTTGAGTCAAAAAAATGTATGCAGGACTCGGGGTTTTCTTTCTGAACTGCTTTCCTTTTCCTCTGACAAAGGATTGATTTATTTCTTAGCGTCAGCCTGCTTTTCGCCGGGACTAAAAACTATTTAACTAGCAAAGTATAAAGATGGTTTGTTGATTCGATCAAATAGTAAAATGACTTATTAGCAGCATGGTGTGACCATTTAAATACAGTCGAAGCCCACTTCTAACTGAAAAGTCAGAAAAGGATTTTGAATGACTGAAAACATGGAATAATAATTAGGATGAACGTTTCTTAACGTGAACATGGGGTTTTATGTAAACTTCTCGAGAAACCAAGTAGACGCATTTGGTTTATGAAAACAAACACAACACCGCCGGCGAACAAAAAACTCGAAAACTGAAAACGAGTTTCTTAAGAGAGAAAAAGAAGAAACAAACCATTGTAATCTGTTGACCACTGCTTACCTTGTGCAGCATGTCATATACGAGTCTTACCAGTTTGAAGCTATATTTCAGCGCTCCTCATGTCATTTTGTGGTTAGATTGAGCCCTGACCCTTTTCTCGAACAATTTTGTCTTCTCGTAAGGTTGTTAAATAGTGTGAAAGCTTTCTTTAAAATGAAGGCATTCAGAATACAAGCTTGAATAGGAAACATCACCAGAGTTTCACAATTTAATATTTGCATAGCTACGGTTTATCAACCTCTGTTATTCGGAATAAAACACGCATATAAAGAGCAATACATTGAACCAATAATTGGAGAATAAAATGCTCTGGGGACGTTTGTGAAGCTGTTCAAGGCACTCAGAGCACGTGTTTTGTCAAGTGTAAAGATTCACGTGCAACTAACTCGAATTTTTTAATTTTAAACTTGCGGTTCGTTTTTTAAACATGACTTAGTTTTATCAACCTGTAGTTTTCTTTTGGATTACTCTTTTCCTCTCGGACCAAAATAGTATTTATGATTGTTGTTGTTGGCAAAGAAGCTTGATCTCTTGAAGAGCATTGATCACGTGATCCAAGGCATAGCAGAGCCTTTCTGCAGCACTGATTAAGACAACGATGATGATGACGATGATTTTAATTCTTTCTTTGGTTATTCGCCGGTTTTTGATCTTGATAATTGTTGTACGCTGGTGTATTAGTGCATTGTCCACACGGCTTTCAGTATTGGCTCGGCTCCGGAGAGCGAACTCCCGATCCCCGCTTCAGCTAGTCTATGCCAGGCCAGTAGGGACGTCACCAAAACAGGTCAAGAAAAAAAGAGACACGCGTGGTCTGGCGAAGAGATTGGTGGCGGAAAAAGAAAGAGCTGCCTCATCTCCAGCATCAGTTGTTTCGGACGTCACCTTGGAAAAACAGGGTCCAGCAAAAATCGACTATATGGTCTAATAGACATAGACCCGCGACAAACAAACTGGTATCCCGTTACTGCGCATGCACCAAACTTTGATTTTTGGACAGGATGTCGGTGGATGCGAAAAAGAAATCTTGAAAAATCCGTTTGCATCGCGCTTGTCCGGGTTCAATACGACACTGAAACCTCAGGATTATAGATCAATGATATATTGTTCCTGTTAAGTTTTTAGGCAAAATCTGGATTTTTGGCGTTTCTTTTATTGCCGTTGGCCGGAGGACCAAAAGATTGGAAGCACTTTGATGCCAATTGAAGGCTTATTTCGCATCAGTTGTTTGTGAAAGGAACACGCAGAAATGAAGCGCAACAATAAAGACTGTAAGAAAGAAACCGTTGAGACATTGATGTGACTATCTTGGGAGGGGAGCTGAAAGCAGAATTTACGACGCGTTAGTAAACTTTTAAATGAATCTCACGGCCGACAAAATCGAACAACCCTACCAATTTTGAAAATAGTGACATGAATCATAATATCATTCTTGACTAACCTTTGCATAGCGTTGAGATTGCGTCTTTCAAACGTTTGAGGCTAGAACGCGAGCAAATCAGGCAGATATTACTGGATTGGAGCGATTGACCTCTGAAAAATTAGAAAATATGTTTTTAAAGCGAGCGGAACGAGATTTTCTCAGACAAAAAAACTTCGAACCGCGAGCCAAATTTTTATAAAGACGAAAGACTTCTTCGAAAGTCTAAAATATTACTTGAGAATATAAACAACAAATCTCTGTCGGCGGTGCGGTCCGGAAGGAAATCTTGTCGAGTCAATTTGACAGTTCTATTGTCTTTTGAAGAAAAAACAGATGACGCTCGCGCGTGCGCAAAATCGGGACACTGTCCCTTTAACATTAGCGAATTCCTCACTTTTGTCTGTCTTTTGTCATTAAAATGTCATGTTTGTCTGCCTTTTATCATTAAAATGGCAAAAATAACAAAACTCAGACAACAATGGCAAATTAGTCACTCTGGCGTCATTCGTACGCACGCAACTGCATTTCGCTCTCGACATAAAAAGCAATCATCAAGTGAAGATGATTGGTGGAGAAAAGTCGCCCTATTTTTTTGCCCAATCAATGCATCGTTTTCACATGACGTCACGGCGGCCATTGGTGCACGAAACAATGAAACGGCTGCCATGTTGGTGTATAGAAAAAATCCTGTGAGTATTTAACTCTTTTCTAATGTAAAAAAAAACTTTCTTTTGTTCCAAGAAATTTACATAGCTGCTAACCACGTGAGTGAAAAAGATCTATTTTGGAACCCGTCTCGTCTCGCCAAAGGCGCCGGCAACATACTGTTGCTTCAAGCTCTGCTTGATTCAGTTCACTTGTTGGAATTATCTGCGCTTTTAGTTGGTAGAAAAAAATTACTTTGGTTTTGGTTTTAGGAAAGTCGATGGAAAACCTCTCCTGAAAGATATTGAAGAATGTGCTGATTCAAAATTCAACATTGGACTCTTGGACTAATTCTGTGTTTTCACTCACGTTTCCAGCATCTATGCAAATTCACTGGAACAAAAGAAAGCGTTTACGTAAGAAAAGAGTTCAACTCCCACAGGACTGGTTTGGGACACAAACATAGCCGCCGTTTCATTGTTTTGGGACACAAATATGGCCGCCATGATGTCATGTGAAAACACAATTTATAGTCACTTCTTAACTCTTCTTCTGCAAATCTCTATACACGGGCACAAAATGATGTGCGATATATAACCTTTTCAATTACGTGACCTGCATCTAGGCAAATTTATTCAAACAGAAAAAAGATTTTACATAGCAAAAAGGTTCAACTCCCACGGGATTGGTTTGGGACACCAACATGACGTCACGGCGGCCATATAGGTGTCCCAATACAATGAAACGGCGGCTACTGATGTTTGTGTTCCAAACAAATCCTGTGGGAGTTGATCTCTTTTCTTATGTAAACAATTTTTTTTGTTCCCCCAAACTTGCATAAATCCTGGCTTAAGTTAAAAAGAAGTGGTTTAATGTTTCCACGCTTTATGGCGCAAACGTTTACAGTGTACTGAAGTTGATTAGCTTCTATTAAGTATTCTGTGCAAAGCGCGTGCTTTAACATTCGAGCTTATAGTAATAGTTTAAAACCCAAGGATCGTAAACGAATTCTGCCTTAAACGCATGTTGTTAACAATACCTCAACAGTCACTACCCCGAATAACCGCCCGAATCTTTTAAACTTTTGAAGCTTGTTTCATTTAGATCCCAGCCCCTTCGCCTCCCTGGCAAGTCAGTTCGCATGCCTCACTTAAGATATTTACACTTTTGGTTCAAAATCCCCCGTTCTTCCTAGCGGAAAAGGTCAAATTCCACATTTGGAGTCAACTTTCTTGGTAAGGACAAGGAACAAATGCCCGGAAGGATGCTGAAGTGTCGAATTGATCAACTCGAGGCCTTTCTTACCCTTCCCTTTCGTATCCTTCCTGTACATGTTTTAGAAACAACAGTGACTCAACATCTGCAGTCAAACAGTCATTAAAGATGCGCTAAGATTTTCAACAATGGATGGGGGTAACAGTCAAAATTCATGTATTATTGCGACACAACAGGGTAGTGATAGAAAATTTAGATAAGTTTTAAACAAACGTACACCCTTCGATCAATCACAGCCGTTGCTCAGGCCCTGTGACAATTATCCCAATGCAAAGACCAGCACATCATAGACAAAAGCATATTTCGCTGAATGGAGCACGTTAATTTGTTTCCCGTTCATTCATTCACGACTTCCCCTTCAAAATCAAATTTTACTCAATAAAAGACTGGAAAGGACACAAAATTAACCAAATCTAAAAAGAAAAAAAGAAACTTTATTATTTTTAAAAACATGTTTTACATTTCATTAAAAAAGATACAAAAAGGGTGTCATTATAAAAATATATGGTTCTTTCTACTCTTTATAAGACGTTGGCTAAACTATATAAGGTTAAGACCACTCCACGCCGGTCCAGCTAAAACGGCACAAAACACTCTTATTCCGTCCAGGAAAACAGAGATTTTTTCCCCTCCTAGAAGGAACAGAAAAGAGACAAGCGGTTAATTAGATATGGTGTAAACGGTAATTGTAAAAGTAATCTGCAGACAAATCAGCCCAAACAAGGGCTTATTGTGTACTGATCATTGGTATTGAGTCGAATCACACTGTAGCGCTGTTTGAGGCTATGTTCACACTATTCCAGATAGCTTTTCGTGCCAACACAAAAGCTACTCCGTTATAGTATGAACAGCAACGGCACAGAACTGGAGCAAGTCGTTCACACACATCGATCATCGTGCCGGAGCGGTTGGCCGAATAACGTTTGGTGAACTAAATCCCAGTCCTCACTCCTGAATAGTTACTTCGGTTCGGCAGTGGGTCCAGTCTTCTTTGCTACTTATTGACTTCCGCTATGGTCCGAATACCTGTTCACATTACACCACACTGAGGCACACAACCTATCCGATATGTGACACTCCACTTTCGAGATCAGCGCAGCGCAGCTTCGCTCCGTCAAAAAAATGCCACCAAAATCACCGTTCTTATGTGCGAACAGAAGCCCTTTCTGGTATGATTTTAGTGCCGACTCAAAAGCTACCTGCTATACTGTGAACATAGCCGCAAGGAAATGATCTCCTCTTTCATTGGTTAATGCCAGTTTGCGCAGAAAACTGCATCTAGTTTCCTCCACCAAAAAATCCCATAATGCAAAGTGAAAAAAACTCCTACCTAGTCTCAAGCGAACTACGTGTACAAATATAGACTTAAAAACAGAACGCTGATTTACCTCGGCCATATCAAGACCTGCCAGTCGGGCTTTTCTTCTATGGCGTATCACACACAACACAGTTCCGATAAGAATAAGCAAACTCGCGGTAGCCACCGCTACAAATGCTCCCATGCCGGCTGAAAGTGTCGCTGGTTTGGAGCTATCTAGCATGGTGTGGTGATCTAAAAAGAACAAAGAATTTATCCTTTAGTCGAAGTAGTAACAAAGAAACCATCTAGGTTTTGTGAGTTTCGTTCGAGACTTAGATTAGGCTTAATAGTGGCTGTCTTGACTCGACGGCGGGGTCAATTGGATTGGCAAGTAGTAATGATTAGTGAACACAAAGAAACGTTGACGATGACCAATTGTGAATAGTTTGGGTTATCTTCTTTTTTAACGCTCCACATTAGGTAATCCAAGTCAGTTTTGGATGCTGGATTGTACGCTATGGATTCTGGATTCTACATACTGATTTCCGGATTCCTTGTCAGCGGAAATTAGATTCCGGATCCCTTGAACTGATTTCCGGATTCCAAGGCCAAGAATTCTGGATCTCACAATTAAAATTTTCCCAGATTCTGGAATTCGCGTTACCTTTTATCGAGCGATTTGTTGCATTCTATATTTTACTAGGGCGAAGTGGGGAAGGAGAGAAGTATTTAATGATGGACGTTAATAACAAGATTCTTCAAGAATTGCATAAGAATATATTTGAACTTACCAACACATGTTTTGTTGTCTTTAGTCAACCAGTATCCTTTCAGACAAAAGCAATTATAACTTCCTTTGGTGTTGTTGCACAATTGTGAGCAGCCGTGTGGAGTCTCTGAGCACTCATCTATGTCTAAACACACAAAGTGAAAAAAATAAGTCAACTATAAACAGAGGAAAAAAGTACTATTATGCTGCGTAGCTTTCGGATGGTCGGATGAAGGGCCCAGCATCTGCTTTCTTTAAAGTTGGACGGCTTGTATTAAGACTGGCACAACGACCAAATTTTTAAAGTGCCCTTCTGTCGTATGGCCAGTCCTGCAATTGGTTTATTTACGCCTCGACGTGACGTCTGGTAAAAGCGTCTCAATAAATCGAGGTCCGAAAACAATAAGTACCGGTGAAGTTTTATTTGGCGTTAGGTGGTTCACTGCATTCAAGATTTTCACATGCCTACAACACACGTCTTGCTTAAAAGAACCTCAAAGCTTTTGCGAATAAAATATGTCATTCACTGTTGAACGTTTTAATCCCCTAACGAGGTGAGTGTAGCTTGTTCCAGGCTCCAAGATAGTAGGGCAGTCGTGCAGTGAGAAAGCGATGCAAAAAACGCGCGGGGGTTCCTCCCATTTTTTTCCCGCCACTGCCCCTCTTCCCGAGATCGCCCACGTCTTATTTCTCTTGGCTTGTTTTATTTTCACGACGTCCCTACTATCGACAGCCTGGCACAGGCTAGCTTAGTTATGTTATTTATCGGGGCAATTCGCAAGCATCTGTGAATAAGTCACAGATAACAGGGTCTTCAGCCTCCAAAAAACAGGATTTCCGTACCTGTACATGTTCTGAGGTCCGCTAAAAGCCTGTATCCTGATTTGCAACTGCAGGTAAAGCTGCCTGCTGTGTTGTGACAAGTGTGATCACAAAAATGGCTGCCTAAAGTGCACTCGTCCACATCTGAAGATGTCAGAAAAAATTAAAATGTAAGTCAACGTGATCACTTTATAAAGAAAGCAAGGACTGTCTAGTTCCAAATCAAGTTTCATCTTAATAGGAGTTCGATTTAACTCTCTCAATGAAATTCGCTCTGTTTGTGTTATGTTGAAGGCTTTCATTTCCAAATGAGGTCAGAATCATACAAAATAGTTATTAGGGAAAACATAACCATATCAAAGAACATTGAGATAATTAAACTAAATAACTATATAAGAAAAGTACCTTGGCAAGCCTTCCGGTCTTTCTCTAGTATAAATCCGGAATGACATTCACACCGGAAGCTGCCATGTGTGTTAACACACACCTGCTGACAGTCATTACTGCGGGCGCTGCACTCATTGAAATCTAAAAGTGAATAGAGGGATATGTTAACTTCTTATGACCCTCGTTCAATGTAGGGAATATAACATAAGAGGTATCACTGCTAAAAAGGATGATGGTATATACCTGTTACTGTAAGAGTCGCTCCCGCAGTAGCGCTGCCGGCGGGATTTGACGCAACACAGCGGTACATCCCTTGATCTGTGAAATTCACGCGACCAATAACCAGGGACCCGGTCGGTAATATTCTAAACCTATCCTCAGTGGGGATGGGTCGGTCTCCGTTTGGTCCTGACGCCCACGCAATGTGAGGAGGTGGGTGACCACGGGCCCTGCAGTGAAATATCCCAGATTTTCCCTGGGTCACAGTAAGATCTTTAGGGCCTTGTGTTATTGTTGTTGGAACTACAAAAAAATGAAAGAAAGTTGTCAATTAAAGTTAAATATTGTCGACAATAAATAAAGGTTGGAAAAGAAGTGCGTGAATATTCCCTAATTCGTTTAGTAGAGACCGTTTTGAGCGTAAGACGGATCATCCCCACGATTTTGCCCGCAAAGTAAGCCGTTGGCTGTTTGAAGTAGTTATTGGACTCAGCATCTGTGGTTTTTGCCATACATTCGAGCCTGCTGCAAGCCATTACCACAAAATAGTAGATTTCAACACCAGGTCTCTCTTCTGAGAAGAGATCCAGACAAACGGTGGCCCCATGTATTGTCGCTAACAGTTCTTCGCATTCTCTGAGTATTAAAGTATTCACAGCGAATATGGAGACCAGAGCTGGAGTCAGGTATTCACTTACAAGAGATTAAAAGCAATGGAAAGATACAAAAATAATACTGCCACCCCACAAAGTGGTCGTGGTCGGTAACGAGAGTTGTTCGCCTTTGAGAGGTTCCAACAACAGGGCTTTTCCTAGAAAGTTTTGGCAATTTGGATAGATGCTCGTCTATGAGAAATTGTGTCTTAAGAGAGTTGGATGCAAATGGAGGTTAGACTAGGCTGGAGGCAAAGGAATTGCTGCTTACTTTCCAGTCCGGCTACTGGCGGGTGATCTTGGTCCTTTTTAGATCCCACCTCTGTGATATCTGAAAATAAACAATCCATTTACTCTTTACTCCAATAACAACACCCAGTGTATTTGAGTCTACGCACAAAACGTCGAGCTGGTAGTTGTTTATTTTTGCAAACAGTCATAAAATCTTAAAATTGACCTTGAACTAAGAAAGAAGCAGTGTAAGAAACATACCTAAACAGTGTCGTTTGTCGGTTGATAACTGATAACCGTCATCGCACGAACACTCGTAACTTCCAGGGGTGTTATGACACGAGTGAGAACAACTATGAACACCCAATAAACACTCATTCAAGTCTGAAATAAATAAATAATTAAATAAACCAATGAGTAAATAGATATATAAATACTTCATAAAAAAGGAAAGAAGACACATTTACTGGGTAGATAACAGAAAAGGTACGTTCTTTTAAAGTGGTTGCCCAGTGCAATTTTTTCGTTCACCTTCGATCTCGTTGGACAGATTTACATCGCTGCAGCTGTACTCTATTCTAACTGTATTAAACTATTTTTGAAAGTTTTCGCGCACTGATTTTTCTTTTTAATCCATTGACCCATTGCAAAGAGGAAAATCGCTTGATTAATGATTGACCTCAGTAAAAACACTTGTACATAGTTCAATGTTTTGTAGGATGAATAGAGTAACAGTGAAAGCAATATTAGCAGAATTTACCGTCACAATGCCGTTGGTCTCTAGTGAGCATGAATCCACTGCGGCACTCGCACCGAAAACTTCCTTCGTCATTGACACATTGATGCTCACAGCTATGAGTATTATCTCTACACTCATTGACGTCTGCAAAAATGAAAAAAAAAAATAATAATAATAAAAAAATAAAATCGTCAGTGAAAAATTGACTTGCAATACTAATAAACTTCTCGACTTAATTATTACAAATGTATGTCAAAAAGTGGACTAATTAACTTTTGCCTTAGTTATGATTTCTCTTGTTCTAAAATATGGAACTGTACTCTTAGATTTGTTAAAAGGTTTCTATAGCATTTCCAAGCTTTTGAACGATCCGGTCATATTGAAGTCGAGGCTGGGACAGTGTGTACTATGGGATTGTTTTGGAAACGCTATCGCTTCTTTCATTGGCTACTATTACGAAGTTGCGCTCAAAACTGGGTCAGAATAGGCAATTTGCATGATGACGTCCTTTGGATTGACTACTACTACCACAATCCTTCAGGGTTTTTCTCTCTTATGCAAATTAGGGCTACTGTTATTTAAACCTCGCTGGGATAGTCAAATTTAAATATGAAAGGAAAAGCAAAATGGATTCTTGTACTAGTAGTAGAATAACGCTATCATGCGAATGGCCTACAGAGTGTTTTCACATGAAATCACGGCGGCCATAATGGTGTCAAACGCTTTCTTTTTAAATTTGTATAGTTACTGGTCACGTGAGTGAAAACGCTCTATTCATTCCCCAGTAATGTTCCATAGTGCAATTTCACATAAAACCGACCCAGTCTCAAATGTAACCTGACGGATGGCCTATCTATAAATTGAGCACTTTGTACGCAGTATTTTCTTTGCTAATTCTAATTACCTTCACAGTGTCTTCCGTTTGATGCCAACATGTAACCATGGAGACACATACAGCGGTGTCCCCCATCCGAGAGATTAACACAGTAGTGTTGGCAGCCATATCTTTTTGCCAGGCATTTCTCTTTACCTTCAACTAAGTTGGAAAGAAAAAAAGACAATGTGATTTTCACTGTTGATACTTGCAAACGATTCATTAAAAAAGCATTAAAATTAAAGTAATGGGGACGCCATTTTCATGCAGCTGAGAAGGGTAAACGTTGATTGTGAGGCAAAAACTTTCATCTCAGCCTTATTTAGCTTAGCCATTGTCAAACAAATGAAAAAAAGGAGAGGAAATTGTAACCTTTAAGTTACAATTTTCTACCTAAATTCTACCAAGTGACCATCAAAACTGCGTTCTTCAACATATACATTATGCACCTTTCGAAGATATCGTTATTGTTCTTATTATGCAAATTAGGCCATTTTTTGAAAAAGCGAAACTTTGTTGGCTGTCACGCAAGGTTTCCCCCGATGGTGGAAAAGAGTACTTAAAAACGACCGCGTTGCCTATATTACCTTTATGATGGTGGTAATGCTTGTGTAATTTGTTCTTATGAAGGTGTAATGGACGCTTCGCATCTTCTTCATTTTGATTCCTGTGTTTGTTGTCAGCAAGCAAAACAGCTAAAAAGAAGACAAAGAAAATTACCTTATCATTTTTATGACACGAAAAAGTAAAAAGTTGCTAAATCTTGATTTGAAAGATCAGTGTCCTCGTTGATAAATCGTTTTTTTTTTTTAACTATGACCAAGGACTGGTCTTTAACTTCAAGTAATTAAGCTCACCTTCTGTCGTTAGGATCGCCTCTGTTGTCATCATTTTTGTAGTTTCTGGTTTCTTTGTCGTCGGCTCGGTTGGTTGTGAGGAAACTGTAAAATATGCAACACATTAATTTGTTTTCTCATCGGACTAGTTACCACCTACTTTTAAGTACCGGTTTTATCGATGTTTTAAAGACACATAGCATGAAACTTGCTTGAAATTGACCTAAGTTTGAAATATTGGCAAGAAAGTTTCAAAGTGCCAGAAAAGCAGATAAACTTTCGCATGCACATCTCAGATGTTTATAGGAGACCACACGTAATCTAAGAGCCTTGCAATGAGCCATTGCCCTCACTTTTAAAACGAGACCAAGAAAAAACCCTACGTCCCCTACAAAATTTAGTTTCATTTGCATTATTTTGATATCAATGATCTCGCACTTGCCCTCGTTTACGAAAAGAGGCTTGTAGAGGACTAGGAAACAGCCTAGTAAAAAATCTATTTGCACTTTACAGTAAGACGTATCGGATGATGTTAACTCTGGGTTCTGTGGTTGTCGGCATTCAAACGTTTTTGTAGCAGCTTTACCCTAGAATCTCTTTAGAGCATGCCACTATTGTCAAAGTTGACACCAACAATTCATGTATGACCAAATTCAGTTAGAAAAAACTAAAGTAAATCCCTCACAGCATTTAAAAGGGCTTGACTTTGTTAACCTACAGCAAGTAATAAAATCTTAATAAGTTTTTAACGGAAGCTTAAAGCCCAGTTTACCGGAACTACTTTTAATTCTCGTTGAGCATCGAATTGGCAGGTTCCACTAGACGTCAACGCCCTCAGGCAACAAAACATCAGAGCCTGCATACCTTGCATAACATCCTTGTTTGTCAGTCTAACAACGTACGCCATAGCAGTCCCCACTGAAAGGTGACTGGCCTCTATCAGCTGACAGGTGTCTGGGTTGTAGCATTTAACTGTGTAACACCGCTGTCCCTCAGTGTAGGCCAAGTCACATGACTGATCCTCACAGCATAATCCAACGCACTGGCTGATATCTGGTACAAGTCCTCTTTCTGTAAACGCACCGGAGTTTTGGCCTCCCTTGAGCTGTACGTTGTAAAACGTCTTGTCTTTCTGACAGATTAAATTCACACTTGCAGTCGGGGAAACTCGAGGCTTTTCCATCGGCTCGATAGTAGTGTTGCCAAGGTTTGCAACGCTGGCTTCCGCTGCACTGCTAAACATGGCCACCTCACCTCTCGTAATGTACGAAATCGCTGAATTTATTGCCGTGTTTTCAATCGGGCGCGTTCGGCAAAGATCACGACTAAAACAGGTCACGGTATAACAGACATTTTGAATAACGTAAGCCAGATGACATGTCGCGGACAAACAGCATTTCTCAATGCATAGCTGTATGTCGCCTATTTGGGGGAACTGAGCAACCTCGCCTGCTCCCATACCGCCGTTCAGTATGACATTCGTAATGGTCAGTCCTTGAGAGCACTCTGTTGAAGGTCTGGGGGTGGTCACGTGACTGTTCTCCACGCGAGGGATTCCCAGCATGTTGTTTAGGGACGGTGGAGTTGTTGGAGACTGTGTGGGCTTAACCTCACCAAGAAGGTCCTGCAAGGATGGCTCTGTTGTTTTCGGGGTTTGCGTAGTCTTGACCCAAGCTGAAAAGAAGATGAAAAAAATAGACGATCGGCATACTTTCGCCAAAGAGTTGGTAACTTATGGTTAACTTTTGACGAAGAAATAAACAAACAATCAAAAACAACAACAAACAAAAACAACAAAAGGCTGCTGGAACTTAATTGCCAAATAACCTCGCTTTACGTAAAGTCAGTGTACTTTTTTTGTATTAGCATCAACAAACAAAATTTCTCCAAGAACCACCTCTCACTGCGTAAGAAGTTTACTTTTTGGCGACGACAACGTCAACGTCAACAAGAAGGAAAAATAGGGAGCTTAAGCAGCAGCGTTTTTGAGCGACGGACGTCAACCGGAAGTGGACTTTTTGCATCACTGGGGAATGGTTTGGTTGAAACTCTCAGGTAAATCGTCTTTAAAAGAGAAAAGAAACTCAGCAATACAAGTTTGTTAGCGTCAAGGCATATAAAAAGGGAGAACGGCTCACTTCCGGTTGACGTGCGTGGCTCAAAAACGTCTTTGCTTAAGGTCCCTAATAGCGTCTGTGAACATAACTACAAGATGAGGAAGTCCCAATCTTGTTTGAACTTGGGGGTGGTCACTTAAAAGAGAAGCATATGGTATTCACTATTGCTTAAAATTTTAGGAGGGTTATCACAATAAGGTTGACCGCTTCCCTGGTGGTGGTTACTTTTACTTCCCATTGGCAAAAACTTTAGAAATATTCACAGTTTTAATAGATAAGTACCAACCTTTTCCATTCTTCTTGTACATGTATATCATTTTGAGAGAGAAGTTCCTCAACCTAGAGGGTCTGGCGCTACAAAGTTCAGGGCTTGAGCATTGAAGCGCAAAGCACGTGTCTCTCAAAAGAATGGCAACATCACATGATCTCTCTGAACAACATCTTCGGACACATTCATTCATATTCGTAAATTCTGCCATCCGTGTGAAGTTACCCGCGCGAAGTCCGCCCACCAGAGTCACGTGACGATATAGTTTACTGTGGGTACAACTGGACATTGTGGGTTGGAACGTTGTGCTTGGGGTGGGTTTCGTTGTTATCAGCAACTTCATCAAGTTCGATGCTGAGCCTTGGTCTTCTTCTGTATAAGAAGTCTTAAGATTGGAATCTGGCTCTTTGAGAAGGTCGTTGACCGAGGGAGTATGCATTTCTGTTGCTTCCTCCGCTTCAGCATGAGATAAGGTCGATTCTGGAGGTTAAAACGAATGACGATCAGAGCTTAAAATTTGGTAAACGTCTTTTTAACGACAAAATAAAGACTTTTCTGCCAGTCAAATGCTAAAAGGGAACATTTGAATAAAGGATGCGTTGGGAATTGCGGGCTAATACCACAGATGAGCATGAGGTTAAAGTTGAGAGACAAGACTGTCAATTGTTTAGAGAACTGTAAATTCGTAAGACATCAACTCAAACAAACTACAGTGGAACCTCGATATAACGAACGTCTACATAACGAAGATGTCGGTATAACGAATGATATTCTTTACCCCATTAATAGTAAAATATATGGAAGAGAACCACGATATAAAGAAACCTCGTTATGGGGAACATATTAGGCCAGTCCTTTGGCCCCCTATTATATCGAGGTTTTCCCTGTGCCCTCAGCAATTCTCGCGGAAAAAGACAAAACTTACCCCCAAGTCTGTATCGCTCAATGAATCCAATTACAGGGGTATTCTCCATAGGACTCTTCACAAAGGCCTTGCACTGTTTTTCTTCCTTGCAACTAATTGCAAAACAGTTGTTCTCGACCATATATGCAACAGAGCATTCTTCCAAACCACAACAGATATCCATGCACTCATCAATAGAACGAACTGGTCCTTTGTCAGAAAAATTCCCAGCTCCCAACCCACCGACAAGATCTCTGTCTGTGTACACGTTTCCTTTTTTACACATGGAGTGGACGCTTGAATTCGTTGATTTGGTAGGTTTAATTTTAGGTAACGTTGGTTTGGTCGTCGATGGTGTGGTCGTTGGAGGCATAGTTGTCGTTATCACCTTAGAGGATTGATTGTTGTGCTTCTCTGTAGCTTTCGCAGCGGTGGTTGTTTCAGGTTCTTTAGTTGTTGTCATAGGTGTAGTTTGGGATTCTTTGGAGGGGATTGACGGTGGTCTTACAGCACTAACAATAGCCGAACCTGTAGTTCTAGCGTTTGTAGGCCCTTCCATTTGATCCTCATAATGTAAGGCACTGTTAGGCTTTGCAAAAGGAGCATCGGTCAAATGACTGTAAGGCTGTGAAAACCAGACCGAGTTGGTATTCATATCAGGGAAACTGTCAGAGTAACTCTCACTGTTTATAAGATCAGAATTCGACTGTGGTTGCGAATAGCCTTTCGAGTTTTCTAAATATCGGTCTATCTCCTTTTCCTGGAGGGCTCGTCTAAAGATGTATATCTCGTCCATATAACCAAGTAAAATCCTGCGACCAGAATGAGAACCAAAGCCTGCCTTAGCCTCCCAGTCTAGGGAAAGCAAGCCGCTGCCGTGGCCCTCCCCTACTAAATCACCGTTGAGAAATACCCTGGCGAGATGAGTGCGAGAGTCGTACGTGGCAACGACGTGATACCACAGGTTGGGCTGCAGTATTGGAGGAGTTCTTATATGGAAGATCTCCTGAGCGTACTCGTTCCGATGGAACCATCTCACCCTTCCGTCGAACACTTCAAAGTGGTACTGTCCTTTGTTGTGGATTGAATGACCGCCGATGGTGTCAAACATGGAATGTACTCCACCGGTCCTCCAGAGGTTTACCCATAATGCAATGGTGACCGCCTCCTGTGGCTTCTCGCGGAAGTGCTGACCATCGAGGAGAATTTCGCCGCCATTCAGCTTAATATCAGCACCACGCTTCCCTGGGGTTGTTACCTCAGCACCTGCAAAAAAAAAAAACAAAAATAACGCTTACATGAGAAATCAGCGTTATGAGAAGGTGCTCAGTTCTTTGCGCTTAGTGCAAAGCTCAGTGCCTTCCATTCAACAAAAAATTCACAGCAAACAGGTTAGTTCTTTCGTTCGTTTCTTCACAACCGAGGCACCTAGGGTATTATTTTTTTTCCAAGAGATCGCCGATATAACTGAAGAAGATGACGGCACCGTTCTAAAAAGCAAACGAATTACGACCCGGTTTTTATCTATCTTTTCGAACATTTAATTCAACTTATTGGCACAAGAAAGAAGGGAATCGTTTGATGTAATGATAGCTTGGCCTCTTATGAAAAGAACACAAAGTTCTTGAAGTAATTACCTTGAGTCAACCTTGCATCGTTATTAAGGCCAGATCCATCGACTGCCACGGAGCCGATCACGTGATCAAATCCAAGGTACAGGGAAAGATAATGGATGTGATCACCAGGCAGAACGTCCATATTTCCACCAAGAGGACTAAGGGGTAGAGGAGTGGGTGTTGGTGGGGACACATCTTCGTCTTCGACCATAGCTACAAAAATTCATTGCATGATTATAAGGCACTATACTAAGAGCAACTTACCGGAAGGGAAGGCAAGACACTGGTCGTACAAGACAGTGATATAATTCTTAGAAACAATTAAAGAGCAAACACCTAAAGTTGACAAGATCATATTCTGCCCTCTTACTTTATCAGAGCCCCACTGTAGGGGAATGGTTATCTCACGGATGCACAAACACAAACACAAACAAATCTAAAACAAAACAGAAAAACTCAACCCTCCAACATTCAAAAAGTTTTTTAACTAGCCGCCGGGATATGATTCTCAAGTTTACAAAAAGAAAAGTTCTCGGAAAACTATTTTCAACTTATTTTCAACACAAGCGTGTATCTACGCGACAAAACAGTGCGCAAAGCATTGTATTTTCTTGTTCTGCATTTTCTTACCTTGTCTGCTGACAAACGAGATCTGGTAATCCCCTCCTTCCTCGACCGTACAAGCATCGCCAACTCTGCATCGCACCGTATGACATTTCCTCTTCTTTAACATGACAAAATCGCAGGCGGGCTCATCACAACACAATTCGATGCATTCTGCCATGCTTCTCACAGGAACGACCTGAAGTCGCATACCTGCATTCCAGCCATCACGAAGCTTTACACTGTAGAAGAACATCCCCTGGGCGCAGAATTGCCTTGTGGCCGACGAACTGTGCGTGGGTCGGGGGGAAATTGGCTGATATGGAAGGAACATGTCACTCGCTGTTATTCTTCTTGTCGGAGGTGGTGCGGTGGGTTTTGGGGTGGTCGGATTCTCCAATTTTCGCATTTCTGTGAGGAACACAAGGTAGATTATAATTGTCTCGGCCATAACATGATTTAAAACGTGTTAAAACTGGATACGATATGCGACCTCAATGCTTCTTGGGATCGTTTGGATGGACAGCATAAAGATCAAGAAACATGTCGCGCTACAAGTGCTGTGTTCCAAACTGCAATAATTGTTCTTCTTCAGTCACAGTAACCTTAAAAGCGTCTTTAACAGGTGGCTTGCCACTATCCGCCATGCCTTTGCTGTCCCTCTAGACGATCCCTAGAGCCTTTACGGTAATCAGTAGTACCAGTTTCCCGCTCGTGTTGAACATTGCTAATTTCAATTCATATTTTATGTAACGAAATAAATTATAACTAGCGGAAAATCGTCAGTTTTGTCTGGTACATTAAAAAGAGTTCCTTTGTCATTGGATACTGCTGTTTGCAGGAGATGTCTCTTTAAAAATTAAGTGCATGTATGGAAAGAGGGTCCTCGCAGGGAGGTACACAAAAGTTCTTTTACTTTCATGTCCCATCCCGCTTGTACCTCTTATATGGGTCCCAAGGGGTTCCTGGCTTGGTAAAAGCTTGCGCTTACTTTGCAGGAAAAGCCCTTGGGTTTACATATGAGAAAGTAAGTAAAACAGCTACCTCTATAGTTGTCACTACTACTGTTCACACCTTAGGTCTGCAACATTTTAGCAATCTAACAAAATACTTACCTTGGTCTAAGATAGAAATACCACTCCTCGTGACGTAGTAAACACTGGGTATGTCATTTCTGTAGGGCACCGATGGTACAGGCTCACACTGCTCATTGTTGAAACAGTCTACAGCATAGCACCTATCACGAGTCATGAAAACAAGATCACATGAAGCTATCTCGCAGCAGAGCTTCAGGCAGCTAGCAGAGCCTCTTACTTTGCCCAAATCTATGAATAGACCCGCGTTCATTCTACCCCTTAACTCGCTGTTAAAGTAAACCATCCCTTGTTGACAGTTTGGTTCTTCATGTAAGGTAATCGTGGGTGAAACACTGTTTATCCCAGGCTTCTTATCAATGAGTGTTGTAGATGGTACATTTAACGTAGGTTTCCGTAATGTAGTAGACAACAGAGTCGTTCTTGCCGTTGGAGTTACATTGGTTGACTTAGAAGTTGTTGTCGCTGTTGTGGTAGACGGTGTGGTCGTTGGGGTAGTTTGCCTTGTGGAGCTTGTCAGTGGCCTCGCCGTGGTAGGAGTTTCTGCAAGAGTAGTGGAAGTAGGCTTCTTTTGCTTTGTGGACATTGTAACGTTAGGATGAAGGAACAACATCGCATCTTGAATCATCTTTTCCGGAATGAGGCCATCATAACTTCCTTCTTGTACAGGAATGGCTCCACCTTTAAACAGATCAATCTTATTGTAAGACTTCAAAGGTTACAAAACTTTGAGTGCGTTCCTTGGGATGATCATAGGATCGGGATTTATGATCCGAGATCACTCAGATCTTGGTGCGTCAGAGAAAGCACTTAATTTCACCTGGACGCGGATTCATCGGTATTTTTGGATCTTGGATCATGAATCCTTATCCGAATAATGCCAAAGGAAAGCACCTTAAAAGGTCCTGCTTAATGTCTATTGCCAAAAACGTTCTCGAGTTATAGAGCTACTTGCCAGGTGTTCTTATCTCTCTACGGCTATTCGATTCTCCCAATCAGATCAACTAAGCGTACTAAACAGCGGGGTCTGAGTACGAGATAACGCTAAGGCATGTTAGGACAAGGGCTTGTAACATCTTTACAGGCCATAACGTGTAACTAATTTTCCTATTTTGACTCAGTATCTGAATTACCAATGGCTGCTGTCTTTTGTATGTTTTTTTTTTATTATAGATCGTAATCTTTACAAAAGAATGCAGGGACAAAAAAAAAAAATTGACTAACGTGAGACGCATGCATAATAAACACCATGATTGCTTTCTCCTCAGTTTCTCGCTTATGCTGATCTATTTAACTCCAAAGAGTTATATAAATATTAACTTAGCTCATATGGTGAGTTTGAGAATTTATACGGACGGCTGCAAATAATTATAATGATCCCCCTTTTGCGCTTATAGATTGGAGGATAATGGCTTCATTTAATCTTCTTAAAGGATTGCCTAATCTTGTCAAAGATGAACTTACGGTGAGTCATGATACAACAGAATGGTCAAGAGTTGCTTAAAACATATGTTACCTGCTCCAGGGTTACATTCTTCTGACAAATCTCCCAGATCTGACGCTGCAAGGGCGTGGTTATACATATAGAACTCATCCATAAGCCCTTGGATACCCCCGGGAATTCCGATTCCTACTTCGCCATCCCAGTTCTGTGACAGTAATCCGTGCCCCTCTCTTTCATCGAAGACCTCTCCATTCAGGATGATCTTGCTTTTATTGATATGGGCATCATACGTCGCAGCTACGTGTAACCAGTCAAGGGGATCCACCATCCGCCTCGTTTCCATGCTAAAAGTGACGTGGCCCAAGTCATCAACGTGAGACCAACGAACGATCCCATCGGCTACGTGTAAATTATACTTGGCTCCAGATCCCGTCGTTTTAAACAAAGTGGCAGTTCCGGATACTGAGTCGAGCTTTAACCATAACGCAATCGTGATGGCCTCGCGCGGTCGGCTGTTGAAACGCGGGAAAAGGAGGCGTCCACCCCGCAAGGTCACGGCAGAACCACATTTCGATTCAGTAACAGATAGCCGTACTTCCGGGCTAAGGATGGCGTTGTTGTTATTGCCAGAGTTGTCAAGGGCTGTGCGATTTTTAACGCTTTCAAATCCAATGTGAAGCACCAGATATGCAACGTTACCTTTGGGATAGAAAACAAAAAATTCCTTGTGAACAAACGCTGTTTGGGGGTGATCGTTCATAACAAAGAAACTCAACCATGCAAAATCACGTGAGGCGATTATTTGAGGCCCTACATGCCTTTTCTTCAGGCAGGAATCTAAGTTCATTTTATTAGCAGCTCACACTCACTTTTGCATAACTTTCCGATGTCGCCAAACTTCATTCAAAGCTAATTTTAATCCATTTACACGTGCAAACTTGATACCTTGGTTTTTGTATGTATTTAGTCATTTTTGGTTTATTTTGTCACTTGAAAATTATGTCATGGGGACATCGAAGTGTTGGCAAAACGTTTCTCGCTATGAATCTAAGTACAATACAAAACGACAAAAATAAAGTGAGATTTGTTAAATCGTTAGATAAAAACACTTTAGAGTTACTTAGTGGTATCCAGAAATCTTCGTGCCGCCAGTAGATACGCCCAGATAAAGGTGTACTCGCAATACTATAAATGCGCTAGGAATTTCATGATGTCTTACTGCAGGTATGCAGGGCAAGAACAATTTCTTTATAGTAAGATACTATACAGTTAATTTTAGCACACAAGTTACGTTTAAGAATATTGCGTTACCATACACATTGGTAGGGAATGTAAAAAAGGAGTAGTTAACTTACAATGTTAAGTCGATAAGCGATTCTCCAACGTACATGAAGCTTTCCCGGGCAGCATAACAATGCAAGAGGTCTTAAAGATCTCTTACAATGTTATGCTAACCGGTCAAGCTCTTCAGTCGAATGTCATAAAGATATTCTAGGTAGATTTTCTATTGAAAAGTTCTAGTTTTCTGTTCCTGGCTATATAAGTAACTTCTTGCCACCAATTCATTCTGTCATTGTCGTGTATGGAAACACCATCGCAATAAAAGACGACGTGCAAAGAGAACAGGAAAAAAAGTCAAGGCGTTATTAAAAACAAGTTTATTTAGGCCAACTTTAATGCAAATGTTTTTGGACGGCAAGAGGTTATATAGCACACACTCTAAAACTTATCTGCTTAAAATTGCTTACTTATGAACACACAAGAAGATCAATTAATTTATTAAGTAGACACGTTGTAAATTACAATGTCTTCGATGGTACAGCCGCAATAACGTTTAAATTAACTTCATCATGTAACTTAATCTGGAACTACTTATTTTTGTATTTCACAAAGTAAACTGAATATAGCTTACAATGAAAATGTACGTAACTATGTATGGTAAGGGACGAGGGAAAGTGTTCTCGTGTAATGTCGCGTTATTAAAGACACGCGGTATTTTTAATGGATAAAATGTCCAAAAGTGTCTGCGCGCTCTTACTGTTGATTTCCACCATGGGCATTATAACTCAGTAAAGTAAGGACGTAACATAGGGTGCAAACTTTAAGGAGATTTAGATCAGTCGCTAGGCCGATCATAGTAACACATTTCTTTGGGAATCTAACAATACATTCTTCATATTCGTACCTTCACTAGACGCCGGAATGGTAAGCTTTTTCTTCCCTCTTTGTGTCATTGGCTTCTTTTTTCTTAAACGGGGTTTAGACCTCAAATGACTTTTGGAGTTAAAAAGCTGCTGTATATCATCTCGACCCGGCTGCTCGGCATCTGGCCTGCGGGATTTGTATCTTACAAAGGAAGATTTTGGTGGATGTGCAATGGATTGTTGTGTAGGGACTGTAAATGATGGGGGACTCTCAGTAGCAGAACCAATCGACGCGTGGTCAATTATTTCGTCGCTGCGGTCCATCTCCGGAGAGAGGTCATGTTCGCCACTGGAGATTAAAGTCTTGGCGATGTCTCTCCAGACCTGAGGCGTTTTTTTGTGGTTCTTTTTACTCCGGCGATCGTTGAGAAGGGGCATACGTATTTCAAGTTTTTTCTTGCGACGTGGGGGTTTAGGAACCGTGACACGTCTACTTGGCTTGTTACTTTCACTTGTAAACTCCTTTGTAACTTCTTTGACCACGCTGTCGGCCACATTATCAATCAGCTGTTCTAAAGCATCGGACTTCTGAGTATTAACCTTTGCAGAATTGGCAGAGCTCGTTGTTGTCTTCTTATTGTCCCTGATTGAGCCAATAACTGGTTGTTTAGCTTCGATCTCTGCGACAATTTTATTAATGAACGACTGGTTGACGGTGGGATGAAAAGAAGCATGGTTACTGGAAGAAATGGCGCCTCCTTTGATCACGCTGGTAAACACTCCATGAGATCCTGTGTCCTTGCGTTCTGTACCTCTTTCACTAATGGTATCGTAGATTTTCAAATCTCCATTATCTAAATAAAAACAGAATCAACCAAAGGTTAACTTAAACGAAAAACAAAGGAAAATCTGTCTTAAGGAAATGTCATAATATTGCTATATAATCAAATCACAATGTCAACGATATAGTGAAGCAATTTGAGACAACACCACTGGGTTACAATAACTTCGAGACAAAAGGGCAATATTGAAAAAAAAGAAAACGCTAGAAAAATGCGAGGAGCACCGCGTCATTCACTGGCTAAAAAATTAAATAGGTTAAGATAAAAACTAACTTATTCGTCCCGACAAACGCTTCTTAAGTCAAAATATTGGATCAAAAGCTCTGTCTAATTACCCCAAAATATCCTCGGTTCTTCCGTTTTAACGCATTCAAGTTCCAGTTCAACTTATCTCTTTTTAGCCAGTAAGCAATTAAACTTTTAGATCTGTAAGCCACACTTGCAGATCTATGACTACGTTCACCTGTTTTCAGTACTTTCTCATTTCTTTTCCGCTTATGGTTATCTATAAAATCAGACAATGCATGGCGGGTACATACCAGTCGTTTGAGCATGTGGTTTTTCTGACGCTTCCGCGATGCTTTTGTTCAGCGGGCGAGCTGGCTTATTATTAGGATCCAGAGCACTCAGTGGCCTGCTTGTCTTCGTCGCAGGTTTCTGAAGTCTTGAACTTCTGGGGATAAATGATCTCTGACTCTGTTTTTTGGTTTCTCTAGCAATCGCTTCAGAATTCTTCTGAACTTTCCTTTGCTGATGGTATATTTTCTTCATGTTGTTATATATTGTCTTCATCTCTTTAAATATCATCGCCTCCTCAACAGGTATTCGCAGGTGCTTTCTCGCTATCCTAGAGCGATTTCTCTTTTTACCAGATTTTCTTTCTTTCCTTCCTTTCTCCGAAGAAACAGAGAGGTGATCTTTCTTTCGCCAGCGAGCATTCTTCTTTTTTCTGTTGTATAATTCCTGCACTCGACTGTAAATGGTTTTAATATAATTCATGAGTGTTTCTTTATGGTGATTCCAGGACATCCCAGAGCCTTTGTCGCTGTCTGTCGCATAGTCTTTGACCAATCCTATTTTCTTCGTGGGAAACGGAGCTGCTTCTTTCTCGTGAGACAAAGAAGTCTTCTGAGTAGATCTTGGAGGCGTTGGTATAAGTTCTTCTCTCCTTCTGGAGTTAACATTGACTGCTTTCCCTCCCTTACTTCTACTTTTTAGGCTTTGGGAAGTAGGCTTACTAAAAAATACCGAGGGTACCGTGGGTATAAGTTCTTCACGTCTCCTGGAGTTCACAACTACTACCTTCTTCCTATCGGTTGCATTTTTTGTCCTTTGAGAACGCCCCTCAATAAGATCTTGTAAGCGACTGTAGATATCATTTATTTTGTCGAAAATTGCGTTTAACTCGGGCCTTCTTTGTCGTGACCTTTCTGGCTCTTCTTGTCTGACATACTGAGGGAAAGATGAATTCGCGTTGACGTTTATTGCTTTGTTAATGCTGTGCCCAGAGTCGTTCTTCAAAGAAACTAGTTGTTTGATGTTATGTTCACTCGATGATACGTCTTCCTGAGAAAAATTGGATAACTCTGGTTCGGAGTCAAACGTGGTAAATTGAGGCTCAGAGGCACTTTTCGCCTTACTTTGCAGGGATATTTTCTCGACGTGTTTGCTATTTGTTTCTTCAGGTTCAGTACCCGCTACTTCGTGTTGCTTTTCAGATCGAAATTCACTTTTACTCGTCCCCTCTCCGTGATTACCAAATAGGAAATGAACCCTGCTTGCAGGAGTTTTCTGCTCCGCGGGGAAACTCACCAGACGATCATTATTATTATTCCTGGTAGTGTCCCAAACTTTGCCTTCTTGTTTGTTATCCGTATCTTGGATTTTAAAATGGACTTCATTTTGACTGGTATCCTCGTTATCTTTTGGCTTGCTAAATTCAAAATGCAACTTATCCGTAGGAGCTATTTGCTCGTGAAAACTTGTCAGGTGATCTTTATTTGTGTGTCTTGAGGTCACCCCAAAGTTCCCTTCTTGTTTGCTAACGTAATCATCGCTTTTCCTCCTTTCAGCATCGAATTTGAAATCCGGCCCATGTTTTGGAACTACCTGTTCATGAAAACTTTTCAAACCATCTTTGGTTTCATTGCTCGAGTTAATCCAAACTTTATCTTCTGGTCTCATCCGTTCACGTGATACATTCTGAAGGTTGAATTCTTCTTCATTTTTGTTTTCATCCGGTTGATCTACGTCGAAATTTGTTCGATGATTTGATACGACTTGTTGGTTAAAGTCGTTAACTTTTTCTTTACTTTTTGGCTTCGAGCCAATCCAAGTAGGTCTCTCGGGTTTCTTAGGCCTGTTTTCATTTTTAACGCTGAAGCTATCATCTTTTTCTTTCTCCTTTTGTCTGTTTTCATCAAGATGCAAGTCGGACTGGTTTGAATGTTGACGACGTGATATCCCTTCAATGTTGAATTCTTGTTCATGTCTGTTATTTTCCGGTTGATCAAAATGAAAATTTGATCGATGCTTTGACACTGTTTGTTGGTTCAAATCGCCAATTTTTTCCTTACTTTGCTGCTTTGAAACCATCCAAGCAAGTCTTTCTGGTTTCTTTAGTTGGTTTTCATTTTCAACGACAAAGCCATCATTGGTTTTTTTCTCCTTTTTATTATTTTGTTGTAGATTAAAGTTGGGCGACTGTTCTGATTGTTCAGGTAATGAACTTTGAATGTTGAATTCTTTTTCTTGCTCAGCTTTGTTATCTTTCGGTTGATTAACTTTGAAATTTGACCGATGCTTTGATACTGTTCGCTGGTTAAAGTCGTCGATTTTTTCTTTACTCTTTTGCTTCGAGCCAGTCCAAGAAGGTCTCTCTGGTTTATTTAGCTGTTCCTGACTCTCATTGCGGAAGTTATCATCTTTTTCCTTCTCCCTTTTGCTGTTTTCATCTAGATGAAAGTCGGATTGTTTTGATTGATCTACTTCCTGCTTGAAGCTTTCGGTGCGATTTTCGAGTCTATGTGACGAATTGATTTTTAATTGCTCACTGGATTTCATGGGTTCCTTTTCTACTTCAATTGTGATTTCCTCTGGCCCATTTGGTTCCTTTTCGCTGCCTTGGTCGTTCAAGTCCCCCATGCGTTCTCTATCTTTATTCCGCGACTTAACTGATACTTTTTTCTCATGTTTCAATGAGTCCGTCTGATTTTCAATCTGAAAGTCATCATCGCTCTTGCTTTTCATGTCATCGCTAGCTTTGCTTCCGAAGCTATCCAATGCAACTTCTTCCTCCGGCTTTGCTTGGATGTCTGTATTCAGGTCTGTTGTGTCGTCCAACTCATCTTCATCTTTGTCTGGGCCGGGCTGCCCATACTTGCTTTCCAATCCTTCTTCAACTCCAACATCCGGGTGCTTTCTCGTTGTGTTTAGACCTAAGGCTGTTCCATTTGTATCATAAATAACTCGTTCCTCGATAAAATGTTCATTGGTAGAATTGAGCTGTTTCGAATCGTTCTTAGGAAAGCCGTGTTGCTTCTTGATTCCTCTTTCTGCTGATAGCGTATTCAAATGGTGCATTTTTGAATTTACTTTTCCATGGAGTGTTTGAATCTTGTGTTCTTCGATATTGTGTTCATCTGTGGGAGGATATACAAGTGGTCTGTCTGTATCCACAAGAACAACTCTCTTTGTGGCGTTGGAGGTAATCTCGGACCAGCTATCATTATGACGTAATTCACTCTTCTTTTTGTTTGGAATGATGTTTTTTGGCTTTTTCTTCGCCAAAGACGGCGTGGAGTTTCCTTCTATACTCTCACTAACTGACAATCCCAAAGATGGAACCGTCTTCTTCTGCTCCGTCCTGCTCTGATTTCGAAGAAGAATGCGAATTTCTCTTTCAAGGTGTTTATTCTCCTCTCTTACATCGGCTATTTTCTTTATCATCATATCCATCCTTTTTTCTGCTTTGCTTTCATTAGTATTTTCAATCCCGCTGACCTCAAGGCTCTCTTTTCGATGCTTGGTTTTATTACGCAGGCTAATTTTATCAGATGAATGATCACTAGCGTTGTGACTTGTCACATGAATAACTCCGTTTCCAGTTGATTTTATTAGATTGCGAGTTGTGATTTTATCGTCGGGATCAATCACGAATTCTTCGTCGATTGTTTGAATCGTTTTGTTCATCAGGCTAAAATCTTTCTTGTATGAGTTCCGATTTTTCTTGCTGGATGGAACCTCCTTGTAATGAACAACATTCGCGGGTTGTTTTTCTATACCATTAATACCAGAAATAGTGGAGTTAAAAACAGATGGTTTTATGGTCGTTCGGGAGTTATTCGTCTGGAAATAAACGATCTTAGGCTTAAAATGCGACGGTCGTGCTGGCACAATTCCGCATGCATAACCACTTGTGCACGAAACTGTGAAACAGTTATCAAGAAACATAAAAATCAAGTCACAAGGGCTCTGTTTACAACAAAACTCCACGCACTGGCTTGTACGGTTGACTTTTCCTCGCGAGGTGAAATTCCCAGCGTTGTAGCCCATTCTAAGGGTTACATCGTCAAAGACTTCAGAATGTTTGCAGGTTTTCTTTTTGTTACCATCAAGTTTTAACTTGGGTTCGGTGTTATTTTCAATCGCCTGGAACACATCATTTATAGCAGGTACAGTTGTTACAGGTTTACGCGTAGGTTTGAAATGACGGCGATAAACATGAGTAACTGTTGGATTGAAATTTGGCAACAAAGATGGCGTTGATGAACAGAGAAACTCGTCAAAGCAGGTCACCAGGAAACATCGACTGAAAGCATAAAACGCCACGTCGCAGCTGCTGGCGTTACAGCACACCTCAGTGCATGCTGATGACTCCTTCACTTTACCCGCGTCTAAGAACTTTCCCGCATGTAGACCACCCCTAAGAGTAACATTTTGCTCAGTTGAGGACGCAGTGCAGCCTAACGAGGAATGCAGCCTTGCAATAAAGTGCAATGAACTATTATATCCAACACCTGTAGCTCTTGCAGTCGTTGAAAATCGCTTAACAGTCGGACGAGGTTCACTCATAGAGGTCATGGTACCGGTGACTTTTGACACTGACGTGACTGGCCGTTTTGCTGATAGTGTCGGTGGAAGGAAAGTAGGTTTCACCGTTGGAGCTGGTTTGCTGTTTTTCATCAGTGCCACCACATGGTCCTTCCCACCACGTGATATACGAGATATGATCGGGTTGAAATTCGTAGCCAAGGCTGGTGTACTTTCGCACAGGCGAGTGTTTGAACTTGAACACGTGACCAAGAAGCAGTGTTTTAATACCATAAAGGCTAAATCACATATGGCGCTTTTGCAGCAGTGACGGGCGCATGTTTTTATATCATTCACTTTTCCAACCTCATGAAACAAGCCTGAAGAGAGACCTCCCCGCAGCGTTTTGTTATACTCCACTTTAAAAGCTGTGCAACCAAATTGTTGAAGATTAGACGTCGGTGTAGGTAGCGAAGGAACTGTGGATTTTGTGGTCAGATATTCGTGTTTATGATGGAACATTCTCTTCTGTTTCTTTGATTTTAGTTTCTGCGTAACAATCTGTCCGGAAGCAGCTGTAGTTGGTTTGTAAATGTTATCAGGCAATTTACTGCCGTTGCTTTTAGTTTTAACACGACTCGTAGGACTTGACTTTTTAGCCTTTCCGTCCTCTTGCAAAAGATCTTTAACTTGAGATGCAGAACTACTTTCACTGTCGGCAATTTTGTGCGACTTTTGTGACGGTACATTTTTCTCTTTCACGGGAAAAGTAGGTTTTATTCGCTGATTCATCGAGCTCATTGCGAAAGTTTCCGTATTATTAAACGAAGCCAAGTCTGATATCTCACGATTACTCTTTTTGCTCTTGCGCTTCATGAGCCGGAAAAGCTGCTCCAAGTCCTTGTTTGACAATTTCTCACTCTTTTTCTTTTCCAGCTTGTTTTTGAAGCGTTGAACTCTGGTGACTTTAGAAGGCCCATTTTCTTGCTTGGAATTCGGACGATTTTTTCTGGGACTTTTTGCTTTCGATTCGTTTAACCGTGGTGCTACCGTCACGTGCTCCACTTTGCGGTGTGTTGCTAAGTTACCAAACATTTCTTCAAGTTTGTTTGTTTTAACTTTGCGCTTTTTGCCTTTACGGTGGTGCGTCACCCGCGTGGTTTCCTTTTTACCTGATACTCTCCTGGTTTTTAAGCTGTGTTTACTCTCGTGACTAAGGGATTCAACTGGCACGGGGAAGGTCGAAGACGGTGTAATACGATAACTTGAAGTGCCGGTGCGAGGGCGCCTCACTGTCTGTTGCTCGTCCATGAATGACATCAGCTGGGAAACATTGGTTCGTTGCACGTGTGCAACTCGTGGGTTAAACAGGCTGTGTCTGGCAGGAACAGTCTCACATCCTTTTTTGGTGTAGCACGTGACGAGGTAGCACCGCTGCTTGAGCATGAAAGACACATCGCAGTCGACGGAGTTGCAGCACTTGTGTAAACACTCGTCCATGTTCTCAACCCTCCCCTGGTCTCGGAAATAGCCCGATCGGATACCGTTGCGTAGCGTAACATTGTAAGAGATCGGGCTATTGAGACACGAGGAGGGATGAGTGAAAGAGAGTAGTGAAGAGTTCTTTGAAGTCTTTGCTAGCCCAGGTATTTGCCCCGAATTTACTCCCTCCTCTTTCATTGATTTAAATGGCTCGTGATGACTTGGAGTAGTTGTGCCAATACCGATTGCTGGTAAAGACAACAAGCTTACTTTAGCAGTTGATGTTATATATTTCGATGACAGGCTCGGTGTAATTTGTTGTTGGTTGTGCGACACCGACGAGTCCATTGTTGGTTTAACATTGTGTTTTAGGCTAATAGTAATGTTTTTACCAGTAGAAAGTGTGCTGGACGTTTTCTTTTCTAAATAAATCGTACTTCGTATTGCGACATTGTCACCTGCAGTTGACGGTGAAGGACGCAACAAAAGCTCAAGTTGCTCTGAATTTAATCCACTCGATGAAATAAAATTTGTCAGAATCTCGCTTTTTCCTCCCATAGCTGGGAGAGCAGCGTCAAGTAGAGATAAGGATTTTGTCGAGTGATGAGTCGACAAACGCGTAGAAAAACGAATCTTTTCAACATAGACTATTCTTGATTTGTATTTGCCCGTTTTTGCAGGTACACTGTCACAGAGGTATTTGTTGTGACATGCGACAGTGAAACAGTTTTCCAATAACATCAGGGCAAGATCGCACTGATCATTTCTACAGCAAAAGTCCACACACTGTTCCACATTCTCAACCTTCCCGTTGTCCTTAAAGCGTCCCGCGTTTAACCCCCCACGGAGTGTTACATTGAGTTTCTGTTCGCTGTTCCAGCAACTATGACGCGATTCTACTTTACGTGTATACGACTTGGAAAATAGCAACTGCGTCGGTGAAGGATAAATCTCTGAAGACTGTAGGAGAGATTTTGCAGATGAAGTCATTGTAGACTGAGATATACTGTTAGTAAGTTGGTCCCTTTTCAAAGGCAACCTTGACTCTGTGAATAAAGCACTCGAGCGTTCCATAGTGCTGCTAAGCAGAGCTGGCGAAGGTGTCGCGATGTTTTTCAAAATATTGGTGAAGTCACCTTGATCCCGTCTGACTCGAGAAATGAAAGCAATCCTAGGTGTGAAAGTCACATTTCTTGCTGGAACAGGATCGCACAAATGATCGTTGTAGCATGCAATGGTATAACATCGAGTCAAGAGCATAAACGCTACAGTACAAAACTGCCAACGACAACACTGTTCAATGCATTTCCGCATATTTTGAACGGGTCCCTGGTCCTTAAAAATCCCAGCATTAATTCCTCCACGCATGGTTGCATTGTAATAAACAACTGCACTTTGACATATTTCATTTTCCGTTAATGCTCCCGCAGGTACCAATTTCTGTCCTTTTAGACTCACATTTCCCCCGTTTTCAAGCCATCTAGAGCTCGATAACGGTGGATTTTCTTTCAGTCCCGATGGCGTAATTGTTTTATGAAGTGTATGACGAGTGTTGTTTCGCCTTCTTGACATACCTTTCGTTTGAATCAATTCAGCAATGTCAAGTTTGTTTCCATTGACTGGCTCAATCGCTGATTCGATTAACGCCCCTTCAACAGGTACAGCGGGTGGCATAGTTGGAGACACAGATCCCATATGGAGGCCAGAGACGATATTGCTGGGCTTTGAACGTTCGTGACTTGTCTCACTTCCTGGGATGCCAGCCAATTGGGTAATTACCTTTGAAGAGGCACCATTTTCATAGGCTTTCCCTGAGGATGTCGACGAACTTTTAAGGTCGTTTCTGGTGTTAAAGCTCGGCGAAGATGGTTTTACCAACCTCGCGAGAAGATCTCGTACCACTGCGGTTTCATCTCTTGACATGTGCACTATTTGAGTCAGGTAGCCAACGTTTTGCACAGGAATACTTTCACAAAGGCGGGAGCTATAGCACTTGACTAGAAAGCATCTCGTCATGATCATAAAGGCCACGTCACATGTAGTTGCGTGACAGCAGTGATTGACGCATTGCTCGATATTAGCAACAACGCCAGTTTCCAAGAATGAGCCTGCGTTCAATCCTCCACGTAAAGTCATCTGTTTTTCTGCGTTTCTATATCGACAGTTTTCTTGGGAATGAACCACTCTGCTTGTGTTTTCTTTTCTTCTGAGTTCACTCGTAGAAAATAATGTAGTGCTACTAACCTGTAATTTCGAGATCTTCTTTAATTGCAGAGAAGGCAAAACCTCCGAATGTGAATCTCTTCTAATAAAGGCCAACTGAGGCTGAAAAACTAAACTACGTGCAGGAATGCTTGTGCACCGAGTATTATTGTAACACGACACGGAGAAACAGCGGTTTAACAGCATAAACGCGACGCTGCAATTGCCTCTGCTGCAGCAGAGTTCAATACATCTTTGCATATTTTCAACAGTTCCTTGATCTGTAAATTGTCCACTCTTAATTCCACCACGAAGAGTTACATTTTTCTCAATGACTGAAGTCTCGCAAAAGCGCACTTGCTTTCCATCCGTAAGAACAGGAATTGATGTACTCGAACCTGCTTTTGCTGAGATGCTGGCTGAGATGCCGTAGGTGGATATCTTAGATCGATGACTTGTTAGCGTTATTTCGTTTTGAAAGCCATAGTTAGATGATTCGAATGATGTCTGACCACTGCTTTCTTTGGGAAGCATTTCCTTCTTCTGTACGTAAATTAGTCTAGGTGAGAACTTAAGAGTCTTAGCAGGGACGCTCTCGCAAAGAGATCTGTTCTTACAACTGATCAGAAAACAGCGATTTAAAAGCAAAAATGCCACATCGCAAGTTTTTGAAAAGCAACATTGGCTAATGCATTCACTGTCGCTGTTCACTTTTCCTATTTCTCTCATCAGGCCGGCGTGTATGCCCCCTCTTAATGTTGAGTTTCGATTCACTTTCGAATGCTTACATAAAGTTGCTTTGTGTATACCAGTTATATTCAAAGCCACATCACCCAACGGTTGCATTGCTATTGAAATGTCCAGATCCTTTGATGCTTTTTGTTTCATGGAGGTTGGAGACATGCTTCTCAATTGAGACGTGGACACTTGCGTATTAGCGGATTTCTTGAATATTGCACCCGAAACGATTGTCTTCAGAGGAGCGGTGCTTAAGTCGAAACGCTGTTTAGTACCAGAATCTAACCCTGAGAAAACAGGAGATGCTGCAAGCTTCATAGACGTGTAACTTGTGTGAAGTCCATTTACGTCAGTGCTATTCGACATGATATTATTATGGTGTTTGGTTCTCTTTTTGGTGAGAATGTCTTTGATGCTTTTAAGTAATTGTGCAAAATACCCAAACATTCCAGCTTTGTCTCCGTCACTAGTTTTTTCAGCTGAATGCAGTTTTTTGTTCCTGAGGCGAAACATTGCTTTTACTACTTGACTTGTCTCCTTGGAACTTTCCAAACGCTCCTCTTTCACAAAGTGTGGTGCAGGTCGTTTTTGTGATATCAGAGGTGCAGGAGTGCTTGTAGGAAAAGACGTCGACATCTTACTGGGTATAAGTATTGACGTCTGAGCCAGGAAAGACGAAATCGGTCTCCTGACCTTCACGGATTCGGAACGTGATGGAAGTAAGGGATGTCCAGTATTTTCCCAACTTGAAAAAGTCCGAACATGGTGGGTGAAAAATGTCTTTGACGGCGTGGCTTTACGACCGTCTTCAGCGATAGACAAACCCTTGGACTCACCATATATTGTTTTTAATGCAGCCGTGAAGTAGTTTTCTTTTTGGTTATGTGAGGACCCACTCCTTGTGTTCCCTAGCATCGCCAAGTATGTTACGGACGTAACAATCCCAATAGAGTCTGCTTTATCCAATTTTGCAATCGGTCTTCTCCCACTTGTCAATACTTTTGTTACAACAGGGGCAGTTGAAGTGAGAGGCAACCGAGGAGGCATGGTAACCGAAGGTTCTCGAGGTGATATGGCTCGAAGAAGACTAATTTGTTCAAGTAACGCTCCTGATATTAGTGTGGAGTCCGAAGTAAAGCCGCTGGACGAATGCTGGTGTATCGAAATTAAAGGATGCAGCACTTTTATTTTTTCCAATAAACCACCCGCAAGATGTGGTATTTCTACGCGCTTCTTCTTGGTTATAGTAGATGATGACTGATTCGTTCGTTTTTCATAATTCCATATATGGTAGCCAACGTCTCCAATAGTTATTCTTGATGATGAATGGTTTGAGGAAGGAACATTAAGATGTAAAGAAGCCTCCAATAAATGGCTACCGACTTTCCTCGGCGTTGCCTTTGAACCATCAATGGAGAAATTAAGTCTCTCATAAAAGGCGGTGCTGGACACGGGCAAACTTCGGACGCGTATACTTGCACTAGGGGACAACGGCAAGGCAAATGAAGATTTCTCTGACCCGGAAGAAAGAGCCTCTGAAGACAGCTGGGTGATAAGTACGTTTTTATTAACTAAGGAAGACTTCGTCTGTAATAAAGAAGTAGCCTGTGATCTGGTCCTTGTATTTTGTATAGATGTCCTGCTACTGATCTTGTTAACTGTAGGAGTCTTGATCGTATTCAATGCGGTTTTGAAACGTTTCAACGATACAAACTGGTCATTGACACTGTCTGTGCTCGTTTGTAAAATAAAAGCTTTTGTGGCTACGACAGGCAGTGTATTTTCACCACTGAAAAGAGGTGTCTCGAAAAACTTAAAAAATGGATAAACGGTACTGGTTACCACTAAATAACTAGATGACGCTAAAATTGGAGTAGCTCTTCTTGTCTGGGACGTAGAGGGTAGACTAGAGCTTGAAATCGCGCCACCCCTGCTCACTGTATGACGCGCCCTGAATGTCTGTACCCCGAAGGCGTTACTTGTCAAACGTTGTAGCTTCATCCGCGTATTTTCATGAATAGACATCACGGTGTGTATGATCTTCTTAGATGACAAGGATGAAGAATGTGAGAACAAAATGTCTAGAAGTCCATTTGTTCGCGGGGAAGTATGGCTCAAAAACGAAACGCTGTGACTACTGTTGACTTTCATTGTGGAGGCTAGCGGTTTCATTGATACGTCGGTTGTCCCGATTGACTTTTTACTACTTTCAGTTTCTTTATCGCTGCTTAATTCAACTGCCTTTCTTGTCTTTGTATCTTTATAGTATGATGAAAAAGATTGAGTAGTGAAAGTAGCGTTTAATCCAGCGATCTCCTGCCTTTTATACTCGTTAAAACTACCTTTAAGCTGTGTGCTAGTCTTCCCCAATGAAGTAGAGGTAATATGACCAAGTGTATTTCTATGAGCGACAACAGAGCTACTTGGAATGGAAGGACCGTTTTTGGAACTGGAAAGTTCCATACTTTTTGTTTTGAGCGCACTTACTGAAGAGTGAAGTGGAAAGGCTGAACGGAATGCTCCGGTGTATGATTTTCCTTGAAATGGCGATGGCTTTACTTTAGCTTTTGATGGCTGTGACCGAGAAGCATAAACTGTGATGTTCATCATACGTAGGAGGTCCTTTCTGTTGAAAGCAACTTTAAGATTCGAGTCGACGGAAGAAAGTCTGTCGCTGTTAGTCGAGGGTGTGCTTTTGTCTTCTTTATGGACAGCACTACTTGGTTTAACTGTTTTCGATAAAGTGTAATTAACAATAGTGGACGTGTTTATTGAGTTTATTACAGTCAATCCCGTTACTGACGGGAACACGCTTCGCTTGATTAAGGGCGATTTAGGGACCACCGTACGGGGTTGATTTGAAGGTCCTTCAACCTGACTTGCAATTTCCCATGATTTTTGTACACTGGTCGATGCCACTCCAGCTATTGTTTGTATAGAAGACGACGGTAGCCTACGGTAATTTATAAGTCTGTCTGCCTTGCCAGTTATGTATTGCCTCCTTACGATTGCGGTGATGGGGGACGCATTAAGACGCAATATTACTGGAGTAGAAAATACGTTCGGCGAGCTCGGTGTTAGAGAGGTAAACACTGTAGAAACATTTAAACCACTTAACGATTTTGCCAGTTCTGTTGGACTTTGCACGGGATTTGATAACGATATTTCATCCTTCTTTCGACTTTCTTTAAATCTTACACTTCCAAGAACTTTTGTGGGTACAATCCGAGCGTCGAAGACATTTGAAGAATCCAATGCCGGTTTTGACGTTGATACAACAACCCCTGCTGAAGGCATAAGTTTGTGTTGCGATGAGGAGACCACAGATAAATTTTGTTCATAATTTGATGCACTCTGCAAATCGGAGACAAGGATTTGCGAAGAGGCTATTACTTGGGACAGAGTCGTTTCCACATTTACAGTACTGAGATCTGCATCATTTCTGTTGTGAATAGCTGGGAAGTTCGGCAATTTTAGTGTAGGAGCTATCGTTGCAGGAACGCTTCTAGGTAACCCAGAACTGGCTTGCAAAAGAGGAATGGGAATGGAACTTTGCGATTCCATTTTGACTGTTGATTTGAGCCTTGAACTATGCCCTCTTACCAATGAACTTTCAATGCTTCTACTACTGTTTATGTGCTCCAAGTGAGATCTTCGAATAGTTGGTACATCGTCTTCAGTTGTAGCATTCACATCGACCATACCATCACCAGCATATTTTTTCAAGAGCTCTTTTGGAATCATTTTGAAGAAATAAGCTACTTCACTCTTACTCCTGGCCACATAAACCACAGTCGGTTTATAGAACTCTGACTTTGCTTCGACAGTTTGGCAGTCAAATTCATTGGAACATGACACCAGGTGACATCTGGATCCTAACATAAAGATTGCGTTACAGGCAGTGGCATTGCAGCATAACGTAACGCATTCGTCAACACTGGTTACTCTACCAACTGATTTGAAATCTCCGGCTTGTTTTCCAAACTTAAGACGTGCGTCACGCAGCACGGGACTTCGAATGCACGAGCCTGTACGGACGCCCAGATCTGCCATCGGTGGTACTATGTTTTCAATCACTTTATCTGTTTTAGTTTTACTCACGTTGAAATCTTTCAACTTCGATGTCTCAGTGTGACTAATAAGCTGTTTTATAAGTTCTGCTTCGTCCGTATTGCGCGCCACATAGGCAACCTTTGTGTTGCCACCCCTTTCTTTAACAGGAATTGCCTCGCAACGTACCTTGTTAGTACATGCCACGATATAACACTCCTCGTTAATTAGAAGCGCGACATTACATTCCAGTGTCTTGCAGCACAAGTCGACGCACTGTTCCATCCCTTCAACTAGGCCTTCGTTTTTGACGTCTCCAGCCGTCAGACCGCCACGCAAAGTGGAGTTATTAAAAACAAACGTGTGGGTACAGGCGTAGGATCGTTTTCTGTTTGAGTTGCTTAAATCCTTTAGAAGACTGTAGTCACTTTTAAAGGAATATGATTCACTTTTTCCCTTTAATACGTCATTTCCATTCTTGTTGTTCACGGGATTCGAGATCAGAGCAGTGTCAAGCTTAGTTCTTGTTTCATTCAATGACCTCACATAACTGGGTGATTGTGTTAATGAGCTATCGACTTTTCTTGCGTCGGATGACGAAGGTTTTATTATGACACTATACGGTAACGACGCCAATGTTGGCGTTACAGAGCTCGTACCGCTGAAGGAATTTCTACCGTCTGAGCCATTTACTCCACTTTTGGCGATGCTTGAAGACGTTTGACCGGCCCCATCAGTTGAGCTTGGATACAAATTGACACTTGACCACTTGTTGGGCGACGAGGCACTGTAAATAAGTCTGCCTTGCTCCAGTAATGTAACTGATGGAATTTCATGTTTCTTGGCGTTAGAATTTGAAATACTTCTATGAAGACCTTCATTACTTTTTTGATACCGTGCTTGTGTAGCCTGGATGGATTGAGAACCAGTGAAGTGAAGGGACAGATCAGACGTCTCAATGTTCGTTGTGGTACTTAATGAGGGTTCCACATTCAATGTTTTATTTCGGATAATTTTAGCGTTCCGAACATCTTTCATGAAAATAGAGCGATTTACGTGCTCTTTGGACGCAGTCAACAAAGTTATTTGGGCTTTCTTAAACGGAGGCATAACATGTCCTAAGTTCTTTCTTACAGCAACAAATTTGTTTATCATAAAAGCCTTTTTCGTTCCTATAAAGTGGCAACCATTTTTCTTAAAACATATCAGATTGTAGCAATACCGGTCGATGAACATCGCAGCACCGCATCCATGATAATCACAGCACGCTTCGGTGCATTTTGTCATGTCTGTAATGTCAGGAAGTCGAAGAAACTTTCCAGACCGCCATCCCCCTGTTAAATTAACGTTCTGCTGCTCATCAGTAATATCGCAGTGCCCTCCCAGGATGCTCCTTGTAAAATTATTTATTTGACCCAGCTTTTCGTCACCGGTAGTGGGGTTTGTACTTTTAATATGTGTCCGATTTACAAAAGCGATGGATGTAATAAGGTTCGTCTTCCTCGCTGGCGTGGTTTTACAATCTTCCTTGGTGGTGCATGAGACGGAGTAGCATTTCTTTCCAATCATAAAAGCAGCATTACACGAGGACATGCTGCAACACTCCTGTAAGCAATGGTTCATATTAGTCACTTTATTGTGTGCTGTAAAAGTTCCGGCTTTAATGCCTCTTTTAAACGTGAGACCATTTTGGGCGTGTCCGACTTGGGCACAGTTTCCGTGACTTATCGTAAGAGGTTTGAAGCTTTGAAAATAACTTATGTTTCGCAACGCCATAAACGTTTTGAACTGCGTTACTCTTGCAGTTACTGGAAGGCAGCGTCTTTTGTTTTTTGCACACTTAACAGAATAACAATTATTTTGGACCATGAAGGCGGCATCGCAGTTGTTCGAGTGACAGCACTTTTCAATACAAAGAGAGAACTCGTCGACAAATCCATGATCCGTGAAGTTTCCAGCGTTCATCCCTCCATTGAATGTAACATCTTTGAGGATACTTTTATAGAGAGAACACTGTTGCTCAACTTTGACAGTAGATCTCCTAGGCTCTTGTGTCTTTGAAAGAGTCTTGCGGAAGTAGACGATCGATGTGTTGACCTTGCGTGACTTTGACGGAATTGCGTGACAGGCCTTTTCACTGACACAGTCAATTGTAAAGCAGTTGTTGAGGATCATAAAAGCTGCGTCACATACCTTCTTTGAGCAGCAAATGTTCGAGCAAGCCTGGATACTGTCTACAGTGCCATAATCAGTGTAGTTTCCCGCGCTCATTCCGGCCACGAACGTCATGTTCTTCAAAACAGTAATGTTCTTAGCACAATTCCTGATTGTAAAATTGCTATCAGTTAACAGAGAGGTGGCCGTGGGATGACCATTGATGGTGTACGGTAACCGAAGCATTCTGTCCTTAAGGTACACCACACGGGTACTGATGACAGTTGTGTCAAAAGGCAGCACTTCACAGGTCTTTTGACTGTAACACTGGATAGAATAGCAAGTGTGTCCAACCATGAAAGCCACGTTGCAGGTTGAATGATGATAACAGAGCTCGACACAGGTTTCCATGGACTCCACTTTCCCACGATCTGTGAAAATGCCAGCCTCCAGGCCACCACGAAATGTGACGTAGGTGAATTCCTTGCTACGTTTGACAGAGCCTGTCTTATTTTTTCCCAACCCAACTCCTGATAAGGGTTCTAGTTTATTAACAGATGAAGGAACAGATGACGTTTTGTTATTTATACTATGACTGTCTGTAGAAGCACGGACCGTTGACAAAATTTTCGAGAGAGTCACAGTTCCGCTTATCCGCTTTTCTGCTGTATAAAGCATCTTGTAGTTTGGTGTTGTCATTAGCTCTTTTGAAAGAAGACGCTTCGGAATAAAGGCGAGGGAAGGAGTATGTAAAATTGTAGAACGGATTGTGTCTCCCTGTAGAAAATCTGAGTTCGAATGTATCGTTCCAGTATATCCGACCGTAGGGCTCGCAACGATAGCCCGCATGCTCGTAGGTGTGTTTAACCGCGGAGAATTGATTCTCCCAGAAGAGCTTGTGCCATTTGCCAGGGATCGCTTGTTTTGAATCATTGACTCTAGTTTATTAAATCTGCTTAAGAGAAGTTCTAAAAGCCTGTTGTGCTTCTTGTCAGCTTTTGTCAAGACGCCAGGACGTTCTTTATGAAAAATTGCAGTGCTTGTTCCTGGACGATCTATATTAGACCTTTCAACGGCATTAACATCTGTTTGTTCGCTGCGACTCTTCAACTGCAATACACTAAGAACTGACGATATCCTTTTCAGCTTGGATGAAATAGCTTCAAGTTTTAAATTCACTTGTTTGGATATGTTCTCAGTGCCACTATCTCGCGACAAAGAATTGAAGATAGGCAATTGCCAGTTAGTTGTATTTCTTACATGATTTTTAGTTACACTTATCACAAGTCTCTGTAAATGTCCCAACATGTCTTCAAGCCGAGAAACGGAATGGACTAAACCTGTTTCATTCTTCAGAAGCTCCCCGATGTGTCGAACAGCCAGGTGAAAAACAGGGCTCGAGACTATTCCACTCGCAAGCGCGCGAACTACCTTGTCCTTTCTTTTCACCTTATTGAGAGTTTCTTCAAGAGTTTTCGAAAGAGGCGTTGACGTAAAGTTCACCAACTTCCCTAAAGACACACCGAAAGAAGAAGGCTGAAGCGTATCAGAGGTTTTGCTAGCCGAGGGGCTAACGCTCTCATTTTTGAAAAGGGTTATTGATGATGCATTTCGACGAGATATGCCTTGTATGTTCAGGGATACATACGGTGACACAAGCAAACGCAACGTTGTGCTGGGCGAGTATGAAGGCACTGTAATTGGGGCTAAAACAAAAGCATGTATTGAAGCAATGGGTGGAACAGTAACAGTCTTGTACACTTCTTTTGAAGTGAATTCATTTACAGTCGACGGGAATGTAATTGACGTGACGTTAATTTGACTTGAGTGAACAGCTGGATCCCTTTGTTTGGAGGAATGTATTATTTTACTTTCATCTTTCAGTGACGATAGTAGGTCAGTTGTAATATTTGGTAAGTTCTCTAAATCTGCCCCGAGTTGAAGTGGGACTGAACTAGCTCTCCCGTTAGAGAAAACTGTTTCTAAGGCACCCGTAATATCTGATACTCCAGTCTCTAGAATAATGATGTTTGATGATACATTTGGCTTCACAGATGTGATTGTTGGGGTTGGAGTTTTAAATGTATGCCCAGGTGATCTATCCAGGTGATCTAACCGATTCAATAGTGAAATACCAGGTACAGTTGCTTTTTGTGCTGCAACTGTAAACGATGGTTGTGAAATCGAAGGTGACGTGATAAGAGCGACGTTCGCCCTTGCGGCTCTCGGTTCCAAAACTGACACATCCCCTGAAAAAGGCGATGACATGGCAGATGATGCTTGATCTAAAGCTGAAATTACTGAAGACGAAGATAACGTGGAAGGCTTTGTAGATGTGCCAGTTGTATGTATTGTATGCGAGGTAGTTTGTTTAAAGGACAGGAGCGTCATCCTAGGGGAATTCGTCCTCGTGGCTGGCAGCTCCAGTTCCGCAATAACCCCAGTAAAACGAGTTGACGCCATCAACGTTGCTTTTCCAAACACCCAAGGAACTGATGTGGCATCATCTTGCAACGATGTTGAAATTATCTTCAAGGGCAGTGAGTAAGCGCCATTTGTAGGTATAGCCGGAAAACTGATCTGTTGCTGGGACGAGGCCCGAACTGGGCCTCTTGAGTCATTTGATTTGCCGATGTCACTCCCTTTTGTGGTTGAAGGAACGTTTTTGCCCTCACTGTAAAACGAAATAGCTCCCTTCCTTGCTTTGAAGGTCAACGAAGGGCTTGGTACTTCTAAATTACTTTGTTCTGCCATCGAGCTCGTAGATGACATGGCAGCCAAATAACCTAATTCATTTTTCTCCCATACATTATAGCTGTCGGTGCGCAGAAATGGAGTTGAAGAGTGTGTCTTTGTGATCAGTATTTCTGATGCACTAGCAAAATGTTCAATTCCTTGGTTTACAATGGGAATATTATCTCGTTCTTCTAGTACCTTACTAGGCTCAGCTGAACTTAAAACCGTGGCTTGCTCCAATATTGAGGTGTTAACATAAGCGAAAGGTGGCAAATTTAGTTCGTCAGATGAGTAATCAGCCACGCTAGCGAATTCCTGTTTTGCTGGTGTTGTGATGGGCACTGTAGTTGTTCTGAAAAGAGCTTTCGACTGTGGACTTTGTCCAGGAGAAGACAGAATTTCTGGAAATACAATACTAAAGCTATCTATTTCCAAAACCTGCTGTGTTTCTTTGTGAGGCCACACTTTAAAGCTTGTCGCGCTGTTCGGTCTTAACAAACCTGACGACACTTTATCTGGTGATTTCGCGGTCAGTGACTTCGCTTTCTGCCCAGGAAAAGTTGCGATGGTTGAATACAACACGCTAGGGTTGCTGAAGGAGAGATTTGTTTTCTCTCTTGAAAAGTCAACTGACAAGCTATATAAATTATTGATATATGGTGGACTCCCAACAGGGACTTCTTCTCTTTTCTGTTGTACTGCGGAAGACTTGGTTAACTGTTTATAGTGTTTAAAGGAACTGTAAATGCCTGAATTCACTACATTGAGGGTTTTATCAAGAAGGAAAGCAGAACTATCCATCTTTTTATATGAACCATTGGTCATACTAGACAGCTCCTCCAATTTCGGTGTCACGATAGCGATATGATCCTGTTCCACTTGTGTCCTTACCTGTGAACTCTCATTTGACTGAAAACTGTCGGCAGTTAAATTCACGACACCAGATCTGCTTGCTTCGAAAGGAGACGTCAACGATTGTGCTTCACTACGAGCAGCGACCGAAAACCTTGAAAACTCGACCTCTCTTGATGTTATAGCCCGATCTACACCCCCGCGCCCTTGTGACTTAGAATTGCCCTGTATCTGTCCGTTGTCGCTAGAGAACTTCGCGCTTGTTGAATACACTAGACTCAAGTTGTTTCCATCAGAAAAGGGGGACAAAGAAATCGTCTTTGAGGGATAGACATCTGATAAGCTAGGAAGACCTTGCAATTTTGGCGTCATGACAGGTAAGTGACTTTTTCCCGTTTCCAATACGGAAGGAATCATCAACTGGGTACCCTGTTCGGAGAAGTTTGCCGCGGTTGACTGCGTCTTATTAGATCTGTAAACACCACTAGAGGATGTTGCCTTGTTTATACTGAAAGAATCAGAGGCGTCGATGGGTCTTGGTGTGAAGTTGTTGAAGTTGATTTGATCCCGCTCAACTTCCACTACATTAGGCCTTGCGGACAGCAGAGTCTCCTCAGAAGTTGTAATTCTGGTGGTTTCCCTAGAATCAATGTGCGTACTTAGTAAAGGTGAAGGTTTAATCACAGAAACCGGTCTCCACGTAGAGCCACTCTGGTCAAGTTCTAAAAATTCCAAATCAGAGGATGTTGTCTTGTTTATACTGAAAGAATCAGGGGGCTCGATTGACCTTGGGGTGATGTTGATGAAGGGGATCTGATCCCGCTCAACTTCCACTATATTAGACCTTGCTGACAGCGCAGTCTGCTCAGAAGTTGTAATTCTGGTGGTTTCCCTAGAGTCAATATGCGTACTTAGTAAAGGTGAAGGTTCAATCACAGAAACCGGTCTCCACGTAGAGCCTCCCTGGTCAAGTCCTGAAACCTCCAAATCAGAGGATGTTGCATTGCCCATACTAAAAGAATCAAGAGGATCAATTGGTCTTGGTGTGATGTTGATGAAGGGGATTTGATCCTGCTCAACTTCCATTTTGGAAGACCTTGTTGACGGCGCAGTCTGCTCAGAAGTTGTAATTCTGGTGGTTTCCCTAGAGTCAATATGCGTACTTAGTAAAGGTGAAGGTTCAATCACAGAAACCGGTCTCCACGTAGAGCCTCCCTGGTCAAGTCCGGAAACCTCCAAATCAGAGGATGTTGCATTGCCCATACTAAAAGAATCAAGAGGATCAATTGGTCTTGGTGTGATGTTGATGAAGGGGATTTGATCCCGCTCAACTTCCATTTTGGCAGACCTTGTTGACGGTGCAGTCTGCTCAGAAGTTGTAATTCTGGTGGTTTCCCTAGAGTCAATATGCGTACTTAGTAAAGGTGAAGGTTCAATCACAGAAACCGGTCTCCACGTAGAGCCTCCCTGGTCAAGTCCTGAAAACTCCAAATCAGAGGATGTTGCATTGCCCATACTGAAAGAATCAAGAGGATCAATTGGTCTTGGTGTGATGTTGATGAAGGGGATTTGATCCCGCTCAACTTCCATTTTGGAAGACCTTGTTGACGGCGCAGTCTGCTCAGAAGTTGTAATTCTGGTGGTTTCCCTAGAGTCGAAATGCGTACTTAGTAAAGGTGAAGGTTCAGTAACAGAAACCGGTCTCCACGTAGAGCCACCCTGGTCAAGCCCGGAAACCTCCAAATCAGAGGATGTTGCATTGCCCATGCTGAAAGAATCAGGAGGCTCGATTGGTCTTGGTGTGATGTTCATGAAGGGGATTTGATCCCGCTCAACTTCCATTTTAGAAGACCTTGTTGACGGCGAACTCTGCTCAGAAGAAGTTGTCATTCTGGCGGTTTCTCTAGTGTCAACGTACGCACTCAATAAAGGTGAAGGTTCGATGACAGAAGACGATCTCCAAGTAGAACCATCCTGGTCAAGTCCTGAAAACTCCAAAAAATTGTAACTACTTTTAAGTGTCAGGCTGCTAGACGATGGCATGATGGTTTTGGTGGGTTGGATGACTAACGTTTCTGAGGACGGCAAGAAATCTCTACTAAGATCACTGGCAGCTGTTAGAGAACTGTCAATTTTTATGGAGTCCGCTATTGTAATAGGTAACGCTTCAGAACTGTAAAGTTTTACGGCAGCTACCATCAAACCTGGTGTTCTCTTGTCTCCTTCTTCCCATTCTGTGGAAAATGACTGACTATGCATGTCTTCCTCTGGTAATTTAGTAGCAGTTGTTCCAGATTCAAAGCGAGGTAGAGGAATAGACATGGAAAGCAACGGGGAGGGAAAGGCATCTGTTCCATGGGGTGTTGCCCTAATTGACTGTACATCTGTCAATTCTACCAGGGTAGGAAATTCTGTTCCAGAGAAATTAGACCAAATCGACATTTCATTTGCATAGCTTTGAATCTTGGCAGACGGTATCATGAGCGTTTCAGGAGTAATGTGTAGTATTCCTTGTGATGTATGCTTCCTTTTCGCAAGATGAAGCTCTACTGGCGAAGATATGAGTCCGTGTTTAAGCATCGTACTATCTAAAGTGGGGGTGCGTTCAATGAGGTTATCGTCCGACGCGTGTGACTGTTTGATTGTAAACTGCAGAGTTTCAAATCTTGCATAGAGGTCTGATATTGACGACTTCAGGTCACCGGATAAAACAAAGCTTGCTTCGATGCCGTATGGTTGCACTTTTGCCGAATTTAGAATAAGGAAAGAAGTGGGTAGCTCGAATGTTGACATTAGTCCGAGGTTACCATAGTCTGTAATAAACGTCTCCTTTGTAGTAGATACGAAGCTGGGTGTTGGCTCTAACTGAGCCACAGTTGTCATTAGGTCTTGAGAATCTCGTGAAGTCCTGCCTAATGATACTCCCGTGCGTTGAAGAGCTTCCGATTGCAAAGGAATGCTGACAGGCGTACTTGTTAATTCAACAGGGTTATTGGACAAAATCGTGTTTGAAGCAATGCCAAAAATTTCCTTTAAATGTTTAGAGCTTCCCATGGGCAACTGTAAATTTGAAGGTACGCTCTCGGAATTGGAGAAGGCTGGGGTCTCACGAGTAATCACAGAGATCTCTGTGTTCTGTGAAATTTGGAAAAGAAGCTTCGCTTTCCTGACAGCCATGTTAGAGTCCGCGTATGCAAATGTCGATGATCGTCCAAGTTGTGATCTGGAATCGTTCAAGGTCAATAAAGGATGCGACATCAAGACGTATTGTGGTGTCGTCTCGTTAGCAAATATGTCCGTCTCCGTTTCATTTGAGACGAGCACAGTATCATTTGAGGTCATCTCCTCATCAGCTTTGCTATCATTTGCTATATCAACAAACCCACTAACGTTTGAATCGACGTTTTCAACTCTGACGGAGCTGACCGGAAAGAACCTACCCATAGTGAAGGTCGCTGTTTCCGTGTCTCTATTTGCGGAAGCTTTAAGGTGAAGTCTTTTGGAAGCTGAACCTGAACCGTCTTTGTGTGGCTTGGGGTCAACTACAAAACAAAAATAAAGAATGAATAAATCAATAAAAATAAAAAACATATTCTAGGTCAATTACACGTGCTTCATCAGAAGCAAACGTCCATGACCGTGGTTTTTAAATTCTGCTTTTTACCATAACTACAGTTACATGTGCAGTCCTGCAAAAAATGTTTCTTTTTAGAAAGGACGCATGTTCGACGACGTAACCGTTTTTGTTGCACAAACCGCAAAAGTCGTCGGACACACATTAGGGACTTTAAGATCCAAAGAAAAAAACATAGTTTTAAGAAGCCAAGCAACAACTTCGCACGTGCATCAGCGACGAAATTTTATTTCTCTTTCTGAACTTGGATATGGTCCCTTGGAATTCAACTTCAGAAGGGTTTGCTTACATTTGACAAAGTAAGTAGGTAGAAATAATCGCAATAAAGACGGCAAGAAGGTAAATTCACTTTTAAATCGACGTTGTGGTTGCCGTCGTTTCGTTGGATCTAAAACTCCCTATTATGTTAGTATTGACGTGTCACTACCCAGATCTAGGAGATGCCTCTGATTGAAATTTACCCAGATCTGGGTAGTGACACATCATCAGTATGGAATTTCTGGTTTCGTTTCTCACACGTCATTTCTCAGGGAAACTAGTGGTGGCGTCGCCAAATGTCGCCTGTTTTCTCAAGCTACTTTATCATCGGAGTAACCCTTTAATCTTCCCTCAGGAGTGGTGACGGCTTCCCTTTAACAGAGAAAAAGTTAAAGTAAGAGTAGTTTTCTTACCAATATGTCGACGGGAACCATGTTTTATCTTGTACGCTATCTGTGGATGGTATTCTGAGGGGTGTGACGGGATCGCATCACACAGTTTCTCATTGTGACAGGACACTAAGAAGCAGTTGTCTTTCAACATGAGGGCCACGTCACACACTTTATGCCTGCAGCATTCTTGGATGCAAGTAGCCATGTCGGCAACTGCTATCAAGTACTTGAACTTTCCAGAATGCGATCCACCACGTAAAACAACGTCATGAAGTGCCGGGCTAAAATCGCAAGCTTTAGAGAAGGAGTGTTCTGAAATATTATCTGGATTAATCAAATCTTTTACCACAGCTACAGATTGGGAGGAATTTGTCAGGAGCATCTCAGGGCATTTATTGTCACCAAAACAGTTCAACGAATAGCATTTGTCATTATCTTGCATAGCAACCTCACAGCCGCTCGTTTGACAACAAAGCTTTGCACAGTCACCCAAATCATGCGACGAGGAATGCGCAAAGATAGATCCATCTTGAACTTTGTACTTTGAATCAATAATATCGTCCAAAACGCAGCGGAGTCTGTCACTGTTCACCCCTTTGAATGCATCTGATGATGCACTATCAAAATGACGAATTCGTGCCATTCGCGGATGGTACTTATTTGCAGAGTGCGCCCTTACACTCAAGCACTTTTTATCGCTGAAGCATTGCACAGCGTAACATACTTTAGCAACCATAAAGGCAATATTGCAGCCTGGCATATTGCAGCATTCTGAGACGCATTCTTTCATGCTTGTTGCATTGTCTAATCTTGAAAATATACCAGCATAATATCCTCCTTTTAACGTTACTCCAGTTAGAACTGTTGTGCTGTTGCAAAGACTCCGATCTTTACCAAATTGTTCCAGTGGAGGTGTTTTTCCAACGTCTTTTGAAGCAAACGGATACGTTTGGCTGCTAAAAATTGGTAATACTACTTGGAAGCTCGAAATCTGAGAATTACTAACGTGAACGACCTGCGACGATACGGAGTTGGTTAAAGTGCTAATATTAAGTGATGTTATGATGAAGTTTGCCTCTGTTAAACTGTTATCCTCCTCAGCTTTTGTCTTTTCTGGAAGAGTGTCCTCCTTCGGATCTATTTTTGCAATAAAAGACTTAACATTTTCAACTGGTGATTCGTCTGGTGAACTCGAACTGGGAAATGATGCATCGTTTACCAGGCTGTTTGCTAAACTGCTATTATCGACACTGATGTCTGGGTATACCTTTTCAAAGCGTGAAGTTGTCACATTTTTGTCTGTCGGATTGTAGTACTGCCACCAGAATTCTGAGCCGTTGGTTTTTACCTCCACAAAGTCTAACGGAAGGGTATCTGAAGGAGGCGAAGTGTCGAGTTTAGCAGTATCATTCTGAAGTGATGTATCCGGAGCATCAGTTGGGAAGACATTGTTCGCTACGGATGAGACAGTGCTTAGTACATCAGCTGATGACATCACAAAATTACGCGACTCAGTTGGCGCCTGCGATGCTGCCGCTGATAATGCGAACTTATTCCACTGAGAAGTGGATAGAGCCACCAGTGAAGTTTTTGGAAGATGTCTTGATTTTGTTACGCTCTCTTTTTTGACGCCAGATCTTTGCACAAACACTAACCTAGGTTTGAACTTAGAACCATGGACAGCAAATGTTTTACACGTTTCGTTACTACGACAGTGTACTGAAAAGCAGTCCTGAGATATCATAAAAGCGACGTCGCAGTTCAGAGTTTCACAGCACAAATACGCGCATTCGTGTATATCGTCAGTGACTCCTAGATTAATAAATGTACCAGCTTGTCGGCCGAGTCGGAAAGATACATTGTGAAACGTTGCACCGAAAGAGCACTTCGATTGGTTGAGTGCTGTAGGAAGGCTGGCATTTCGGTTATCTTTTAAATACGTATTACCAGACATTGTCTTATTCTTCCTCTCCACAAGGGTATCAGGAATACCAATTCTTTCTTCCTCTTGATTGTAAGGCTGATTGATGTTCGTACGAGAAACTTCAGTTTTTGACGGCCAATTCTGAACAAGACTGTTTCGCAGCGACTTGGCTTTTAGGGTATCTATAGGTGTCAAATTTATATATGTCATCACAGGACGAAACTTATCAACATTTCGAGCCGCAATGAAATCACATAAATCAGCATCATAACAGTCAACTAAGAAGCATCTATCCAAGACCGTGAACGATAAGTCACAGCCTTTGGCTATACAACAACTAGTCACACAATCTTGCTGCGACGAAACTATGCCAGCAAAAGTGAAACGTCCCGCTTTCAGACCACCACGAAGAGTTACATTGTAGTAGGTTTCAGTAGAAAAACAGTCTCGTGACGTCAAAGGAATGTCCGACCTACTTGGAGAGAGGTCTTCGACGCCTTCGTTAGAGTCTGGATATGTTATATCGACTCCACTTGCAAAGGTGGTACTACTGCTTGTATCAAGGTGCGAGCTCACACTCTGCTCCTTTATACCTTCTGATGATCCACTATTTTCTACAGAGCCTCCATTCGACGGGAGTGATTCATAATAATAATCTGGTTCACCCTGAGGAAAACTGTTATGATCCAATTGATTCAGATGCAACGTTGCGTTCAATACTGATGGTAAATATTCTTTTATTTGCCCGTCTTGCCCCTCGTGTTTACTTCCAGTACTTTCTTTTTCTTTCAACGAATGGAGGTCTTTGCCACTGTGTGTCTCACTCTGCGCCAACAGTAGGTTGGTTGACTCACCTTTAATGTTATGATAATTCGGAAGTTGGATTGTGACGTTTATTTCTTGCAAGTGTTCATTCTTGCTTTTATTTTTCACGAAATATGTTTTCCTGGGCGTAAGCTCTGACCTTTCATTAAAATCTATTTTAATGTTCTCATTTTCCCCTGGCTGTAAGCTGTTTAACTCGACAGATTCACTAGCATGGCTTTTCATTGTTTTCATGGAGCTGATGTCCGTATTAAGAAAGTTTTCTTCAGCAGTCGATACTCCTTGATTCTTAAGGTGTTTCTGGTCGATATACTCTTCCTGGGGGGTGACACTTGTCGTGGCAACGCCACGCTGTAATGAGGAAGTTCTTGAAGTTTTACTTGTAGAAGTGTGGTAGCTAAAGTCAGGTTTAGTTGGTATGGTAACACTACTCGACATGATCAGCTTTTCTGTGGACACGTCCTTTGAGGAAACCTGTGTAGAGTTTAACGAATTGCGAGTAGCGACATTCTCAGACAAACGTTTGTTGAACCGTCTGGTCACAAATACAGCTTTTGTAGAAAACTTGTGTTGATAATAAGGCACACTCTTACACACAGACTCATTCCCACAATTAACCGTATAGCATGACTGGTCTAGCATAAAGGCAATATCACAGACTGGATCATGGCAACAGATCTTGAGACACGCCTTTAAATCCAACAGTTCTCCAATATATACAAAGTGACCAGTTTTCAACCCGTGTTTGAGCCCCACGTTGTAATCGACATGGGAGTGAGGGCAGGCGCTTTGGCTGTTATGAAGGTCAGGGTGTATGTGTACAGCGGGTTTTGCTTTGTAAATTTTTATGGGAGATTTGCTTAAGTTCACAGTTCCAGTGGTTTTCTTCTTGAGTTTTGCAGACTTTCGAGACGTTTGTTTCACGCTAAAACTAGCTTTATCACCCAAGAAAGTCTTCGCATAACGTGAAGCATAACTACTGGAAAAGACCTTCAATGAATGCTTCTTTAAAGCATTTTGTTTCTGTTTGTGTGTCTCAGGAGGCTTATTCTGTCCTGTCGATTCCGCAACACTGTGTGACAATGAATTACTCTGGAATGTTGCAGTCGCTCCTGTCACGCTTTCATTTTCGCGATGGTTAAGTAAAGTCATTTTCTGTTTCTGTTGCTTTTGTAATGTTTGATTTGTTCTTGCTGTACCAGAGACGCTTTCCTTGTTCTTTGCCTTTTTCATTAAATTCTCTCTTGGAAGCGATTTGTGGCGATAAGTCACCTTATCTCTTTTTTTACTTGAACCCCTCCAAATTCGTACAATGCGCGGCTGGTACTTCTTAGCATGCTTTGCACGCACGCTGCGACACAGTTTCTTGTGATAGCAAATAACTGAGTAGCAGTCCTCCTTAACCATGAATGCCAAATCACATTCTTGATTTGCACAACACTTTTTGATGCACGCTTGCATACTGTCAACTTTGCCGTGACCGACAAAATGACCCGCCCGAATGCCACCCAGGAGAGTAACACCGTCGTATGAGGGACCATGACTACACAATGAGATCATTTTAATTATTGGGGTCACGACTTGAAGGTCGGACAATTTTGAACTTGGAATTTTTGTTTTTTCTGTTGTGGTGGTTTTCTTGCGTTTGGAACTCGTAACTGCCTTGAGGACTTTTTCCCCTCTAGAAAGAATTCTCTCACCAGCAAATATGAGCCGTCGCCCGATTTTGACCGCATTTCGGTCTCTTTCGCTTTGGGTCTCGCTCTTGATGTGAACCTGTATCATTCTCGTGCCAGTTTCGATGGTGGCTTTCCCAATGTCGATTAGGTACCTTGAGATGTCAAGGGCTCGTTTTCTGTAAATCAGTGACAGATTAAGCAAAGTATCTAATCGATCGAATTCGTGAAGGAAAAAAACGGCTGACTTCTCTGTAACATTCATCGATTTGTCCCCACCAGACATTTGGTATACATTGTAAGGAAACTTCGAAGATTCGTAATTGTCGTGGGCCTTGTTTTGGCTTCTCTCCTTCAATTCACTTTTCTGCTTTTCCCCGTGTTTGTTGGCCAATATGTTGTCCCCAGCCTCTCCCTCATTCGCTCCGGGAGGAGCCTGGTGCTGGTGTAGCGTAACATTGTAAGAGACTGCTCCCGGAGGACGACGAGAAGAGTTGGGTTGTATGGATGGAATTTGGATGGCCACATCCGAAAAAACTGTAGGAATAAGAAAAAACCAAACAAATGGTTGTTAACGTGATCATGAAATCAGAGACATTAAAAAGTATATCGCCTTCAAATATTTCCCTAGTTTTTGTCGCATAAATTAGAAGTCAAACGACATGTTTTGCCCCGGTAATGGTACATGAGCGAAAAACCATAACTGTAATATAGCTTAATTATTTTCCGAACAGCTCGCCCTCTTATTGGTTACTCCGAGGTCACATGATATCTATCAATAAAAAAAGATTCTTCTCTAAAGTCGCAGGCGTGTAACATTGCAAAATCCACAACTTCGGATGGTGAGACCCGTAGCGTACTCTGACCTCCTCTGGAAACTTGTTAATTTTGTTTCACCAGAATCAAAATATTTCTCTCGGCGGCTCAGCCTCGGGAGACTTTGAGGAAACAAGATTAACTGTTTTTCTCGGGATTAGACGATGGTTACCTCAGGGATCTTTTCATTTTCTTTATACGTGCTTACCTTTTCGCCTGATGACATGAGCTATGCTGGGTTTGAAGTCAAGTGGCTTCACTGGAACAGTCTGGCAAAACCTGCCGACACAGGCTACGGAGTAGCAGTTATGTTCTAGCATTAATGCCATCTTGCAGGTCAGATTCTTGCAGCATACTCGAAGGCATTCGTTCATATCCTTGACTTTACCATGATCGGTAAAATTTCCCGCCTTTCGGCCATACAGCAGGGAGTAGTTGTGATACACGCGACTATATTGGCACGCGGGTAGTGCGAGAGCAGGGCCATGAGCTTCACTTCTCGCCTTTGGACGTTTCGCACCTAATAAAATAGAATTCAACACAATGGCTAAAAGTCAAATACAGTTAGGCTGATCTGTAGACTGGCACCAAGTTGTTTTACCTTCATAGGGACGAAGAGAAACTACTCTAATTTTCGTTCAGCTTAAAATTTGCGTGGCAACAAGTCCCCGAAGACGCACTGGCAATACATTTGAGCTAACGGAGATCAAGATTTTTTTTCTTTATAATCTCGACCGATTAAGCTTATAATCTTTAGAAAACCTTAATTTGACAACATAGGGGCTATGGCGTCATTTAACTTCACCGTCGTGGAATTACTTGAAATTGTATCCCGGAAACTTTCATTTCTCTTTTTTGAAATTTCAAAAAGTGTGCCAGCTTTTTTTCGGATATAATTTGGGCAGTTTTAACTTTAGAGAGATCTCGAAAAAGAAGACACTATTTGCTCACCCTGATGATTTTTCTACCCCTTAAACAAACAAAGTAGTCCCTATACGGTTTAAACATCAATCGCTATACTTTACAAAGGAAACAAAAAAGTAATGGGTTGTAGTTAAAAAAACCCACGTAGAAGGATTTGGGTAATTTAAGTACAATTCTTAATTGCTTAAAAAGCCAAGAAATCACGGACAATAGTCTCTTAATACATGTTTTTGGTGGCGTTTTGCGCCATTTGGTGGCTTAAGGCTGGACAAATACCGAACGGTTAGTTCTTTGAACGGCTTCAAAAGCTTTTTGTGGATCTCGTCTGTCTGATAATAATCTTTAAGTTTTGGATTTTTCGTTTCGGCCAAGCCAAAACAAGCTAAAAGCTTTAAAAGAAATCATCTAAAACATTAATTATTTTGTATTGCCCAAATGAGCTATTCACAAATTTTTGAACGGCTTAATAACCAAAATAAGAGTAAGTTTTTAAGTTTTTTGGGAAACTGAATTCCCAGTAAAATGTTACTGCGGCTACTCTTACCATATTCATCAAATACAATATCCAGGAAAAAGTCGGAACAAATTACCTAAACCTCATTTATAATTCATGAGGAAAAACATGAAAGGAAATGACTGCTACTACTTAAACGATCCTAACTACTATAAGAGTTTGAATTTTGCAGGAATTAATAATCGTTTGAAAAGCTTTATCAAATAGCCGAAAAAGTGTTCTTTCTGATATTTATCGCCACCGCATTAAAAAAACCGGCTGCCTCACAGTTGTTCAACTAGCTTCTTGGTTCTGGATATATCAAACAAAACAATCCTTCTTGCGTTTGACATGCTTATTCCCTTTACGCCTTACGAAGAAAATACAAGAACCAGAAAAACGACCATGCCTGGCAATTGAACGAAATGGATTTTTAAAGGCCTGTTACGATAACAGATTAGACAAGTTCTTTGTTACGGCCATTCCAGAAATACCTTTTCAGCAACACGGCCACAAAATATACAACCTATTTTCGAGTACTCGACAATATTAAATTGAGAGATTTTCCCGCATTTTGTATTTTGACGCTATTGGGAGTTTAAAAGAGTGTCGTACGGCGCGGATTTACCTTCTTTGTCCAGTTTAACACTCTGCGTTTGTCTCATCAAGGAAAGCGAAGATGGGCTCGGAGAAACTGAACGCCTTCTGAGTCTAGTCAAATCCTCCAAAGTCGTCGCCAAGTCCTGTTGACGAGACGCGATTGTCGAGGACATCGGGGAATAAGTAACTTGTTGCCTTGACTTGGTGACCTTCTGGGATGACAGTTCATATAAACCTGATTGTTCTGAGGAGTCATCTGCATCGGGCAGAGAGGGTACAGATGTAGGCACCACAGTTCTTGAAGACTTCTCAGGTGACAGGTGTTTTGGGGCGACAAGGGACCATGGCGATACAAATGTGCTTGACGTGGATTGCGCCGTTGTATTAAAGGCTTTCTTTGTCCAGGAGTTATTAACCATTTCATCTTTGAACGTGTTGGATTCATCACGGTGGTTTTTCCAATTTCCTGAGTAATAAAACAAGCAAAAAATGTCTGTCTGGACTTAAATTAACGATCAGTCTTACCGTGTAATAAGAAACAGCAATAAATGTTTTCCAACGATGTTTTAGAAAGCTTCGTACTTAAGAAAATTATGTGTCAACCGGGAACGGACTTGTAAAAGTGCAGATTCTCTTAAACAAGTGATTTCTACTCTATACTTCATTGATTCTTATTCCAGATATGGTTCCTCGATAGAACGCGGCCAATATAAGTAGGCGTTTAAGAATTAGAACGAAGGTGGCATCAGGTTTCACATATCCGTTGATCCAATGACAGGTTAAAAGCAGGTTAACTATCTACATGATTTACCTATAGCGAATATCGAAAGTATTAAAGGTGTTAGTTACAACTGCAGTAACTAGCCATCAAACAAAGATTGGAAAGAAAACTAATAAACTATACACAATAATAATAACATCGCTGGCAGAAGGGAATTTAAGGGAACTAAGTCAAATTAAGATATAAGAACGCAGCAAAATGAACATGAAACGGTGAGGCAACTGGTTGAACCTTTCATTTACTTTTCACGGTAATGATATTTGACGCTTTCCTCGACATAGTGAAATTAAAAGGACAATTATTATACAGTAATTAGTCAAAAGACGAACGTCGATACACCAGAACCAACATAAATATTTTGTACGGTAGTCAAAAATCTACCACCGTGTTTAAATTTTGAGAAAAAATAAAATAGAACCGAAAAAATGGGTAACGAAATACTTTCATAAGAGTTTCACGAAATACGTTTTACCTTATAAGCAAGAACCAATCCAATATCCGTAGGAAGTATTATATACCTCCTGAT